TGCCGAGCGCACATGGGCACACACACACACACACACACACACACACACACACACACACACACACACACACACACACAGGTTCCTGGTCACGCACATGTCACACCACGCTGATTCTAAAACATGAGACATTTTAAAGGCTCTTTTGGTGAGAAAGCTGCAGACTGGATTCAACAAAATGGCTTATGAAAATGTTCTAAAGTCCCAGTGACACATGAGGTAGGCCTAGATAAACTATTGAAGTAAAACAAGTTGGAACATTTAATTTAATCTGGTGTATCTAAATGCCTCTGTTTGTTTCCATTTCTAGTTTAAAAAGTTGAAGAAATGTTATTACTGACTGAAAAAAATACTACTTTTTTAATTTGTGTTGTTAGTGTTAGGTGTAATTTTATTAAATTCATAAAATGTTATGGGTAAAAAGGAAAGTTGGTTAAGTAATGCAACATTAACAGTGCCCTCTAGTGGCAGGATAACACCACTGCAGCATCTAAGGAAAACTGAATAAATATGACAAAATACTAAATAAATAATATCTCTATACAGTTTGCATTTGTCTGAGCTTCTTTAAATCTACAAACAATAAGCACACAGAGGTAATTTAATCAGGATATGTTATTTGGATGTATGGTGTTTGGCATAATAATTATTATTCAAAAAAGAAACACAAGAAGTTCGACTTTTGCAGGAAAAAACAATTTTTGTGATAAATCTGACTCAACGAGAACTGGTAAAAATGGCTAAAAAGCAGAAGTAAGATTTATAATTGCCTCCACCTGTTAAGAAGCTGCTCCTGGAGTCTAGACTCTGTAACACCGTCACTGTGGAGCTATCAAAGGCAGCAGTGTGAGCCAGTGTGTGAGTGTGTGCACAAGCTTTAGTGTGTGTGTTTTCCTGAGTGACTTCAGCCTCCTTCACTGAGGTGGAGTGGGGGCACATTTAAATGAGTTACCCCTCACCATCCTCCACACCCCTACATTATTGCGTGTGTGTGTGTGTGTGTGTGTGTGTGTGTGTGTATGTGTGTGTGTGTGTGTGTGTGTGTGTCCAGTCTGCTTATTAAACCAGCTGAGTTTTTCCCTCTGCTATAAAGACATGGATGTGTGAGTATGTGAGTATGAGAAGTAAAGGAGGGGTGTTGAGGCTCCTCAGATAGTGATGGTGGTGTTGGGGGGGGGGGAGTCACATGGGAACCTTCTCCATGCCCTGTAGTGGGAGGGGGGGCATTGAGAGGCGCTGGGCTGGGGTTAATCCCCATTCACCCTGTCCTTCACTCAGCCTGGCCGGGCACAATAAGCCCCGCCCCCCTCCCCCCGCTGACCTCTGACCCCTCAATTACGGCCGCTGTCCCCGGCCCCTTTATGCCCCCGTCCCGTTATTATCTGCAATATTTACTCCTTTTGATTCCCCTGCCGGCCATTGTGGAAGCCCACTCTGACTCCTGAGTGACGGAGAACTCAAGTGCTCTCCTTCCTCCTCCAGCTCCATCTGAAGCTCAGCAAACACCACCTGAAGTGGAGCAGAGTCGCTTCACACCACTTATTTATGGCTTTTTGATTCAGAGCACAAGGAGCTGCACAGAAGAGCAGCGGCCGATGAATGGACCGAGTCACAGGAGGGCCTTTTAGTTTAGAGTCAATACATCAAGACTGCTGGTTCAATTCCAGCTGTTATACCCCCCTGAATCTTTACTATTAAGTGGCAATACTTTCTTTTAAATACATAATGACAGTGTAAATACTTCTGAAGTTTTACTTTGAATACACATTTGAATGCAGGACTTTTACTCATAACAGAGTTGGGTAACGGGTAGTCATTACGCTAAAATAAATAAAAGTGTATATCATCAAAACTATGAGAAATACGCCAATATTATTATATAACAAATCATACATCACATATAATTAAATCCAGTGATTGAATGAGCTAAGTACACGTTTTATTTGGACATAATTGTACTTTACTTTTGTACTTATACTGCTTTATATTTTTACATTTCAGAGGTAAATATTGTACATTTTTCTCTACATTTATTTAACAGGCAAAGTTACCAGTTACTTGTTACATATAAAAACGCATTAAATGTTTATATGGTATGATATATGATGATATAATAACTATAATAACATAGTACTGTGAACTGAATACTTTGAATTATAATACTTTATGTACACTTTGATGGTAATACTATTTTACTTTTACTTGTAATCGAGAAGACCATGGTATTTCTACTTATACTTGTAGTCTTCATTTCCTGCCCTGTATGGATCAGGGAGATGGTGGTGTGTGTTAAAGTCTTTGTGTACCTGTATGAAGTTCAGCTGGACATCTTGTTGCTTCCTCCTCTGAACATCAGGATGTATCAACTGTGTGAGCTGTGTCTGTTACAAAAGAAAGAGAAAAAGACATAGATTGACATTAAATACCTCATTTTAAAGGGGGCTTTCTAAGATGGCAGTGTTATGGCTGCCACATGTTGCACCCCCTGTCTAACTCTGGCCAGGATGCTCATAATCTCACCAAAATCACACTGGTGTTAGTTACTCCCCTCTAGTTTAAGCGATCAAAAGCATTTTACTCTGAGCCTTTCAGGTGAAAAGTCAAACGTTGGTTTACCTGCTGTTGTCTCTCTGATAAATGACCGCAGGTTGCCCTCTGCTGGCTTTTGTTGGCACTGCACCATCTTCTCCTCCACACACAAACACAACCTGCTGCATATGATATGAATGTGACAACACTTCATATAGAAACATAATAATAATAATAATAATATATTACATTTATAAAGCGCTTTTCCTGGTGCTCAAAGCGCTTACAAGCGAGTAAAACAAAATGGCAACAAAAGTAAAAAGTGCTAAGCTAGGTGGAATAAGGGCGAGGGGTTAGTTGATTAGGAGTTGAAGGCAAGAGTGAAAAGGTGAGTTTTGAGGGATTGTTTGAATGATGTGAGAGTGTTGGCGGATCTGACGTGGCTGGGGAGGGAGTTCCTGAGTGAGGGGGGGGGGGGCTGCTGCGAAGGCCCCAGGTCCGGAGCTTTGTCCTGATGGGCTGCAGTAGGTTAGCTTCAGCAGACCTGAGGCGACGGGTGGAGGTGTGTCGTTGGATGAGGTCACAGAGGTAGGGGTAGGGGGGGGGGGGGTTGTTGAGGGCTTTGAAAGTGAACATGGTCCTGTCATCACAATATGCAGAAATCAGACATGACAATGTATTTTAAAGTAGAAGTATGTACACGGAGAGCCAGATGAAAACATTGCTATAGTTCTGTCATGTAAAGTATGGATTGTTTTAGGAGAATTTATGATTGCAGGGACCACAGAGACAGAGATAAACCAAGACTTCAGAAAAAAGCAGGAAAACAAATGTTTGTGTGAATGCATCGTATCTTTGTGAACCATAAATAGCCAGCAGAGGCCATACTTAAGCTGAAGCCACAACAGAGGAGGACACAGTGGGTTGAAGCATCTTACTTTTCCTCAGTCTTTCTTTATGACCTACTGGAACACAATTATCTTTTACACAGAAAACACAAACACACAGAAACTAAGGGATATCAAAATGTCTCAAAGGTTTAGAAACAGTGCGAAATTTAAAACCAAACCACAAGCAGAGAAACAAAAATACAGAGCACTTAGTTTTGACCTCATTGTCACTTAGACACACACTTGAGCTTTTTTTGGAGGCAGTAACACACATGTTCCTTACACACACAGATGGTGATGAGATGTGATTAAACAAGCATCTAAAACGCTCATTTGAATTGAATTGAATTGATTTATTTAAAACAAGGGACAGTGTACATTAATCAACATATTAAAAACATGTAAAAGTACTCGAATTAGCCAAAAGGCTAGTTTTCACCGATAGTCCCTTTGCCAGATGGTGATAGACATCCTAAAGGCAAGAATAAAAATACCACGACATTGTTATACCAAAACAAAACAAATTACATATTTACAATAGAGGACATCACTGAATACAGGTAAGGAGCAAGTCATGATAATAAATAAAACATTCACAATACCCACTCATACTAACACCTACACCCACACATCAGTGCTGACACTGTTGATTATTAATGAGCCACTTTTTAACACTGTGCTTGAATGTGTAGTAGGATGAGGATTCTCTTATTGGTTGTGGTATTTGTATAATATATTATTAATATAATAATTCGCCCTGCATGTCCTCCTTCGCCCTCTGACGCAGCTGACCAACCTTGAGCAGCCGCTATCTCCCATAAGGAGGGGCTGCCCTAGCATATTGTTGATGTGGCCAGTTTGTGACCGGGCAACTCTCGGTCAGAGATAGTTATTGTTGTGGGACACCTGGAACACATCCTTATCGGGGTGTAGATGACCCCGAGCCATAAGCGACAACAAATGTGATTCAGTGTCCTCAGCTGTTTAGTCTATCTATTGAAGAATGTTGATTATTACACTCTGAACTAGTTAAACCCTCGAGCTACAGGAGGGTTCCTCAGAATTGATTGTGGCATCTCAACCGTGTGGTCAAACCGTGGCCCGTGACATGTCTTGTGAATTCTCCGGCCGAAGCTCCAAATGAACCGTCAGTGTTTGCCATCAAAGCTCCAGCTCTCCTCGTGTCTCTCTCTGAGTCCTGACTCCTATTGCTTCAGAAGTTTCCCCCACAGTATTGAATTCCATTGATGGGATGCGTGGAATGAAAAGACAGCCTGGCTAAAAGCACTTTTCCTAAATGGGATGGTGCTGTCTCCCCTAGCCGCACCTCTAGTAGCCCCCTGGTTGAGGTGAAGCCAGCCAGAGGAGGAGAAGCCAACCCACGAGTGATCTTAAAAACTAAGCAGACATTTTTGTAAACTAGGAGATTTTCCAGCTGAACAGATTATACTTTTTAACAATGTGGCAATGATGATACCGGAATGGCTTTTTGTCTAGTGTTTTTGAGTGCTTGTTTATACAGTGATTCCAGTGGTTTTAGATTTCTGGATCAGTTATAGAAACAACGAGGATAAAAACACAAAGGTAATTAAAAAACATATTTAATGCATAGATAACATCATAAAAAACAGGTTTAAAATCAGCTTCAATAAATACTCTTCTTCTCGTCATGTCACATGAGCGGACAACGAAAACCAGCCTTCCCTCTCTCTGCGTTTCTCCATCTGTTGTGGAGAAGAAAATAAGTTATAGACACAAGTGGAACAGTTTGGTGTAAAATATGTGTGTGTGTGTGTGTGTGTGTGTGTGTGTGTGTGTGTGTGTGTGTGTGTGCGTGTACTGTACCTGTGTTTTACTCTCTTTTGTTTCAACGCCAAGACTATGAGAAGACAATTCAGAACCAGCAGATCTGCAGCAAAGTAATATAACAATAATAAATGAATCCCCGCAAACTGTTAACGCATATCACTTTCATTTAAAACCCTGACTTACCGTCTCTCTACACCTCCTCTCTGTAGCAGCATGGAGCCCTCTGGACTCCCCCCTCCATCTGAAAATGACATGATACAGTTACTTTGCACACCGACAGGGCGTCACACAGATGGACGGGAACATGTTGAGTTACTCTACCGGCTGACTGTGGGCTGAAGGCTGAAGGCGGGACGGGGGAGTCGGAGGGAGAGACTCTGGCTGAGACGCTCTGCTTCTGTTTGTCGATGAGCTCCAGCAGGCGGCCCCTCGCTGCTGCGCTCTGTCTGTTCAGCTCCAGGAGGCGCTGCTCCACTCTGCTCACAGGCAGGGGGGGTGATGCTGCCTGAGCAGGACAAAAACAAATCATTAGAGAAAGGATCAAAGATCAAAGTTAACTGATCTTTTAAGACCTTTTTTAAGACCCTTGCCATACATTTTAAGACCTCATCGCCACTTTGAGTTTCAACCGGTTACATTGGCGACACACTTTACCTCACATTGACTATATACAGTATTGATGGTCCTTCCTCCTTCTCTTCCAACCATTTGGACGCAGACTTGCATTTCACCATAACGTTGTTGTTTAACAACCGGCGTAAACGGACCGTCGCGCGCTATCAAGCAGTGAGCGTGCGATGTCCTGTTCAGATGACGTCAAATCCAACGGGATGCCATAAATAAACTACACAGAATCACACTACACACCTACGCAATGATTACATTCAGGCACACTGTAGAATACAACCTCTTTGGACAATTTATATACTTATTGAAAACAAGCTACAAAATGTAATACCTTGAAAAAGCCGTTTAATACTTTTTAATAACCTTAATTTTTGCTAAATTGATTTATCAACTTTGAATAAGACAAGATAAATATTAGCCTTTAGAGACTCACCTGATTGGTCAGTTGCTCTCCATCAGCTGCCTGGACAGTTTGGCTCCTCCTCCCTGTGCTGCTGGACCCTGACGTCCTCCTCTCTCCAACACTTTGAGCTGTGACCCTCCCCGTGCTGCTGGAGCCCCGCCTCCTCGGCTCGATGCTGCCGTTAGGAGACTCTCTGGACCCTGACCCCGACCCTTTAGCCTGGCTGAGCTGGGCCTTGATCCGGTCGTTCTGCCTGCTGAGCTGAGTGATCTCTGCCAGCATGGCTTCAGGTGAGAGCTCTGAGGTCAGCGATAGTGAGGAAGAAGAAGATAGGCTGGCGAGAGGAAGGCTGGTGAGGCTGGAGGAGGAGCTGTGGGAGGGGGCGTCCTCTCGGGCACGTAGGATATCTACAGGAGGAAGATCCCGGTGCATAGGAATGGGAAGGGGCGCTGAAAAGAGGGAGGAGGGGATCAAAGCTTCTCAAAACTGTGGAAGAACATGAGTGCATACAACTTAAATCAGAAAAAGAAACCAGCTGTTACCAGGAATGTGTCGCCACTCGCCTCTCTGTCGAGAGGGGGAGAGCAGGGCAGCTGGATAAACCGAGGTTGATGGTTGTTGAGGATCTCGTTCAGCGACTAGTGCAGACTGACAAGCTGTCAAAGACGGACCTATAACATGAGAGTCCTGCGGGGGGGCAATGGGAGCCTCCAGGAGTCCCAGTCCCCCCATCAGCAACACCACTGTGTCCAGCTTCTGCTCCAGTTCCTCTGTGCGCTGCTGCAGCCCGGCCTGAGACCAACGCAAAGGAAGTTTTGAGCACAGTTTGAAATCTGGACACTAAAGTAATCTCAGACCACGTGGCGAGTGTCTCACCTGCAGGGCGGCCTCCTCTCTCAGAGCCATCGTCTCCGCAGTGAGAGCATCGATCAGCCCCCGCTGCTCTCTCAGCTCCTCCTCCAGTCTCCTCCTCTCCAGAGCATCTTCCTCAGCTTCCTCTTCCCTCTGAGGATAATGGAATTAGGGATGAGCGGACACAGTGTCAAACAGGAAGGAAAAAGATCGCTTAAATCCGCCCCAAAGGGTTCTGTTCATTCAAATAGCACTGAGATGACAGTAGCAGTGATTTCGCAGGTGTTTTTGCTAAAAAAGAAGCACTCAATACGGTGCACTGATGAATTAACGATGGAACAAATTAAGTGGAATGAATTGCAGGCTGCCTGGGAGGTAGGGAAGATTTTCAAGAGTACAATAGTTTCACAAAATGTAAAATGTACCAAATGGGTTTGTAATGAAGGGGTTAAAACACTGGTTTGTCCTTTAATAACAGCTTTAGTCTCAAAGCACATTATAGTACAGTGTTTTAACAGAATATTAAAAAAACTTTGGACCCTCAATTAGATCGACAAAAACTAATATAATAACCTTTAAAGGCAGGGTAGGTAAGTTTGAGAAACCGGCTCGAGATCGCTAGAATTTGAAAATACACAACCGGAGAAAATCTGCCACTTCCTTACAGAGCCCCTCCTCCAACACACACGAACGCGCACGAGATAAGTTTGTGCACAGATGGAAGGCTGACAGGCAGGTAGGCCATCCAGTTATTTTAGCCGGGCCGGCTCAGATGATTGGTCGTGCTTTTTACAGTACTACAGCTTCCACAGATATTTTTTTATGGATTTATTGTCAAAGAACTTCAGATATTCATTGCTATCGGGATGTTAAGAGCATTCCATGGAATATAACAAAAAGTGTATCTCGAGCCGGTTTCTCAAACTTACCTACCCCACCTTTAATAGACATTGATAGATGAGCAAAGTCAATAACATTCTGCATTCTGGGTGTATGTGAGTGAATGGATTACTGCACCTGTTTGAGGAGGTGCACCAAACGTCCCAGAGTAGTGACCAAGGCGACGGAGAACCCAGTGAGGCCTTGTGCTCTGTGGGGTTTCTGACTCTGTGCTGCAGGGGGTGCAGTGTCAGGACTCAGAGTGTCCAGGTCCGCCTCCACCTGACCCAGCATGGCCTGCAGCAGACCCAGGCTGGACTGGTCCCCACTGAGGGAGGCCACAGAGGAACCATCCAGCTGTGAACTCTGAGGGACACACTTCCTGTTCCTGCTGGGGCGACTGTTGGTCATGCCTGGAAGAAACATACAGAAAAAAACACTCATTTATATCAGTTTATATGCTGGAACATTTACGGCACCTTTTTACAACGTGCACCTGGTCCTCTCTAACGGTCATATACAATGTGTTTGGGGTCGTTTCCAAATGAGCTTTTCTGCTGTTTAGGTATGAAAGAAACATTTGAATATAGCTTCCTGTTATTACCTGACTGGTTTAGATGCTCAGGGTTCAGGACTTGAGACACCAGCACTGACGGTTCCTCCCTGGCTTCCTCCGATTGGCTCCGTCTGGACCGGAAACGCTGAACAGCCACCGTGGCGTTGAGAGCTGAAACGAGGCGGGATACGATTCTATGTGGACTATTTTTTTTTACATACATTTTTAACAATTGTCCTTGTCTTTTCATCCTACCTGCATGTCCTGGAGCTCTGTCTGAAGTGCAGGGGGTCACAGGAGCATTATCCTGGTCTGCCTGCTCCGAGTTGGGACGATGGGCTTTTTGTCGCTGTTTCCCTTTACCCCGAGACTCCGCCTTCATTTTACGTACATTGGACCTATAAAAGGAAATAATGACAAGCAATGAAGTGGTGTCAACAAGATCTAACATATTATATTTCCCCCCTACACAAATCAGTTTCATATCTCAGATAAGTAATGTTTTGCAGGTATAAGCACCTTCTGATCACATGATACTCTGATCTGGCAGTGGGACCTGTTTCTTCATCGCTGTAGTCTTCCTCTGAAGCTTCAAATTCATTAAGAGCCTGGAAAAAAACATTATACACATGCAAACACATTCATATGGACCGAAATCTTTACCCAGGAAGGCAAAACTAGTTGCATTACATTTATTTTTAAAAGAAAATGAAACATGAATAGATAATAGCTGATGAAAAACACACACATATGACGTTATCTTGCCACACCTGTTGGTCCATCATAGACTGGCTGAGCAGGGACAGCTGGGTCGGAGGATCTGGTCTTTGAAGTACAGGAAGTCCTGAGTCAGATCCGCAGTTTGGAGCCATCGTCACACTGGGATGACCTGAGGAAGTACACAAACCTCAAGTAAAATCTCAGGAGGAAATACTGAAGAGAATGTACATGGAATGATCTGAGAAACCAAATATCTTGAATTGGTTGTGTCTAAAAACAGTGAACATGTGAACCAGATTCTGCGAGTTTCAGACACTTAATACGTATCTTTAAGCTACAACAGTGAATGGGAAGCTTTGTACCAGTCTGCCTGCGTGGAGCATCTCCAAACAAGTCTTTGACCACAGCCATGGCTCTGTCGGAGCGAGCCAGAACATCCTGGAGCAGCAGCTGGTCTGAGAACACCTGCAGCAGTCAAACACACCACACACACATTTAAGTAAGGGACAAAAGACACTAACAGTAACAGGTAAATCTTCGTCACACACACCTCCCTGATGATGTTGAGGCTGGCGTTGTCGAGCGGTGCCGGGCTCCCCACGTGTCTGAGACGCCGCTGTAGGGCTTTCTCTCTCAGATCCCACTGAGCCGCGACCTTGTTGTGGGACTTGTGGATCTCATGGCGATGGCTCTGAAGCAGAAGAGATCACACAGACGAGCAAATTAGGTTGGAAATATGTGCAAATATGTACGATAATAATATGTTATAGACACACTAACTAGGCACACATTTGAACACCTTACCAGCTCTGCAGGAGATAGCTTGTGCACAGACAGGTCATTGACAGTGCTCTGCAAGAGAGAGAGAGAGAGAGAGGGCTGTCAATACTTCATCACATTCAATACATGCATTGTGTAATTTTCCAGCAGATGTCTGTACTCACCACCCAGTCTCTTTTCGGAGGTGCTGCCTTCTTGGGGGGGCGAACAGGCCTTTTTCCTTTGCTGTGTTGTTGTGGACGCCCAGCTCTCATAAACGACATCTGCTCACACACAATATGAAGATTAGCAGAGGTGTAAAGTAACTAAGTGCATTTACCCAAGTACTGTTTTGAGGGACTTGTATCTTACTGCTTTATCTGACAAATAAGTACTTTAACTTTTGTAACTTGAAGTACATTTTGATGCTAATATTTGTCTACTTTTACTTGAGTTACATTTTGATTGCAGGACTTTTAGTATTCCTACACTCTGGTACTTCTACCTTTACCTAAGTAAAATATCTGAGTACTTCTTCCACCTCTGAAGATTAGTCCTTCACATAGTAGACGTGTACACACTTAGCTTAATGCACAGCACATGTGACTAGCTGCAGATCTGTGTGCATGAGTAACAGTTAGCTATCTGTTTACACAGGTTCTCCACACGAAGCTTTCCTCACCTTTAGCTGATCATTTCATACAAAGCTAGACAAACATTGAAACAACACTTACGTTTCACGATACGAAGCCACTGTTAGTCGTATTTATGGAGCTTTAGGTTGTGTATAACTTTACAACAACACTAAACTCTGACCAGCATCAAACTATCTTCGGTTGGTTTTGTGACAGTTTTTCAACAGTGCGCGCCACTTCCTGTTGCTACGGACACCGCTTCAGGGCAGAGCATTGTGGGTAATGTAGTTTGGTTGAGCCAGTAGGATAAGCGGTTGAACAGGAATCCTCAGAGTAATTAAGTAAGTATAGAAAATAAAAGTATACATCATGCAGCAAAACAGACACAGTAAGTGTAGCATTAATAAGTGTTATATTATGTAGTTATTATTACTAATACACAACGTTTAGTCAGCATTTTAATGTTGTAGCTAGCTGTTTGAGTGGTGCTAACTGCTTTAAATGTTGCTAAGAAGAATGTAATACCACAATTAAAGTAGATTTATTTTCCTGCAATTAGACTTATTATTAGCAAAATATATCAGAAGTGAAACCCTATAAAGTAGAATGAGCCTGTCTGTTTGTTATTGTTATCCTATACCTTTTATTAATGTATTTTTTAACACAGATGCATTGCCATTTACTTTTTTTAAGTTGTTGATAAGAGATATTAGATTAGTTAGTTATCAAAGAAGAAGAAAAAAAAATGCAAATACTCAAGTAAAGTAAAATTATCTGACATTAATACTCAAGTTTCCTCAAAAATAACTAAATATATACATTAACCCACTCGGTACTAATATTGTTTAAATATATAGTCATGATTATATTGGAACACCTAGCATTTATATACTTATTGTGTAATATGTTGGTATCAAGTTTATCTGATGTTAGGAGATGTTTGCAAAGGGGTGAGTAACTGGAAACTCCACTAGATGGCGCTGTCACCAAGTAAATCCCTGTTAGTGAGGACAGAGGAGGGAAACCTTCGGGAGCAAAGTTTAACTCTCAGCTGTTTTTCACCATGAGAAAACTCACCAACAAAACTCAAACCAAAGTAAGCCTGGTGAGCTTTAAAGGAACTTTGAGGCATGTGTTTCAAGAAAATCTCGGATGAAGTAATGAGAGAAGCAGCACCAAGTGAGCATTAACAAGCAACCGGAAATGAAGTAAGTAAAATAAAAGCACAACATAGCAATACAAAAAGTGGTTAATTGCAAAGTTTAACATGAAGAAGAAGGGCATGCATGGACAGGGACAAATACATGTGATTAGCAGCTAATTGATTCATAATTGATAGCTATTGTAGCCAGAATAAAACATTCAGAAGCAGATCTGAAAGTATAAAAAAAAGATCCAACAATTCTTAGCTTGATAGAAATGATTGTGCTAAAACAAGTTGAATACATCAGTATTTTAAATCATCTAACGTCACTCAAGTAGCCTATAAAGTTGCAACAAGCACATTTATTAGGCTTTTATTTTATATGTTTCTACCGGAAGTAGTATTTTACTCATGCATCTTAGCACTGGTAGTTCCTAGGATGAGTAACTTGATTAAAGAGGTTGCGTCTGGCTTCCTCCACACCCCTCTCACTCTGACGCACAGTTGGATAGTCTCTGCGCGCTTTAGTTCAACTGGGCTACACTGACCCGGACCAGACTGGCTCTCTTCTGACGCTCAACAATGCGGACTGAGCCACAAAAGTTTGGAAATCTTGTCGTTACGCAAGGGGTTTGGCGGTGAGGGGTCTCAGGGGTGACAGCGGCATGGATCAGGCTACAAGTGTTGGATTCTCTGCATCCCTGTGGAAAGCCATTTGAAAAGTTTGGAGACATGAGCAGCCTCTCTGCGGTGCCAGAGATAATTTAGCCTCTCCAAACTGGATCCTAGCAAGACAACTGGAGTATTACTTAAGCTAAGAGCATCATTAATGTAATTTCCCATCGTGTTTTTGTTTTCTGCAACTCTTGGATAATCACCCACACTGCAGACCCACTTTTGGAGACGTTGGATCTAAATTTACGCACATTTTACGCACGGGATTCCTCTAACAAATGACAGCTTCTAAGTGGTTTATTCCTCCCTCACTTCATCCCCACTTCTCCCTGTATTGCACCGACCCCCCATATCTCTCCCCTCACCGGGTTACACGCGGGGAGTGAAAGCCTCTCTGTCTCTTTCTGTGCGCAACAGCGTGCGTCCTGAGGATGAGGAGGGGAAGTTTCCCGATGTCTGTCACGATTGTGACCCTACTCCTGGTTATTATCGACGTGAAAGCCAGCGGGGAGTATTGCCACGGCTGGCACGACTCGGAGGGCGCGTGGAAGGAAGGGTTCCAGTGTCCGGAGAAGATCGATGCACAGGATGCCATCATCTGCTGCGGGAAATGTGAGCTTCGCTACTGCTGCTCCAGCACCGAGGCGCGGCTGGATCAGGGAAGCTGTGACAACGACCGGCAGGCTGTGGAGCCCGGGCCCGGGTCTAAGGAGGACAAGGACAACGGTGCAGGTATTTATCCATAACTTCTACTGTTTCAGCAACTCCTACCATGATCCGAGGTGGGAGAAGTACTCTGATCTTGTACTTAAGAAAAAGTAGAAGTACCCAAGTGTATGAATACTCTGTTACAAGTAAAAGGCCTGCATTAAAAATGTTACTCAAGTAAAAGTCGACAAGTAATGGCATTAAAATATACTTAAAGTACCAAAAGTGAAAGTAGTCATTGTGCAGAGTGGTCCATTTCAGAATAATATGTATGATATGTTTTATAATTATTGATCATTAAAGTGTTATCAGAGCTGGTAAAGGTGCAGCTAGTTTTAATGACTTTGTATACTGCAGGGTAGTTTGTGTTTAAAAAAAAACACAATCCAAAAGACACTACAAAAGAGAGATTAACATAAAAGAATGTTGCTTGAAATATGTAATTTGGAGGATTAGGAGTGGGTATTGGCACTTTAAAAGCCCACTAATCCTTATATACATAACCCTTACAGACTGTCTTCACTGTGATTTATGTCAGTAGCACTGAGACTGATTGAGCTGTTGCTTCAGCCCAGGGGCGAGTGTAGTGTTAATCTTATGGAATCAAGTTGGTGCCACTAAGATCAAGCAACACTTCTTCAGTATCACGCAAAAATAAGAGTTTGAGAGAAAATAAATCTCAAGAAAATGTCATCTCATAAGTAAAACGTATAACTTGTAAACAAATCACTAATTAATCTCAGCCAAACCTTTGTTTTATTTCAAAAGAATGAAGTTGGAAGTGAGTCAGATGATAGTAAATGACTGCAATGACTGATATTGTACATTTCAGACGTATTGGGTTTCCCTTCATGAAGCCAACTGTCCCTCAGTGTCTCCCCCGTTAAAAGGCTCATCTGCTGCCGCCCTGACAGCTGCACAGGAGACAGCAGCAGACTGCTCCAAAAAAAAACAGTTAAACTGCACTCACAAATGGCAAACTGCGCCGGGCTGCACTTATAAATAGCTGTGTTTGTTCTGGCCTGAAACAGTGCAAGAGGGGCCGGGCTCAGACCCCTCCGTCCCCACGGGGATCAAGTTTGGACTTGACCGGATCTTGGACAGTGGTTCATCAGAGGCGCTGACAGCTCCGCTCATAAAAAACACAAATCACGTTCGTTATGTATCATTTCCTTCCAGGATTGAGGAGTCCCTCTGCTCCTGAACCCCCCCCCCCCTCCTCACTCACACACACACACACACACACACACACACACACACACACACACACACACACACACACACACACACACACACACACTCTGCAGACTCTCTGGGGTCTCTGGGCTTTTCAGGACTTCACACCTGCTTCAGACAAGACACAGTAGTGGAAGAAGTATTCACATGCTTAACTTGAGTAAAAGTACCAATACATTATTGTCAAAATACTTAATTACAAGTAAAAATCTGAGTTTTTGTAAAATATTTAAATAATTTGACTCTTTTTGTGACTAAAATATTTAATCTAGTAGTTCAATTTTTAGAGATCCATTTTGTTAAAAGTGGCTAAAGCTGTTGAACAAATGAAGCGGAGTACAATTACATGATGTCCCTTTTTAAATGTAGTGGAGAAGAAGTAAAAAGTAGCATAGAAAGGAAATACTTATATAAAGTAGTACCTCAAAATTGTACTTGAGTAAATGTACTTAGTTACTTCCCACCTCTGAAATGTAACACATACTTTCAACGTATTCAGTGTATTAGGTACAAATGCTTCCTCCCCATTCCTCCTGCGTACATTCCCACAAGTTAATCTCCCATGAAGCCTCTGGAAGCTGCATCGTATCTTGAATAAAAGATCAACAAAAATATTTTTAAAAAGAGCAAACATCAGAGCGACAGAGACCCAGGCCTGCTTCGTGTTTCCCTGGAGGATATCAGGACCTCCAGCTATAATCTGTCATTTGCTGTGACAATCAGGCCTTATCACGGCAGGAAGAGGTATATACATTTCCTCCAGTGGCCTGCAGCCAAAATAACTTAACGACAAGCAGCTTTTTTCCTCACAAAAAACAAAATTTCATAGGCTATTAATCATCCGGGAAAGATACACAGTGAAACGTCTGCGGATAACAGACAGGAAATTATTAATGTGCTCAACATGAAGGAACATATGGTGTTTAGGAACAGGAGAACGCCCGTGGGATATCCGAGGGAGAGTCCGGCCACAAAGACTGTGCCCAAAACAAGAGCTTAAGAGGGGGTTACCGAGCCATGGCTGCCACAGCTCAACTGCAGCGACAGGTGTGGAGGAGTGACAGGGAACAATAGCCGGGTTTAACTACTGTGGGCACAGAATGAGAACATCACACATTAGCGAGAGCCGAGGAAATACAAGCCTTTTTTTAAAAGTTGGAACAGTTGTCTTGGTTCACTCAGTGCACTCTGAGCGGTGTGAAGTACTTTTACTGAGCGTACTGTTTTAAACATGGCACTACTCTATACTTCATTACAAATTCAAGTTTACTATGCTACAATTCTTTGCAAGCTAGTTAGTATTTACATAAAAGCACGATAGGCTAAAAGCTTATAAAGAGAAATACATTGTTACATATCAAAGAGGGCCTATTATGCTTTTGGGGGGTTTCCCAACAGTGTGTTGTAGAGGTTTTAGTGCATGTAAATGGTCTGCAAAGGCTAAAATCCCTGTGTTCCCTCCAGAGGGAGTTTCTCTCCCCAGCATACTTAAACTCACAACAGGGTAAAAGTACACACATTCGTTTTCAAATTACGTTTTGAACCTTGTTAGCGGCACGGCTCTCTGGACCAGATTTCTCTCAAAATTATTTTTTTAATTTTAAAATATTCATGTCCACCTCATCATAAAATGAGATGCAATAACTCTTAATTAAATCATTTAAATATGTGCATTGCTTTGATTTCAATCCACATATCTGCAATTCACACTTCTTTCCCGCCTTGTTCCCAGATTCATCTTGTGACCCTTATGATCCGTCTAATGATTCATTTTATTCTTTAGGCTTTCAGTCATAGATGTTACTTGTAATAGGAGTTCTTTATTGGAGCACTCTGTTTGCTTAACTTTAAGCAGCCTTCTTCCTCCCCCTGCAACACTGATTTACCATACAGACTTTTGGAAAGGAGCTCTGCAGTTAAAAGTAGGGATGAAGTAAACGTTTTTGTGATTACTAATCCTCAGCAGCCATGCAGAAAAAGGGAGTGGAAGCAGAGAGGTGGAGGCCATATAAGTGCAGGGGAAGAAGGCAGACATTACTGCGCTTTTAAAGAGTCCTCTCCTGCTGATGTTCAGGTGTATATCAGTATTTAGTGTGTCTACTTTAAAGAGTCCTCTCCTGCTGATGTTCAGGTGTATATCAGTATGTAGTGTCTCTACTTTAAAGAGTCCTCTCCTGCTGATGTTCAGGTGTATATCAGTATGTAGTGTCTCTACTTTAAAGAGTCCTCTCCTGCTGATGTTCAGGTGTATATCAGTATGTAGTGTCTCTACTTTAAAGAGTCCTCTCCTGCTGATGTTCAGGTGTATATCAGTATGTAGTGTCTCTACTTTAAAGAGTCCTCTCCTGCTGATGTTCAGGTGTATATCAGTATGTAGTGTCTCTACTTTAAAGAGTCCTCTCCTGCTGATGTTCAGGTGTATATCAGTATGTAGTGTCTCTACTTTAAAAAGTCCTCTCCTGCTGATGTTCAGGTGTATATCAGTATGTAGTGTCTCTAGTTTAAAGAGTCCTCTCCTGATGATGTTCAGGTGTATATCAGTATGTAGTGTCTCTACTTTAAAGAGTCCTCTCCTGCTGATGTTCAGGTGTATATCAGTATGTAGTGTCTCTACTTTAAAGAGTCCTCTCCTGCTGATGTTCAGGTGTATATCAGTATGTAGTGTCTCTAGTTTAAAGAGTCCTCTCCTGATGATGTTCAGGTGTATATCAGTATGTAGTGTCTCTACTTTAAAGAGTCCTCTCCTGCTGATGTTCAGGTGTATATCAGTATGTAGTGTCTCTACTTTAAAGAGTCCTCTCCTGCTGATGTTCAGGTGTATATCAGTATGTAGTGTCTCTACTTTAAAGAGTCCTCTCCTGCTGATGTTCAGGTGTATATCAGTATGTAGTGTCTCTACTTTAAAGAGTCCTCTCCTGCTGATGTTCAGGTGTATATCAGTATGTAGTGTCTCTACTGGGACATGTCTCCATGCTTTAATGTTCAAAAAGCTCTTTATTTGTCTCATACTGCCTGTGCTGCAGCACTTCTTTTCACCCTCTGTCTGAAACCAGAGCCCAGTCTGCTCTGATTGGTTAGCTGGCCGGCTCTGTTGTGATTGGTCAACCCCTTAGAGATGTCCCGCCCCTTTAAAACCTGTCACGTACAATGTGTTGGAGCGCTACCCAATAGCAAAGTGATGTTACTCTGATCTGGAACTCTGAGATTGTAGCCTTTGCAGACCATTTACATGCACTAAAACCTACAACACACTACAGGGAAGGGAGAACCACCAAAAAGCTTTAATTTAAACATATGTAGCCATGACAGAGTTCCTGTTAAGACGTGTTTATTATAGCTGTGAGGCGCATTAACCTCTGAAGTGAGCAGGGCTCCTTGTTAAAAGGAAAAGGCTTGAGGTCCTGGTTTGTTTCATGTCCCAGAGTGCTGCTGGCCTGTGTCTTTTGTCACCTGGACTTACCGCCTGAGCCCTTGAATGTCCCCGAGCTCTTCACAGGTTTCCCGCAGTAATCCCCTTTAATACCCCGCTACTTTTGATGAGCATTTTGAAACGTTTCTCAAGGCCGCCTGGATGTATTTCACAGAGACAAAGGGAAACCGGAGCCAGTTGCCACCTCTCTTTCTTCGGCTTACAGTTACACCTCATAACACATAGGCACATTCAGAGCGGAAAATAACTACACCCTGTGGGAACAATAAAACAAAACTAATCAATTATACTGTAACATGGTCGTTATTGTGTTTGTAAGGTGTGTGCATGGGAATAAGGAAAGTGGCGTCACCCTGTTTCGGCCAGAAAACGCTTCACAGTGCAGCCAAGAGGTGGAAGGAGAAGGAAAACTGTGATTTCTTCGTAAGGAGAGTTATTGTTGATCATGTTTCAAGATGGAGCTTCTCCGGCTCACTTAGCCAATTTACAGACATTTAACGGGAACAGGAGATCTTAACACATAAATATGTCGAGATGTGTATCGTAATGCCTCAGCTATTTGACCCAGCGAAGCAGACTGATTGGTGAGGACTGTCTTACCAGTCTGATTTGCCATTTTAAACAAAAAGTCAGTGAGATGAAATTGGCTTAGCCCTTTGATTTAAAAGGTCTGAATGAGGTCCCATGCAGCTACATTAAATCAGCCTTAATACCTTTCTGTAAGCAGGAGCCAAGGACTGTAGTTCAACATGTCTTCAAAGGTTCGCTCAGAAATAGACTGAGAAAAAAAAAGGGGAGGGTCACAAATATTTGCTGGCAGCCGGGCTTAAGAATGTCATCCACGCAAAAAAACACACACACACACACACACACACACACACACACACACACACACACACACACACACACACACACACACACACACACACACACACACACACACACACACACACACACACACACACACACACACACACACACACACACACACACACACACACACACACACACACACACACACACACACACACACACACACACACACACAGGGTCGCGGCTGGGGACACAGCAGGGTGCTCAGGATTAAAACCGATCAAAACAAAGTTAATAACTGCTAACGAGAGCCCGGGACACCCTGGGGACTCGGTCCCTGTGCAAGACCGAGTCCAAACACTCCTCTCTGCTCACTCTTTTGTTTCACTGTCTCACCAAATCTGCTCTCACATGTAGGAGCTTTGCTTGTGCAGGGAAGCAAGACAAGTGTGTGGGGTGCTTTGAAGTTTAGATAGATTTAAAAATGACTTGGCCAATTTGGACAATTGTGGTGTGGTTTTTGACGTATCATTTCTGAAACGTTTAGGAAATTTTTTTTGTTTAAACTTTTAAATCGACCCAAAATGTATCCGCAAGATAAGAACTGCCATTTTTGATTCAGCATCCTCAATAACCACCAAGATCATCCAAATCGGCCAAGCAATTTTTTAGCCATTGTCTGCTAATGCTACTTAATGGAACTTTTGCTAATTGTGCTAATTGCCCAACATATGCAAAGAAACATCCAGCAGTTTCTCTGTGCTGGGAACCCTCCTATACATTTCTATCATGAAACTTTGGTGTGATCAACATTTCCCGGGGTCACAACAGGACCCTATGAGCTGACAAACAGACTATCGTGTGCTTTAAAATATGACTTCCATATTTTAACGTGTCCTCTCTTCTCCCTGCAGTGCCCATCTACGTGCCGTTCCTGATCGTGGGCTCCGTGTTCGTGGCGTTCATCCTGGTGGGCTCCGTGGTGGCCGTGTGCTGCTGCCGCTGCCTGCGCCCCAAGCAGGAGCTCTCATCAGGCGGAGCATCAGGGGGGGGGTCCGGCGGTGGGGGGCGCCTCCTGGAAACCATCCCTATGATGTCCAGCGCCGGGACCTCCAGGGGTTCCTCGTCCCGTCAGTCCAGCACAGCCACGTCCTCCAGCTCCTCCGCCCCCCCCACCGCCCCCCGACAGAACCCCCCTCAGATGATGAGGGCCCAGGCCTCCTGCTGCCTCCCCCCCGACGCCAGCGTCTTCGTCAACATGCCCCCTAACTTCTCCATGCTCAACTGCCAGCAGGCCACGCAGATCATGCCCCACCAGGGACAGTTTCTGCACCCGCAGTACATCGGGTACGCCCACCCGGCCGCCACCTTCATGGACCCCACTCAGGGGGGGTACAGACCCCTGCAGTCCCCCTGCCCCCCTCCCAACATGGGGTGTATTGTCAATGACCAGAAATACCCTGCAGTGACTGTGTGACGAGACTGCGGACCACTTTGTTGTGAAGTTGAACCTGTGAGGGGGGGCCGCGCCAGAGACTTTTACAGTGGAAAAGAAACTGAAGGACTGGTGAAGCTGTTGCTGGCTGCAGGCCCGCCTCTCCATTGTGTGTTTTGTGTGTCTGTTTAGTGTCATGTGATCTCCTGACTAAGATGATGGATGCATAAACAATTTTCTGTCTCGATGCAAAGACAAAACTGCATAAAGGAGTATTTACAGCCCAGGTGGGGGACCGTGCACGGCTCACTCAAATAAATCTGTGCGAGAGTGAGAGTGGGAATGAGTGATGAATGGATGATTTATAGCAGCAAAATGAATGAAAAGTGGATATACAGTAGAAGCAAAAAAAAGTTATGACCACATGCTGTTTTCATGCCATCTGCACTTGTGAACGGCTCATACGTGCAGTGTGTTTGTTTGTGTTGAACGTGTGCAGAGATGATTGTACTGTATGTGTGAGTTAGTGGGAAGTGTGGAGGGATGTGGTCGTGTGAGTAACTGTGAGTGAACTGTGTGTAATGGGAAATGCAGGTGGTGTAATGTGAAAGGCAGTCGCCGTCTCCCTGCAGACCCTTTAAACTGTAATGAAGTGAACACAGGACGCAGACTGTGACGCTCCACCCTGCCATACAACCCCCCCCCTAAATAAAACCCCAAAAACCTCACAAACCGGAGCGGAAACACCGAAAATTTAAATATCCAGCCAAGACTCGCAGTTAATGTACCTTAAAAGTGAGAGGCAGGTTAATTATACATTGAAAACGGCCCTCTTCACTACTCAGAGGTGTGTGTGTGCATGTGTATTTAACACTGCCACAGTTCAGTGCGTTAGCCAAGGGCAAGGGCAGCTCTGACTCATTATTTCCCACTTAAGAAACAGCTCAGAAATGGCACGTTTTGGGCTTTTTAATCCAAGAAAAATAAGTCTGTTTTCCTCTGTTGTGCAGCTAACAGGTAATTCAGTAACATGCAACTTGAGGAATGTGCTGCTCCACTGAGCTGCAGCCTGAGATGTCCCAAAGTACTGAAACTGTGTGTGTGTACCTCATCTGTACGGCCGAGCACAAAGTCTGTAACTCACTACCATGTATGAAAAGTGGTCCATTTTGATGTCATTTTTCATATGAATTCAAAAAAATAAACAACTTTTAAACAGAAACCAGTGTGTTGAGCGCTAATGTGTTTCACCTACAGGCGTAAGCATCAGGGAAGGCTTTGTTTGGAGTAAATGAGATTTACATACACACACTTGGTTAACAAAGAGACACATCTGTGAGGTTTTGCACAAATAACTGTCTCACACTCTTAATCCTCTTGAAACACAAACAACCTCATGGTTAAGCTATCAGAAACACTCATTACGCACATTCACACACAGCTCTACCACCCACAGTGGATACCTGTCCACCATCACATAAGGAGGAGGAGGAACAATAAAACACAACAATGGCCGCTTTAAAAAGCTACGACCCTGAGGAGGTGCAGCTCTGGGAGCCTCCTGCAGGATAATGTGGAAAGACGAGTCACAGGGGAGGAGTTGAAAAGCAGAAACGGCTCGATGGATTCTCCATACGGGAGCAGCTGTAACAGTTTGGGCTGGGCCTCGTCCAGGAAGGTGGGTGGGAAAGGGGGGGTATTAATCGTCTAATGCTCTGTCTGCGGTGACTCTCAGGAGCTTTGAGACGGAGCGTGGGACAGGCTTGAAATCAAACACATCTCATGTCAAATCAAGCCTTTTCTCCCTCTAACCTGCTAGTCTACTTGCCAGCATTGTAGCACAAAGTTTGATGTTATAAATGTATAGTAGGGGTCCCCAGCACATAGAAACTGCCTGATGCTAACTTGCATATTTTGGGCAATTTGCACAATTAGCAGATAAAGTTGCGCTAATTAGATTTAAATTGCATTATAGCCTATGCAGTTAAAAATGGCTTGGCCGATTTGGTCAATTTTTGTGTGGTTTTGGGGGTTATTGGGGATGCTGGGTCCATTTCTGACATTTTCAGGATACAGAAATTGAAGTTTTAACCAGAAAGTGGACATATCTGCACTCTCGGTGGGATTATGAGTAGTGTTGCAACGATTGGATATTGAGAGCACAAGATGAAAAGTATAACCTCAACTGTGGACAATTCTTTTGCCCAACATTTGCAAGTTAGCATCCGGTAGTTTCTATATGCTGGGGACCCGTACTATACATTTCTAACATAAAACTTTGGTGTACTCAACATTTCTGAGTTCACAATAGGAGTCTGAGCTGCAAACTTTATGAAGCCAGAGTCTGAATAAAAACACACACACACCTGATCACATGACAGTGTACAGTGAAGACACGGAGACATTGGTTCAGGCCATGGATTGATTAGATTTAATGATTAGGACTTGGATGGACAACCCCCTTCTCCCACCCTTCACTCTTTCTCACTTGCATTCCTGAATCAGTGTCCTCTCTCTCACACACACTCTCACACACTGGACGCTACATTCACACCCATCCCAGAGCCAGAGCAACACATGATCCAGTCTCTATCAGATCCCTTCTGTTTCTGTATTAGTTCAAGTAAAATATTCCCTCTATGAGTACAAAAACAGGCATGAATGAAAAGAGGAAAACACATTACACATTAATGTCCACTTTAATAATAATAATAATGATAAAAAAAGAAAAAAAAACGTCCAGTTGAAAGTGGAAATCCAACACAAGTGAAGGAGGAAGCTCAGCCTGTCAGCTGACATCAGGAATCACAGGAGCGGTCGGAAAACAACAACAGGAAACGAAGATTTTATTTAAAAACTGGCCAAGACGAGGGGGAGGCGATGCGTGGAGGCTGCAGAGCAGGGGGGGAGATAGATACGGAGATAATGGGGGAGAGATAATGGGGGAGATATAAGCAGCAGGGTGGTGGTCCGGTGTGGCGTTCAGCCTCAGTGGCATCTCTGTGGTGTTTGGCAGTGAGGCTCGCTGCTGCGATCAGTAGAAGGGGGTGGAGGGGGAGGGGGGGATGGGGTTCAGGGCTCTGGTCCTTCCCTCCCTCTCTTTTCAAGGAATTCATCAGTGTGTGTGTTTATTTTGACTTCCCCTCCCCTCCCCTCCTGTGATGACAGACAAGCTAAACCCACCTCCTGAGACGAGATGAAGCGAATACACACACATGCACACAAACACGGCAGCGCCAACGCGTGCACACACACATGCACAGGCGGATACACACACACACACACGTAGGGATATACACACAGTGGCATGGAGCAAACCCAGTCTGAAGGGTATACGGATATGAGGAGCAGTCTCTGAGTTTGACTCGTCATGTCTGTGCGTGGTTATGATTGCTCATGCCTGTGCAGCTTAGTGTTTTTTTTCCCGTATAGTCGGCCTTCTCTCGAGTCTACGGCCTCCACGCCTGACCGTGAGCCCCTCCCCCGGGCGAGGGTCCAGTTCCAGTAAGGCCACAGCAGGGGGTCAGTCACCCGCGGGAGGGTGTCACATGAGTCTGTCTCCGCTGTCACCTTGGTAACCGTTGCTAGCGGTGAGCTGAAGCCGTGGTCAGGGGTGGGGCTAGAGGCTGGGGCGTTCGCGCGTGGTGTCGTAGGAGCGGACCATCTCGGACTGGGACACCACGCCGTGCTCCTCTTGAGAGAAGGCGTATCCATCTGCAGAGGGACAAGAGGAGGGGGGGGGGGGGACGTTTAAATGACTTGTTGATGTATTAAAGAAAAGAACAACTGCTCTCTACTTCAGTTCTTCTGGTGTTTGTGTGCTTAAGAAATTACCATAAGGTCATGTGTAAAAGTACAAACATTTTGGGTCAGGGTTACTCAGATTCTGGAAAAAATATAAGATGCCCTGTGACCCCGGGGTTATGTACTCAGGCTTGATTCCAGATAGTATCATTGAAAATAAAGATTGTTACGCTTTTTAAAATCCTTATTACTTGCAGGTAAAAAGGCCATTTCAAGGAACTGGTTTTAAACGGACCCTCCTGGACTGGGTCAGTGGCTGTAAGTATATACTATGGAAATACTGACCGACTGCCTAAGAACTGAAGCAGAGATCTGTGAACATCGCTGGGAAAAATGTACTTTATAAAAGGGATAAGAAAAGCTGTGAATGTGGAGTAGTGTGGTTCCCCCGTTTAGCCTTTTCTTTGATCAGTTTCTGTGTATTTGTTTGTAAATGTTTGTCATTTGAAAAATAAAAAGGAACAAAACTGCCGCTACGATCCTGAACATCTGAAAAGTTCCCAATGTTTGATATGCGGCCAGAAGGAATTAGGAAATGTTTACATCGAGATCAAATCAGATGTCATACAGAGAGGGACTCTTTCAGAGAACCTGGCAACCTGTGGCATTTAAAAATAGAAGTATCACTATCACATGTCAACACCTTTTAACCTATGGGGTTAACTGTGGTGCATTTCAGATATCGTGTTAGTCCGATGTTTCTTCTTGTCTGGTTTGCTGTATTTCTATACCACTAACAAACAGATGTTAAAAGAAACTAAACCAAAGATGTGTGTATTGTTGGTTTGCATAACTTTGTGTATGTGTTTCTTTCCAAAAACTGGGAATTTCTTGTTTCTTGGAGACATAAGAGAGACACGCCTTTCTCTCTTCCTCTCTGCATAGTTTACCAGCTTCTCAAATGACACCCTGAATAAGTACAGAAGCAAACTAAACTGACTACACACTGTTTTCTTCTACATCCCTACTTTATTTCATGCACAAACGGGTCAATAGAGAAACGGAAACCCAACTGTTTTATGGTATTATTACAGTATGTTTGAGAGGACACTCACGTGACACAGTCTGCTGCACCGAGTTGGAGCGTCCCACGGTTGAAGGCGCTTTTCTAAAGACTCTTGTCAGCAGATGGGCTCGTTCGTTTAGACTGCAGAGAGAGGGGAGAAGGATCAGTAACATGGCATATCAATACTACATAATCAGCAATCAAAGAGAGACTATCATCACGATTGACACTAGTGCACCACACCATTACAAGCTACAGGGGAATGGTCATATCGATGTCTTGGTGAAACATTTTTGCTGCTTTTTAAAAAGACATTTAAATCAAACTAATGTCTTAATTTCCCACTGACAATCTCTCGCCCTCAAACTGTCCTTCAGCAAGACACTTAAGGACGTGAGCTAAAGTACATTTCTCCTTCTCAGATCATGAGCAAACCCAATATGAGGGGATTCAAATCCAGAACGTTGGGATTGGATACCGACTGCTCCTGACTATGCAATTTAACCCACGGAAAGTCATAAAGTGGCTGCAGGCTAACAGGACATCCACAGTAAACTATTCCCCTGCCTCCCCCCCCCCACCCCCCAACTCCTCTCCTCTCTCCTCTCTCCTCTCCTTCTCCTTCTCCCCCTTTCCGAGCAGAAGACTGGATCCTGTGTTCGGAGACCACACGCCGTCATGGCTCCTCTCCTCCTGTGACCAAAAATAACTAAGCCCTTTCCAGATATTGCACAGCATGCACACACACACACACACACACTAATTTAGTCAGATACCTATCCCCACTTTTATACCTATGATTACCGCTATTAAAGTTATTAAGCAGAGGCGTTGGATGTTAATGTGTGGACAGTAAGAGCAGTAGCCACGTACAAAAGTCCCATGAATTAAAACGTTTTCTACACTCGTCTGCCCTGGGAGCGTTACATTGACACCACACTGGCTCTTGAGATGGACTTCAGCCAGCCTTCCCAAGGTTAGGATTTGGAAATTCCTCATACTGTATGTGACTGTTGGGAACGATCTCTAAATAAAAAAAACAGCAGAGCGGCTCTGAAGTTTCCTATAGAAGTTTGAAATGTCTGCTAGATAGATGACAGTGCTGAGTGGATGATACAATAATAATAAATGGTGCAGGACGAAGAGATGAAAGGCTCATGCTTCAGTTCTTTAATGTTCCTTTCTGATATAAAAAAGCCCAGGGATGTGCTCCGTCTGAGCTCTCCCCTCGAGGCGCTCTACCTTTCCCATGCCTACCCCACCAACTACAAACACAGATGTGCTTTTTTCCCCCTTTCTGCTCCATTGCTTTGGAGAGGACCCATTTCTTTTTCCCCCCTGGGTTTTACAAGCAGGGTTAGTCGGGGACGGGGCCTTGTGTGGGGCAGCAGTTTGGTTATCTTGAAAACACACCTCGTGCTAAAACTGCTCTGAGAGAGAAGCTTTCTCTGTGACTCACTAACAGCTGCATCTTTATTATAATGAGTCATATTAGCAGAATATTAAAAATGAATCCTTTTTGGCAAACTGTGGTGGAGAAAGTACTAAAGTAGTATTCATATCACGGTGCAAAAAGACTTACGTAACTTTAAGTATTGTAATCAAAATTGTATTTTTTAGGAGACTTTCGTCTAACTCTAGTGACACAACACGACTACATCACACGGAGAGAAACACAAACACATCCAGAAACACACCAGGTCTGTACAGCAGCTCACATTGAGCCACCTGTGATCCACAGATGAAGGAATGGAGGAAAAATGGAAATAAGGAGAGAAATGAAATGTAAAAATGAAACCGAGGGTAAAGGGGAAGGAGTGATTTAATGAAAGATAAACAGAGGGAGGTGTGAACTCATTTAGTGGGGAAGCAGGTGAAGGTCACTCCAGAGTCGTTTGAGGTCACACAGTAAACCCAAAAACTACCTCTGTGATCATGTGACAGCTGGGGCTCTACGGGACCTCAGCCTTGGCTTGGGCCCTGTGGACGACGCCACCGGGGAGTTAGAAATACATTTATTTCCACAAACATACCTGCTATGGTGACTTTATTGGGTCCATCTATACAGTTTAATGCAACACGATACAGCAGCTCTGCCACATATTATCCTTAAAGAAGCTTAGTATGACCATTGTTGGTATTAAATGTGTTAAAGGGTCCCTATTCTGCTTTTTTTCAGGTGTATATCAGTATGCAGTGTCTCGACTTTAAAGAGTCCTCTCCAGCTGATGTTCAGGTGTATATCAGTATGTAGTGTCTCTACTTTAAAGAGTCCTCTCCTGCTGATGTTCAGGTGTATATCAGTATGTAGTGTCTCTACTTTAAAGAGTCCTCTCCTGCTGATGTTCAGGTGTATATCAGTATGTAGTGTCTCTACTTTAAAGAGTCCTCTCCTGCTGATGTTCAGGTGTATATCAGTATGTAGTGTCTCTACTTTAAAGAGTGCTCTCCTGCTGATGTTCAGGTGTATATCAGTATGTAGTGTCTCTACTTTAAAGAGTCCTCTCCTGCTGATGTTCAGGTGTATATCAGTATGTAGTGTCTCTACTTTAAAGAGTCCTCTCCTGCTGATGTTCAGGTGTATATCAGTATGTAGTGTCTCTACTTTAAAGAGTCCTCTCCTGCTGATGTTCAGGTGTATATCAGTATGTAGTGTCTCTACTTTAAAGAGTCCTCTCCTGCTGATGTTCAGGTGTATATCAGTATGTAGTGTCTCTACATGTCTCCATGCTTTAATGTTCAAAAAAGCTCTTTATTTTTCTCATACTGCCTGTACTGCAGCACCTCTTTTCACCCTCTGTCTGAAACCAGAGCCCAGTCTGCTCTGATTGGTTAGGTGGTCTGCTCTGTTATGATTGGTCAACCGCTTAGAGATGTCCCACCCCTTAGCCTAACACAGGGATTTGAGCTCTTGCAGTCAATCAAAACGTTATTAAATCTTTGTAAAGATAACATGTCTTACTGTGCCGCTGTATTGAGTTGCATCAAATGTTACAGTCGTACCCAACATAGTGGCCTCAGTGCTAATATAAAAACATAATGGCTAACACTTGGATTAAAACACCTTGAAATAAATCATAAAAAATATGATGTAGGTGTGATCCCATGATGCTCTTCAGCACTGTGCATACCTGCGCCCGCTGGCGTCCCTCAGCACGGCGGCCCCCGGGTCCACAGCCCGGGCCTCCAGCTCCTGCACCTCCTCCAGCAGAGACTTCCTCACCGTGCGCCGGGTGCTGAGAGCAGGAAGAAGCCCGTCAGACATCATGCAGGAAACTTTGAGTGTTACTTTGCCGACACGTGTGATTCATAACATAAAGTGCGCGCGAGTGTTGACACAGACTCAATGTGGGTTATGTAAACGCCTCGCTTCAGCTAAATAGCCTCAGTATGGATTTCCCACGTATGTATATTAAATGTGTTCTACTTACGCGATCCAGGCGAAGTCTTTGAGTAAACACGCAGCCGGCACCAGGATCAGACCCAGCCAGAAGTACCAGCACTGCATCACTTTGCCAGCCTGCAGGGACAACACACAGGCTCCTTTATTTCACTCGCATATTAATTCAGATCCAGTATTGAGTCATTTTTCAAACACATGTGGAAACGGCAAAGAGGAGACAAAGCACATTGAGAGCCTTTCAGAGCGTTGAGTACTTCAGACGTTAGCTTGGCATAGTTACAGCTTCTTCACACACCAAATGCTGGAATTAGGAGATAAAATAGTAAAAATGCTAATGTCTCTGCAGTCCATCCTTATTGACCTCTGACCCCCTCCTCAGTGTGTCTCCAGGGATTAATCATGCATATAACCACTGTCTCAATTTGTCCGTCTGCCATGACTCTCACTCCTACTCACTCCTTTCTCCTGTGGCTTCCCTGCAATCTCACTCTTCCACAACCTCCTTTCATTATTAGTGAGTGTATCTCCTGCTGCCTGTCCCCGCCTGTTACTGCTAATCCCTCCATTTCTCATGTATTATCCTTCAGTTATCTGCAGGAGCTCTGTGGTGCTTCACAAGTCTTTGTCTCAGGGCGGTTACGTTTAAGGGACTAAATGCCCCATAACCCCCCCCTCCCCGAAAAAAAGAGAAATTCGATTTAAAAATAGGATGAGAAATTAAACCGTAATCTAATCTGAACATGGACTTGTATGAAATTATCTACTTTCTTTTCCTCTTTTTAACTTTCCTTTGGTATTTTATTTTCTTCTTGCCGTGGAATTTACTTTTTTCAATCCTACCTTGAAACCTGAAGTATGCGTATATATATACACACACACACACGTGTACATACATATATGTGTATATATATATATGTATATGTCTGTATTAGATACACACATGGAAAGCCATCTCCTAATTTTGCAGTTGAAATGCCGTCATATTTGGGTCCCTGATCAAAAACGTTGAATCTGGATGACTAACAGGAGGGTTATTTTCGTTATGAGCTACATCACTTTGTCTCCGATTGTCTGTTTCCCTGATTGTCTGTTTTCATATTGAATTGACCTAGTATATTATTGTGTTTTTTCCTGTGTCTTGTGCTTGGGTCCAGATATGTCGAGACAATTTAGTTTCCAGAGGGAGAAGAGACGGGGAAAATGCCTCAGACAACCGTTATGAATATCCTGCGAAACAGCTGGAATCACAAGCAAGTCACAGATGATCCACTTTCTGTGTGACAAACACCTACACACATCCATTTTAACACATTATATCACATGCTCTTTACGAAGCCCGAGGATGGAGGAATGCTGTTGGTCTCCACCGCTTTACAATCAACACAAATCACATTATTCCACACACACACACGTAGAATTATACGTCTCTTTTCCAAACCCTGTCCCCCATGAACAGATGGAAATATAGATAGCGGGAGCAGGGGGAAATAAGAGAGGTAATGGGGTAGTTAGGGGTGGAGGAAATGTTGGGTTGAGGGGGGCTGAGTGTCTCTGACCATTCCCCAGTCAGTCTGAGCAGCTGCACAGATATTCCACCGCATTCCTGATTTCTGACACAAATTGAATTAATGGGGCTGGGGGGAGTTTAGACGGCCCTGTTCTCTCCCCCTCCCACGACTCAGCAGGGCACCTCGCCGCCTCACCCCCGAAACTCTCAAATGAGTCTCTCAATCAAGGGGTCTCCGCTCATCACCAGCTCTTGAGTCAACACCTCCGCAGAGGGCAGTAAAAATCAGGGGTTCGGGTGACACGCAGCAGGTGCAGGAAGCCTGGAGCGAGGGGTGGGTGAGGCGTAAATCTCCCCCGGGGCTCCACAGAACACCCAGGAGGAGAGTCTCGTAGGCGCCATGGAGTGGCAACAAGAAGAAGGGAGGGGCAGGTGAGGGCAGGGGCGTCAAACTGCTTTTAGTTCAGGGGCCACATACACACAAATGTGATCTTAAGGGGGCGCGACCAGGACAATCATAGCAGAATAACTTTTCTGTGTAGTAATCCTGACACACCACCATACAAACTAAAGTGGGAACTATTAAGGAAGAAGTGATCCCCCTGTCTTGTAAATGTATAAAATATACACATGAAATTGCAGTTCATGTCTTCTTTGTCATATTTTACACTTTGCAAATTCATCCCCCGTATATTTGACCCCCCTGATGTAGAGGAAAGGGCTATTTTAACCCCGTCACCCCCTGTTACTGAAATGACTGACACATGTTTGTGGAGAGAGACTTGCCTGGCCAAGCATGTCGGGGGCGATGGGGATGGAGGGCCAGATGGCGGAGTAGACGGCGAAGAAGACCATCCAGAGCGCCATGCTTCCCCATACTGCCAGGTGGGAAAACTGCAAAAGAGGATGGAGATTAAGGAATACAGCGTAGGTCAGATTAATTTCATCCGGATATACACAACCTCTCCCTCACTTCTCCCCATGTCTTCCTCCTACTCTGATCTGCTGAAAGGCGACACTGTGTGAATTCCTGTGAGACCTGCTTCATTACTGCCAGGCTGTTGTGTGGACAGCTGAGCGGACAAAAGTGTCAGCGCCATCCTGTCCATGCTGCCACTCTCCGAATCCTGTCACAGTCATGGCTGCTGTTGCTTTAAAGAGGCCCTGCTATTCTTTCTGTGGTTTTTCCCTTTCCTGTAGTGTGTTATATATCGGTATTTGTGCATGTAAAGGGTCTGCAAAGGCTAACATTTTTGACTTTCGGAACATAATGACATGACTATGTGCTTCTATTGGCTAGCACTCCAACACATTGGATGTGATAGGCTAAAGGGGTGGGACATCTCTAAGCAGTTGACCAATCACAACAGAGCCGGCCAGCTAACCAATCAGAGCAGACTGGGCTCTGGTTTCAGACAGAGGGTGAAAAGACAGGCAGTATGAGAAAAATAAAGAGCTTTTTGAACATTAAAGCATGGAGACATGTGGAGACACTACATACTGATATACACCTGAACATCAGCAGGAGAGGACTCTTTAAAGTAGAGACACTACATACTGATATACACCTGAACATCAGCAGGAGAGGACTCTTTAAAGTAGAGACACTACATACTGATATACACCTGAACATCAGCAGGAGAGGACTCTTTAAAGTAGAGACACTACATACTGATATACACCTGAACATCAGCAGGAGAGGACTCTTTAAAGTAGAGACACTACATACTGATATACACCTGAACATCAGCAGGAGAGGACTCTTTAAAGTAGAGACACTACATACTGATATACACCTGAACATCAGCAGGAGAGGACTCTTTAAAGTAGAGACACTACATTCTGATATACACCTGAACATCAGCAGGAGAGGACTCTTTAAAGTAGAGACACTACATACTGATATACACCTGAACATCAGCAGGAGAGGACTCTTTAAAGTAGAGACACTACATACTGATATACACCTGAACATCAGCAGGAGAGGACTCTTTAAAGTAGAGACACTACATTCTGATATACACCTGAACATCAGCAGGAGAGGACTCTTTAAAGTAGAGACACTACATACTGATATACACCTGAACATCAGCAGGAGAGGACTCTTTAAAGTAGAGACACTACATACTGATATACACCTGAACATCAGCAGGAGAGGACTCTTTAAAGTAGAGACACTACATACTGATATACACCTGAACATCAGCAGGAGAGGACTCTTTAAAGTAGAGACACTACATACTGATATACACCTGAACATCAGCAGGAGAGGACTCTTTAAAGTAGAGACACTACATACTGATATACACCTGAACATCAGCAGGAGAGGACTCTTTAAAGTAGAGACACTACATACTGATATACACCTGAACATCAACAGGAGAGGACTCTTTAAAGTAGAGACACTACATACTGATATACACCTGAGAATGAGCTCAATATGGGCCCCTTTAAAAGTCTACATCCATAAGACTTTGTTCCAAAAAATTGGAACCAAATACTGTTCTTTTATTTGTTTTTAGGTATTTTCCTGTTTAAAATGTAATTATTTTAACAGTTTAAAAAGGCAAAGTTCATATACAGCTGTTGGAGTTTTTCCCCATACATTGCATTCATCAGATATTTATTTTAGCCCTGTTTTAAACATATACAGTATCAAGCATACTTTTTTACCATACTGCCTGCTGAGTGTCTGGGACACTACACAGGTAACTTCTCACAATCGGCAAGAGCCTTATTTCAAGGTTATTGTTAGCTAGCCAAAGCTAACACATGTTGATATTGTGTGTTGGGTCAGTAACCACATAAATGAGAATATACTATAATCCTGATGATTTTAACGGACTATTCTTTAAGAAAGAATGGGAACATCTGGGCTCTAAATTAGCGATGTTGAATGAAATCTGTTTGGCTCTTATGTTTCTGTATTCGCTCTTCACGTAACAGATGGTAATCTCACTGTGTCTGTTTTTCTCCTTTGCTGTGCAGAAACGACACTTATCCGATCCTCAATCTGTTGAAGCACATTCAACACTTCTTGCAGCTGCTTCCCAGTGAATACCTTTGATTGATTTTTAAGTGTTATTATATTAACATTTGGACATTTTTCAGTGTTTTTGTAAGTGGATAGGTTTCAAAATATTGAACAAGAATGATGGAAAACTGCGGCCACCAGTGAGTTGGTTCGCTGGTGTTAAAGAAACCTCAAGCTTCCACCACGACATCAAGGTGCACCGCATCTTTTCCCATGTCTCTCCTGAATATGAAGCATTTGGAGCAGGTTACAGGAAAACCTCACTGTGTGTGTGTCCCCCCCCGTCCCACCCATCTCCTTTTTATTTATCAACGGTTGAGTAAAATACAGCACATGCGGTGTGGCTTGTTAATGTCCTTACCTTGGTCCAAGCGGTGGTCTCCATTCCAGCTTTCAGACACACTGTAACCACCACATACTACACACACACACACACACACACACACACACACACACACACACACACACACAAAGGAGAGAATGAAAAAAACAACAGAGAAACTGAATTAGATTGCTGGCGACTGTGGAGATAATAAACATTAATGTTATATAGTAAACTCAGCAATGTCTGTTAACTATGCTGAACCCCCACAGGACTCTGTAGTCGACACACACAACACAACAAATAAACAGTACTGACATTCACGAGAGAATGTATGGGAGTAAAACGATAGTGGAGTAAAGAGAAGAGATGGGTGAATGTGGGGGGGGGGGAGAGACAGAGTGGCTAGACGACTGGAGACTCTGAGGAAGCTGCACAGTGTACACAAATACTGTGTGTATGCAAAAAGGAAAAACATCTGCATGCCAGAAGACAGGAATAAAAACTAATACAAACAAAAAAAGACACAAACGCAGATATATGCAAATAAAATGCTTACTGTGTACACCATATTTCCAACAAATAGGTAGTCATTTCCCTGACCGGTGCTGAACGGGGCGTCTGTGGGAAACACACACACACACACACACCTCATGACAAAGTGATACCAGCCAGAATTATGGGAATTTGCACGAGTTACTCAGGCGTGTTTCTTACCATGCTCTAACATTTTGAGAGGAAACCAGAAGAGAATAATTGAATGAATCAGTGCATTGATACAAGTCCCCCAGAACACCTGAGAGACAGAAAGAGAGGGGGGGGGAAAGTGAAACAAGTCAGTAGAGAGTAATGCCAAAGCACATATATGCCCCCACACACACCTTCCACTGTGTTCCTGCCATCAGAAGTGCCCTCCACACACACTCCCACACATACAGTAGGTCGGGTTGCTAGTGTACCGTCCAAAATGAAAGACTTCAGTATTCCTATGAATCTCATTAGGCGTAGCCATGGAAACATCCCAGTCCCCTATGCCACTCTTGTTTACTCGCCGGCGTCCCAAACAAACAGCAGGCATCACCCGTCAATCCCACAGGGCCTGCAAGGCAGGACGAGTCGAAGGCAGAGCTGAGGCGTGTGTGTGTGTGTGTGTGTGTGTGTGTGTGTGTGTGTGTGTGTGTGTGTGTGTGTGTGTGTGTGTGTGTGTGTGTGTGTGTGTGTGTGTGTGTGTGTGTGTGTGTGTGTGTGTGTGTGTGTGTGTGTGTGTGTGTGTGTGTGTGTGTGTGTGTGTGTGTGTGTGTGTGTGTGTGTGTGTGTGTGTGTGTGTGTGTGTGTGTGTGTGTGTGTGTGTACCTTGGTGTTGAAGCCCTCGGCATTCTGGGTGATTCGGTAGAGCTGCGGGAAGCGGAGCATGTTCTGTTGGCTGCACGGCCGGTCAAATATTCCCAGAGTGAACGGAGGCAGTGCGGTAAATATCTGCAATACACACACAGACATTAAAACACACTCTGACAATCAGCAGTGGCATTACAGAGGCCCTATTATGATGTTGGGTTATATAGAATTGTGAGCAGTTAAATGGTCTGCAAAGGCTAAGAATCCCAACGTTCCTGAAAGTCCTCCATGCGACTCCTTTGTTTACTACCATGAAATCACTATGTACCACTTCTATTGGCTAGCCTTTCAACACAAATTGTACGTGATAGTCTAAGGGGCGGGACATCTCTAAGCGCCGGCCAGCTAACCAATCAGAGCAGACTGGGCTCTGGTTTCAGACAGAGGGTGAAAAGAGGTGCTGCAGCACAGGCAGTATGAGAAAAATAAAGAGCTTTTTGAACATTAAAGCATGGAGACATGTCCCAGTAGAGACACTACATACTGGGTGTTTCTCAATGTCAAGGAAGGATGCTCCAGAGCCACTATTTCAAGGATGCTACGTCATCGAGTCCCGCCGTAGCGAGAAATTTCGCACATGTGTATCCTCCGCGCTCTTAAAATCCCCACAATGCTTTGCGCACGGACCAATTTCCCCAAATCTGTGGCGGAAAATGTAAGGCGGGGCCTCTCATATGACGCACACTTGCACACTTGCTCGCCTGTTCCACTCTTCGTTTTCCAAATGCCAGGAAGGATTCTTGCCTAGCTTCTGAAGGAAGTGACTCGGAAAACATGTCCTACCAAGGAAGCGTCCTCGACATTGAGAAACACCCACTGATATGAACCTGAATGAGAATAATAGGGCCTCTTTAAAAAGGAATTCCATAAAGCCTGAAGGTATTTGCAGACAGTCGGACATATTCACAAACAGCTGGCACTAAAACAGAAAACACTCTGCATGCGTACAAACATTTCTGGCTGAGATTAAGAGACAAAGTGGAGAGAGATTGATGTTGAGATAGCGAGAGAGCGAGAGACACACTTAAGGTGAACAGAGAGGGGGAGAGACTGAGTGGAGGAATGGAAAAGAGTTAGGGCGGGTACTCACCACGTTGTAGAGGCCTATACACCAGCGCTCAAAAAGGATCTGTCCGGAGAACCCGTTCACAAAGGCGAACCAGAGCTGGGACACAAAGAGAGGGATGAGAGGGGATGAGAGGGACAATGGCGGAGGGTAAATCTGCCTTAGGGAGGTACTGATAGTGGAAACAGCAGCAGGACGTGGCCAAATGTGTGCCTCTGTTTACAAAATGAGAGGTTCACATGAGGAACATTTTGTACTTTACAGGGTTCGTACACTTTTTCACCAATGATTTTCAATGACTTTTCAATGACTTCTCCATGACCTTTACCTAATTTTCCATGACCAAAAAAAGTACCACTGAAAATGGTTTATTTTAACATGGAACAGGAAAATAAGGTCTGCATATGAAACATGTTGTGCCTATCTAAAACAAATCAAATAGTAGGCTTACTAGCTTCTACACGCTAAAGCAACTCAAATCTCTCACCAGCAAAATACCTCATCAGTTAAATGCCATTTTATTATTCATTACTATACGATACAGTATTTATTATCATTATAGTATTACTATTTCGGCGATTAGATAAAATATAAATTATATTTGATGCAACTTTAGTTACATTTTCATGACTTTTCCAAAACTTTGGGAAAAATATTGTTTTCCATAACTTTTCCAGGGCCTGGAATTTGCATTTTGAATTTCCATGACTTTTCCAGGTTTTTAATGACCGTAAGAACCCTGACTTTATAGTGTCAGAGGAAACCAGTGTCTGTCACTTTAATGACGTTTCAGTCGTTCAGAAGGTAAGGTCATGAAATGTAAATCAAAGTATATCATAGTTCACAAGACATAACACTTTTTAAATCAGGACAAAGACAATCCGTTCCAAACAATGGTTGATTTCTGTTGGTGCATTTAAGTCAATAGTACTTTAGAAATGTGTTTATATTTATTGTTGTAATTGTAGTGTTTTCTTCCTGGTTAAAAACGGGAACAAAGTAAATGCATCTTTAGTTAACGAAAAAAGTAAGCACATCATTCAGGAAGCAGTTATGGGAATTGTGGTCATAGTTTTATGAAACATAAGAGCAATAAACAGCACTATTTACACGAGACGGTTGTCCCATTTGTTTGCGGTAATGGTTCCAAAGCGTAATGATTCTTCTGGCTGTGTTGCATTGGTTTTTAAATATAAATTATAGTAGTTGCACTTCCTGTGCCTCCATTAAACTGAAGTTGTAAAAGCATTCCTCCTGCAGGTTGTGGCTGGCTCTGAAACCTCGTTCTGATTGTATAGAAGATAATTTACTGAAATCACAGCCTTTAAATATGACTGGCTCAGGGGAGAACTTCATTAACACACACACACAGATCTGAGGGCAGATAGAGAAAATGTTTGGGGCCGCTGCTGGGAGTTGTGGCATTCCTCGGGCATACAGTGCAGGGGTGAGGTCAGATACACAAAAACACACACACCCCCATCCCCCTTATTCTGTCTCCACTAAGTGGACAGAGACAGTCTCTAACCTTTGGCCCACAGCGCCCCGCAGGGAGCCAATCATGTGAGATAATCAGGGACACACACACACACACACACACACACACACACACACACACACACACACACACACACACACACACACACACACACACACACACACACACACACACACACACACACACACACACACACACACACACACACACACACACACACACACACACACACACACACACACACACACACACGACAGCCTAAACACACACACACACACACACACACACACACACACACACACACACACACACACACACACACCACACACACACACACACACACACACACACACACACACACACACACACACACACACACACACACACACACACACACACACACACACACACACACACACACACACACACACACACACACACACACACACACACACACACACACACACACACACACACACACACACACACACACACACACACACACACACACACACACACACGGTGTGAGCGGGACAGTAGTCTCCCATGAGGACCAGCACCTGCTGGCATCCTTAATGTGAGACACAGGGTGAGGAGGGGGTGGAGCACAGCTGACACACACACACACCCAAGGTCTCGTCGCTGCTGATCTAAACACACGTTTTTTTTTTTCAGTGTGTGTGTGTGTGCAAAAGAGACAGAAAGCAGACACCAGGAGGGCAGCTCGTCCATCACTGTCAGCCATGTCGACAAACAGCTGCAGAACGTCTCTGTTAATGTAACTGTGTGTGTGTTACCTCTATAATGTATAGGACCACGTTCTTGTAGAAACAGTAGAGGATGCACTTGGTGACACGGTTGTAGCTCCACGCCCCATGGACCAATAGCAGCTTCTCTAGATAGCAGAACTACCAATCAGGGGAAAGGAGAGCAGAGAGAGATTAATTACTATAATTACAAGACAAAAAAAAGAGGAAAAAAGAACATTTAGTATGGAAATGGAGCCGAGATAACATTTAGTATGTGGCAACGAGACAAGTGGAGGATTCCCACTGATACAGGCAAGTTGTGCAAGATGCCCAGAGGCTAAGAGATAAACAACCCAAACAGCGAAAGTGACAGAAAAGACGGACTCGGCAGTAATTAGGAGAACCCTCTGGCTAGTTTCATCCAGTTGGTGTTATGGTCACACAGATAACAGATACTATTCTTGTAAGAATTGCGGGGAAAAGAGATGGTATATAAATATCTTAAATACGTTTTTTAATTGATTAAATGCTACCATTAAATAGACCTTAGCATTAAGAAGCAAATACACACTTCCTGAAATTACTAGGAGCATAAACGTCTTATGATTTTCTTATCGACTTTCCTTAATTGTAAGAGTTGTAAGAGTTCTTGTTAGATAATATGACACTTGAGTGACCCCCTAAGTTAATTAAGCTTTCCTCTGCAGTGATGTCAAAGATCAGTATGATGAGGACAGGACTCATAAGACACTTGATCAGGGTGCATGGACCGAGCGTAAATCCATTATCTACGTTCAAATTAAGCCTGTAACGTATCTGTACGAGCCTAATGAAGCATGAAGGACTGTCCTCTGCATGTCTCTACGTCCCACCTGTGCTATGGAGTAATCAGAGGAGTTGGTGGCCTGCATGCCCTCGTTGCCGCTGATCCCGACTCCAACGTGAGCCGTCTGGATCATCCCCACGTCGTTGGCACCGTCGCCTATCGCCAGCGTGATCGCCTTCACGTGCTTCTTCACCATGTCCACGATCTCTGACTTCTGAAGCGGAGACACTCTGCGGACGCAATGAGAAGAGAAGGAGAGATTCAGAATACTTTATTGTACATTAGATTAATATATAATGAACTATAAATACAATTAATTATACATAAGAATTAGGTGATGGTATTGGTGGCAGATTGTCCTCAGAAGGATCCTTGAAAAGGGGGCTTAAGTTTGTGTGTGTGTGTGTGTGTGTGTGTGTGTGTGTGTGTGTGTGTGTGTGTGTGTGTGTGTGTGTATACTATAGGCATACACAGCAGTACAAATACAAGAACACTGGAAAAAATGGAAAACAAGAAACACATTTTGAAATAAAACGGGAAATAAAACTAAAATGTTCTGCTAATAGAACTCGCTGCGTTTCTATACGTGGTACAGCGGTGCGTTGTGAGTGTGTGTTCAGGGAGCTTCCAGTGGTACTCCACCCTCTTGACCTGTATCACTGATCCCTCTTTTCATAACCGGTTCTGTGTCTTCGGTGACAATGAGGGAGTCAGGGAGGCTGGATTACAGACGTCTCCCTCGGGGGGGCTGAGAGACGACGGGGAGGTGTTGCATTTGCTGAAGTACTGCGGGTATGTGTTGCATTTTGTGGTGCCGTGTGTAACATCTGCAGACATATGAGAACACACAGCTCCAACCCATGGCCTCTGGTGTGTTGGTTTGCTGTTTGGAGGTTTAGGAAGTGGTTTCCTCATCAATTATTACTTTCCTCAACCGGCTGCCATGGAATAAACTGTGAGAACTTGAGCTGTTAATCACATGGTCTTCCTCAGGATTTAATCTATTTTTTCTAAACACTTTAACCCTTAAATGGTTTCTGTATCATATGGGATACAGTCATTTCACAGGCTGTGCCCATGTGTGAAATGGGCGTAATAACAGTGTAATATGGGTGTTACATCGATGTAATATGGGTCTAACAGCAGGGTATTGTAGGTGTAACGTGGGTATAATATGGGTGTAACAATGGTGTAACATGGACGTAAAAACAGAGTAATAGGGGGGTATTAATGTGAAATATGGGGTTAATAACAGCGTAATATGGGTATAATTTAGGAAATACCAATCAATTAATGTTACATAATATGTGAATGCAAATTTAAGGGTTAAGGATTTTCAGGACTAAACATTGATTTAAAGTGAAGTTTTTTTTGTTGCATTGTTGGAGGAGCTCAGGTCAGAAGAATTTCATTGCCATTTCTACACTGTAGCTTTGTGACAATAAAACATTTTAATCTTTTGACCTTGAAAACAATACCACAAGTTCTATTTAATAGCAATTCTGATTTTTTTTCTGAATTCCCCGTGCATTTTGCCGTGCTACCAAGACATTTATACGATCCCGTTTCCTTTATTTATGTTGTTGAAAGTGCAGCTTTGGATAAAAGTTATTTTCAGAGAGATATATATATATATGTGAATTGGTCCATCTCTCCTTTCATAACATGCTTTGCTACTGCCTGTCACTCACATGAACACAGCTTAAGTGAGCCTTGTTCTTACTACCTGCACTGCGCTGTGAAATCACATCTATCAACAAAGGAGGCGACATGTGATACTGGGAGTGGGGTTACACCTGTATAACAAAGCAAGATATATTTCCCACAGTACAGGACATGCAATTGTAGAGTCTTACAGTATGCGTAGTATGAGATAAACGTTAAAAGTGTATATAAAATGAGGTATTTAATTCATATGTTACGTCATGTGGAGTTACAGTAGGCCATTTGCCTGTTGGCTGCATTACTAGAGATTAGCATAAATCCAGGTGTTAAATATTTACATTACAATTCAGTGATTATAGTAATTACCTGAGCCTCAGTGATGTATTAGGTGATAGTGATAGTATCAACACGGGGCTTTTGGGTGGACAATACTTCAAAACGGTTCCTAAAAAGCGGAGTGTGTGTGTGTGTGTGTGTGTGTCTGTCTCTTAGAGTCATGCATTAAATCCCTGCCATGTTCGTCCGTGTTCAGATAATGATATTACAAAAATCTAATAATGTGCAGCTGCATGGAGAGTCACATGCAAACAGAATGCAGCGAGGCGCTTTGATAAAGATATGGCACACACACACACACACACACACACACACACACACACACACACACACACACACACACACACACACACACACACACACACACACACACACACACACACACACACACACACACACACACCACACACACACACACACACACACACACACACACACACACACACACACACACACACACACACACACACACACACACACACACACACACACACACACACACACACACACACACACACACACACACACACACACACACACACACACACACACACACACACACACACACACACACACACACACACACACACACACACACACACACACACACACACACACACACACACACACACACACACACACACACACACACAAATATGTAAGAAGGATCATGTGCCGGTCAAGCTGGAATCACAGAGCTGGGTGGTCTGCTTAGTATTCATACATAGGCGTGTGCGTAAACACACATTTACACACATGCACAAACACACTCACTTCCCCCCACGAGCCAAAAGGGAAAACCTCAGCAGATTCTTGCAGAAGGATGGGATCAACCTCTGCTCTTAGTTGCTAAAGTGTGTGTGAGTGTGTGAGAGTGTGTGTCTGCCTGAGTCTCTTGGCCTCCGACCACAAATCTCTCTTTATCTCTGTGCCTCCCCGCCGCTCTACCTTTGCTCTAAACACCGCTCACAGAGTCTGGGATTGTGTAAAGTGGCGTTGGAGAGATGAAAGGCTCCCAGTGCTCTTCACGGTGGAACTGAGCAGAAAATAAGCAGCCGCTAAATCCTCCTATAAACAAACGCACAGTGAAGTCAGGAAGCCAAGCGTACGAGTGCGCCCGAGACAAACACACATTCCCAAATGTCGGAACCACACATACAGGAGGTGCGATCCTTTTAAGTCTTAAAGCTCACGCTCATTATGTACAGGCTCCTTATTAACGGTGTTATGGCACACTTCAATTGGGAATCACCTACAGCGCTAGTTCCCAAAGTGACGGTCGGGACCTCCCAAGGCATTGTGGGATGTCAAATAAATTAAAATCTAACCTCAGGTACCCTAATGAAGATTAAGGATATTATAATAATCTCAAGTACGCTCCTTTACATGTGAATACCTACATTTGCCTCTTTTGCACAAGCTGGAAACATTGATGTTTGATCCCAGCATGAAGCAGTTTAGCGTTAAGGGAGGAGGGAGTAGGGACGGAGTGAAGGAAAGAGGAAAGGAAGCAAGTGGCTGTTCATAAGGCCTGAGAGACTGAGTCCGGATATGGCCTGGATATGTAAGGGAGAGTCAATTACTTCCCTTCTGGCCGCACACACGCGCACGATCACACACATAAAAGCCGTGTGGAAAGTCTTTTGTTAAACATCACAGCTGGCGCCGGAGTGGAACATGACCAAAAAAGGGCACACGCAGTAAACATTGTATGAACAGAGTGCACTTTGTATGAATGGAAATGTACAGTATAATGACAATGTGTGTGTGAGTGTGTGTCGGTGCCCATTCCTGGGGTGCCACCCGTTAGTGAGTCATTGCTTTGACATTTCCATGCAGTGTGTTACTCTCCTCCTGCTGTGCAGTGGAAAGGCTTTTATCGTACGCCTTCATGTGCCGACCATGTACCCATACACACACGCAGGTACACACGCCAAACAAGGGTCTGCGTGACAAAGACTTTGTATGTTAAAATACTGCATTCAAAGTTTTTAATTTGTTTGGAGCCTGCACATTTTCTCTGCACAGAGGGGGTTTTCCACAGCATATAAATCATCCTGTGTATCTTTAAATGTTGATCCAACAACTGTTGCCTGACCCTTTAATGGATTACAATTCCAGACTTTTGTCTAGACTTCCTGCAGACTATTTTTGTTTAGTTACAGGAAGGGAAAAGTGTAAAAAGGCCCCTTTAAAAGACCACTGAATTGTATATTTTGTGTGAATTCAGACTTCCAAAATGTGTGTAGATACCCTGTGGATGACCAACGCTTGCTCATGTAAGTGAATCTCTGTGTGTGATGGATGAGTCTTCCCTACCGGCAGCAGATGACAGCCTTGCAGGACAACGCCAAGTCGAGGAAGGCCTGGCGCAGCTCGAAGGACAGAGCGTACTTCAGCGTCTGGCCGTCGATGATCAGCGCCAGCTCGTTCTCCTTCCCCAGAGAGTCGCCCAGGGACGAGCAGTGAGCGGTCAGCGTGGCTCGGGTCGCCTGCGAGGAGACAAAGAAACACAGAGGGGGGGGGGGGGGGGGGGGGGGGGGGTTTGAGTTTTTCCTTTTCCTTGACCCTGAAAATGACTCAATCTGGCAACATCCCTCAAAGTGAGCGCATGTTCAGGTTCTGCAGATACTGCGGCCTCATAAAGCGGTGGAAGCACACATCAAAACACACACACATTTGTAGAAAAGGTCAGAATCACTGCGGGTAAATGGAAGACATATGCTCATGCTTCCACAAGCTGCTTTCATCTGGGGGAAGAATTCGCTTCTGTGTACACTAAACAATGAAGAATGCCAGTATAAAGTTCACAGTTGTTTTTGACATTATCACAACACGCTAACGCTTCAAAGACCTGAGGGCACGTTGAACCACCATCAAATGTGAAGTCTTTACAACACACTACAGTGGGAGAACATATGCAAAGACACACACACACAATAGGGGGAAACAGATAAATGTGCAGGTTTAATGTTGTGATGCGGTTAAATGCATCATTTATATCTGTGTGTGTGTGTGTGTGTGTGTGTGTGTGTGTGTAGATGCCAGCGTGCCCTGCAGTAGTTTGGGGGCAGTTTTGATGGAGCTCTTAATAATAGAGGAACACGGATTAATAGAGAAAATAGACATCCCCCGGAGTTGTAATGAATTCCAGGTGGAGGAGCAGGCACGCTACAAGTTACCACACACTCACACACACACACACCTGATTGCTGAAATTAAGATTTCCACGGCCCCAATGTTATGGAGCATTAAAATGGTTCAATATGTATCGTCCCTGCCTTGTGTGGTCCAGATGATTCTCCAACAAGAAATACACTTATAGCTTTAAATAGGGGTCGTCATTAAACCAAGTAAAAAGTGGTTAACAGGACTTAAATCTAAGCTCTGGCTTTATGTTTCTAAGAGCTCTATACATTAAGGAGACCTCTAGGTGAGTCCAGGGTACTCCAACACAGATGTTCTATCCATCAAATGTCAAACACTAGAAAACAGCTCATCTGCCGTCCATCAGGGGACAGCTTTGTTTGGTGCACATGTGGAATTCAGCTTAAACGCATAATAAATAAGGACTGACGCAAAACTAAATTCCCCATAACAGGAGCTGTTTGTGGAAACAAAGCCAATCCAACTAAACACAAGGCCATCAGAGACACAAAGCAAAACCTTCAGAGACACAAAGCAAAACCTTCAGAGACACAAAAGCGACAAACATTTGAAGATTTGAAGAATGTACACAGCGGGTTATTGGCGGCCGTCGGACCTGAGAGTCAGTGACCCGCAGAGAGACGACCCCTCCGTCTGCCGGTCAGCATGTGTGTGCGCCACACACACACACACACACACACACACACACACACACACACACACACACACACACACACACACACACACACACACACACACACACACACACACACACACACACACCACACACACACACACACACACACACACACACACACACACACACACACACACACACACACACACACACACACACACACACACACACACACACACACACACACACACACACACACACACACACACACACACACACACACACACACACGTAACCCAATCATAAGAACAATGCGGCCTCTCTTCTTCTTGCCAAATAGCGATGCTCACATGCACACAAGTGTCCCTCCTCTCTTCCCCAACACACAAAGTTCCCTGCTCTTGTTTTCTCAGCCTGAGGCGGTGTGTTTTTCTTTGTACGCCGGAATTCCTGTTTGCATTCACCTTTTTCCCCAAACAGGGGGAAAGGAAAACAAAAACATAATGAAGGGATTAAAGGAGATTACAGGTTGTCAGAGTCCTGGAACTCAAAGTGACTATGTGTGTGTGATGTGCATGTGTTTTTACAGAGGAGAGAAACATGTGTGTGTTTGTATGTAAGTGCACAGGGGTTGTGTGTGTGGGTGTGTGTACATGTTGTGCAAGGGTTGGAGATGAGAATTTGACAAAACTGACTCCTGCTTGTCCTCACTTCATCACAGAGGAATACACACAGAAAGCCTCAGCAGCGTAATGCGAAGTAAACAGCATGTAAGACAGCATTTGGGGCGGTTGGTGTTCAGTGGTGGAAGAAATACTCAGATCTAGTACTTAAGTAAAAGTACTAGAGAGTAGGAATACTCAGTTACAAGTAAAAGTCCTGCATTCAAAATGTTACTAAAGTAAAAGTACAAAAGTATTGGCATCAAAAAGTACCAAATCCAAAGTATTAATATTATATCACTGGAGTATAATGAGTGATGCATTCAAGTGCGTTTCATATTAATGTTGCAGCTGTTAAAAGGAATAGATAACATTGATTACTTTGTATATTGCCCGATAGCTCCATCCATAATAGTACGTTCAAGTTTATTACTGGATTTAATTGTTGTATTAATTAAATGAACCTGCAAAAGTAACTAGTAACTTTTCAAATAAATGTAGTGAGTAAAAAGTACAATATTTGCTGCCAAGATGTAATGGATTAGGAGTATAATAAAGTAGCATAAAATGTAAATACATGTACCTCAAAAATGTACTTTAGCACAGTACTTGAGTACATTTACTTAGTTCTTGGGTGTTAATGCAGAACGTCTTGCAAAACCCTGCATACAAAGGTGCATGATTTGGGAGTAGATGTAGAAGAATTGAATAACAGATTAGTTGCTAGAAATGTCTGAATTCACATTATAAAGGGCACTAGAAGAGCATCACACACACGGGTTAATCCTCACGTGAATGCAGACATTTCAGCAGCCTAGCAGTGAGGTGCCAATGCAACACAGCGGCTTGTCACAGCAGGTCCAGTCAGAGATTAAGATAACCTGGGATAATAACCAGGCTAAGTCTGCAGGGAGCTATAGCAGATTCAAAAGGTAACTAAGGTACACTAGTTAAAGCAAACAGGCGGCCATTCACTGAAGTACAGCAAGTCCAGACCCAACAGCATCCTCCTGAGAAAGAGCAGGGTCTCAACATGAAATGAAACAGCTCGCAAAACGGTCCGCTACGATCTGTTAACACGTTCTCAAAGAGAACAAACATGAGTAAAAAAAAGGAACTCCATTACTGTGTAACTTTTTTCTTTCTCACGCTAAATTACCCGCTATTTCTGGAGACGTTAGGGGAAAAAATTCGCTAAATTCTTTGATTGCACCGTTTGCAATAAGACAGAACTCATTAGCGGGCGTTTTGGTGCCAGACTAAATGTTTATTTTTCATAAGCATCTGAGCTGAAAGAGGTCGGAAAACCACACACACACACACACACACTTTGTAAACCATGTTCACAGGCCCCTTCTGCGTGGAATTTTATCGGGTATATATTTGGATCGCAAATGGGAAGGGCATGGAGGCGGTTTGAGATATCACAGGTCACCTTCTCTATTGCATACTTTACTAAACACTAACACACACACACATATACACACACACACACACACACACACACACACATATATACAGATATCTATCTATATATATATATATATATATATATATATATATAAATGCACACAATGAGGATAAGGAAAGCCAAATGTTGATCCATTCCAGACCATCTTTTACATTCAGAGAGCTAAATTGCTACTACCGTCATGACAAATGTACATAGAATATTTTAAAAAGCATTAAGCGAGGGACAACTGATAAAAGCGAGAAATAAAAAGTATGAAATATAATAATCTGTGTGTAAAACTGAAACCAGATTTGTAAACTCACAAAAATGTCTTTGCAAACATTAAAATGATCTGCAAGTATGCAAACAAAAGGGAATGGATTGTAAACTAGACTCGAGGAAAAGGAAAAGAGACGGAGTGAGGAGAAGAAAGGCATGCTCATATCTGAAGTGCAGATTCTGTCACCACTGAGATTTAATACTCTGTTTAATTATCACACACACACACACACACACACACACACACACACACACACACACACACACACACACACACACACACACACACACACACACACACACACACACACACACACACACACACCACACACACACACACACACACACACACACACCACACACACACACACACACACACACACACACACACACACACACACACACACACACACACACACACACACACACACACACACACACACACACACACACACACACACACACACACACACACACACACACACACACACACACACACACACACACACACACACACACACACACACACACACACACACAAAAACGTATAATGTGTGTGTGCAAAAAGATGATTAATGAGCAGAAGAGAGATGTTGTTTGTTTAAGAGTTGTACTGCGGGCAGCGAGACGGGAGAGAGGGATTGTGGGAAAGTTGGATGTAATGTATATTCAGAACTATCAAGATGATCAGGGTGTTCATGTGCCACTGCATCTAGGGTAAACAGTGTGTGTGTGTGTGTGTGTGACTGTTTCAGAGGCAAACATTTGGGGTACTCAACTTTTCAAGGTTCACAATAAGACTAGGGGCTGGAAACTAGACTAAAACAAAAGGGGGCGGGGCTCAGTGTGTGTGTGGCATGTGATGAAGGTGACAGATGGCGCTCGTCACAGCTTCAGTGGTCGCAAAGCGTTTACCCAGGAGGCATTGCTCACACGGTTTGTTTTGATGAGGAGGAGCACCAAAAGGAGATCGCGTTACTACTCACTCATCGCCTTCACATTTCCCCCTTTCTTTCCCACCCCCTCTTTCTTTGTCCATCCAGATTGTCTATCTCATACATGAAGTACAATAAACACTTCGATTTCCAAACACACTCCCGCGCTTACAGTAAGATAAACACACATGCATTTGTTGCTTGTTCCTGCTCTTCCTCTGGCTCACACATTCATTTTGTTCCTGCGTAGTTGCTTCCTGTGCATAGAGAGAGTGCTGACAGATGTGGAGGTAGCAGTGTGAAGGAGACATGGAGAATATAGTAGGGGGGGGGGGGGTGCAACTGCAAAATCCAACGCTACAGCAGAAAGGAAGTGATACGGTGGGACTATTTTTTTGTTTTAAAACGAGGGCAAGAGGTCAAACTGGAGGTGAGATTTTGATAAGCAGCTTCTGTTTTCGCTCACACGTTCAGAACGGTCCCACGGACGTAAAGAAGCTGAGCCAGCGGCAGTTATTTTAAGTGTGAGATAAGTTTTGTGCTGAAGACCGTGTCGCTTTCATCCACGCCGACCAGCAGTCACCACCGGACTGTTTGAAGTCCTACTGATTGACAGGCGTGACTGTGACACCACGTGCTAACATGCTACATTTGAACATTTCCATTACATCCCTATGTCGGGATATACATCTAATCAAGTTATTCATGCGTTTATTTAGGAGATATCTGACTGTCAGTGGGACGGCATTACTGTATTTTGTGATCACTTTGTATCAATAAAAGTCCATCTTATCTTATCCCTATAATAGGAGGTGAATCAGCTTTCATTATTCCCATGTTTTAAATATGGGTTTGAATGCAGCAGTTTGTTTATTCTGTCTGGTGTTTGCTGCGTTGCATTTCCAGCCTCTTGAAAGCATGCGCCATGCATACTGTAGATCATGGACTTGTCACATGAAGAATTCCACTCATGACCCGTGGTTTATGTTTCATGTCAACCAGCTGTCCCTCTCAACTCTGCTGTCTCTGTGCACCATATAGAGTTGTGTCAGTCCAACTATTTTACAAAACATCTCTCATGAGTGATAATGACCCTGAGATTTCAAAAGCTTGCTCAAGGACACATCAGCAGGGTGCATGTTTGCCATTTCTGTGTACTGAGGCCAGCTGAAAGATGGATTCCCTGAGTGAACCGAGTTGTTTTTGAGTTGCTGCTAAATGAGTATTAAACGGAAAGTCTGCATTTTGCATAAGGACATTTTAAAGGGGCCCTATTTTGTTAACTTTCAGGTTCATATCAGTACGTAGTGTCTCTACTGTGACATGTCTCCATGCTTTAATGTTCAAAAAGCTCTCTATCTTTCTCCTACTACTAGAGCCCAGTCTGCTCTGATTGGATAGCTGGATGACTCTGTTGTGGGGCTGGAAAACCCAAAAAAGCATAATAGGGCCTCTTTAATAAACTCAGCCACTTACTCACTCACTCACTATTCCCACCAGTTTTTTCTTTGTGTTTTCAGAGTATTTTTTTTGGGACAGATTAGCGTCTATTGGTGAGTGACAGTGTACTCGGGTCGCCAGCTCTTATCACTAAGTAGTATTTGTTTATACTGGAAGTCCCATCTTAAAACAGCAACTCTCAACAAAGGCCTTCTTTGCAACAGTACACCCTGACTCATTATATGTCATTCACCTGTAGACATATTTAAAATGAGAGGGGTTAGACATTTTTTCTGGCATGTTGGTGCAGAAAAAGACTTAAATGACAACAAGAACCTCTTGTCTTAAGTGCTATTGGATCTATCTCCATGTATGTGTAATCTCTGGGGAAGAATGTATCCAAGAAGATAAGTATAACATTTCCTCTGACTGCAATTAAAGCCTATAGACAGGAATGTCAAATATGTCCAAGCAATAACGGCGGGGCATGAAAATGAAAGAAACTACTTTTTTTTAATTTGTCACCTGTTGGAGCTGAGTGCTTCATGCTCTGACCCAGACCAGACTGTGAACTTTAGAGTAGAAGAGTACTGTATGTGGTGGCTGCTAATAAAATCCTCCAAACCATATTAAGAATGATTCACTTAAAGAGGGCTAACTGTATTAGCTTTACCCTCTTGTACTTATAGCGTAGGCAGTTCTCAGGCTTAAGTTTCTATATTACCTTGACATTAAATGGTCACCCTGTGCGGCTCAGTTTACCCAGCGTCTAAGCGGCCTTGCATGCTGTCTGGCCCACTTTGAATCATGGGAATGTAAAATCCCATATGTTTTCTTTACTAGAACTTGGAATAACTGAGAAAACAAAACTATTATAGGTGTGAAGTGGTGCAATCACATTTAAATTCCTGACCAAGATGAACATTTTCGCACAGGATTCCACAATGCTATCCACATATAGGTTTCTAAAGATTGTGCTATGACAAAAAAAAATCCCTCTTTGTGCCCACACCCACCCATAAACAGACACACCAGTACACACACACACACAGTTCCGACGCTTAAACTTTACGAGGCATAATCTCCCCGGTCTCGCGTATAAACAAACTCTGTAAAAGTGAACACACTGGAATTGTGTGTGTGTGTGTGTGTGTGTGTGTGTGTACACATGTTGTGGGTCATGGAGTGTGTGAAAGCGAGACAGACACAGAGACACATGACAGGAATCAGGCCATTTAGGTTAAGCAATCACACATGAAACCTGAATGTAAAGAACATGGATCTCGGGATTGAATCTAATGTACAGAGCTCAGACATCACTGTAAATAGCAACAAGAAATCATGAACATGTGAACACACATTTAGCTAGAAATAGGTTAGATAGAGCAGGGATTTTCAACCAAATTGTCAGATTTCACTTAATCTGTCCCAAAGAATGATGCCTTAATAAGATCCAACAGCGCCTTAAACGTCATCTCCATACAAAACAACTGTCACTTCAAAACAAGACTATTATTTCTCTTCAACTGTTATGAGAAGGTGTCAGAGATCTCAAAGCTACTTCGGGTCTGAACTCGTAGCCAAATTCAGAGACTTGTCATTAGATTATCACAATATATATGATGTGTTAGGCTACATGTGTCATTTAGTTATTTTATTTGGTTGTTGGTGTGATTCTTGAAATGTAAATAATGTACCGAAGCTCAAACAGACTGAGATAGAGAGACGGAGACTGTGTGTTGAAAGCCAGGCACAGTATGTGAATGTGGAAGAAGATGTGATGCTTCACTACTCGTCTCTTTTCATCTCCAGAGGGACACCAGAGACTTTAATTACCTGCACCTGTGGCGCACACAAAGAGCCCCACCCACCAATCTGGCTGCGGACCACACCTTAGTTTCCACAGTAACCTGCTCAAAACCCTACAAACTCCTACCTGTACACACAACAAATCTCAATCCTGTACACAGAAATAATGTGTACTCACATCCAGAGAGTCCTCGTTGACGATGAGGAGGGACATGCCGTGTGTAATCAGACGACAGGAGTAACCTGAGAGACGGATAGGTGGAGAATGGGGGGGAAGGGTGGGAGATTAGATTTAGTCAAACCCAAAACACAAGGGGGAGAAACTGGTCTCATGTATGACTGGATTTACACAGCTATCTGACTCCATTCAGCCTCCGGACTGTCTTAACTCTATTGTAGTGTGTTATGCATACTTCGACTCCATCATGCAGCGATCAGCAAAACAAACCTCTGAATATCAGGTTTAAGAAGCAGTTTGATTATAAAAGGTGTGTGAGAAATTACAATGCAGTTCAGAGGGTGTCCAGACTATTTATTTTTTTCTTTGTAGTTTTTGTGGACAAACTTGCACTGGCCCTTTTCACTTAGAGATTGGAGACATGTCTGGCATTTCACAGCCTACATAATGGTGGCTATTCTTCTCGCAGTGATTTCATTAACTCCACAATAAGAACAGTTTTCCTCTACTGCAGGGACAAGGGGACTTCCAGTTAACAGCAACTCCACAGCTCTTACTCTCCATGAAGTTGTGGCACGACCGTCTTTCCTTTGATTCACATTTTGTCCATTAGGGATTATTTTCTCACCGATGTTGATGGCGGTCTCCTGTTTGTCTCCGGTGAGGACCCAGATCTTGATGTCGGCCTTCATCAGAGTGGCGATGGTCTCGGGAACGCCGGCCTGCAGACGGTCCTCTATGGCCGTGGCGCCCAGCAGCAGTAGGTTCTGTTGGTGGAAAAAGATAAGAACAAAGAGATAATTTAAAAAAAGATAAGATATACTTTATTGATCCTGTGACTGACTAACTAACTGACTGACTAACTGACTAACTGACTAACTAACTGACTAACTAACTGACTGATTAACTAACTAACTGACTAACTAACTGACTAACTGATTAACTAACTAACTGACTAACTAACTGACTGACTGACTGACTGACTGACTGACTCACTAACTAACTGACTGACTAACTGACTAACTAACTGACTGACTGACTCACTAACTGACTAACTAACTGACTAACTGACTGACTGACTAACTAACTGACTGACTGACTGACTCACTAACTAACTGACTGACTAACTGACTAACTAACTGACTGACTGACTCACTGACTAACTGACTAACTAACTAACTGACTGACTAACTGACTAACTGATTAACTAACTAACTGACTGACTCACTAACTGACTAACTAACTGACTGACTGACTCACTAACTGACTAACTAACTGACTAACTGACTGACTGACTGACTAACTAACTGACTGACTAACTGACTAACTAACTGACTGACTGACTCACTAACTGACTAACTAACTAACTGACTAACTAACTGACTGACTGACTCACTAACTGACTAACTAACTAACTAACTGACTGACTGACTAACTGATTAACTAACTAACTGACTAACTAACTGACTGACTGACTAACTGACTCACTAACTGACTGACTAACTAACTGACTGACTGACTCACTAACTGACTAACTGACTGACTGACTAACTGACTCACTAACTGACTAACTAACTGACTGACTAACTAACTAACTGACTGACTCACTAACTGACTAACTAACTGACTGACTGACTCACTAACTGACTAACTAACTGACTGACTAACTGACTAACTAACTGACTGACTAACTGACTCACTAACTGACTGACTAACTAACTGATTAACTAACTAACTGACTGACTCACTAACTGACTAACTAACTGACTGACTGACTCACTAACTGACTAACTAACTGACTGACTGACTAACTAACTGACTGACTAACTAACTGACTGACTCACTAACTGACTAACTGACTAACTAACTAACTGACTAACTAACTGACTGACTGACTCACTAACTGACTAACTAACTAACTAACTAACTGACTGACTAACTGATTAACTAACTAACTGACTAACTAACTGACTGACTGACTAACTGACTGACTAACTGACTAACTAACTGACTGACTGACTAACTGACTCACTAACTGACTGACTGACTAACTGACTCACTAACTGACTAACTAACTGACTGACTAACTAACTAACTGACTGACTAACTGACTCACTAACTGACTGACTAACTGACTGACTCACTAACTGACTGACTAACTGACTAACTAACTAACTGACTGACTAACTCACTCACTGACTGACTAACTAACTGACTGACTAACTGACTCACCAACTGACTAACTGACGAACTAACTGACTCACTAACTGACTCACTAACTGACTAACTGACTCACTAACTGACTAACTGACTCACTAACTGACTCACTGACTAACTAACTGACTAATTGACTAACTGACTGACTAACTAACTGAATAACTAACTGACTCACTAACTGACTAACTGACTAACTAACTGACTAACTAACTGACTAATTGACTAACTGACTGACTAACTGACTAACTAACTGACTGACTGACTCACTAACTGACTAACTAACTAACTGACTAACTAACTGACTGACTGACTCACTAACTGACTAACTAACTAACTAACTGACTGACTGACTAACTGATTAACTAACTAACTGACTAACTAACTGACTGACTGACTAACTGACTCACTAACTGACTGACTAACTAACTGACTGACTGACTCACTAACTGACTAACTGACTGACTGACTAACTGACTCACTAACTGACTGACTAACTAACTAACTGACTGACTCACTAACTGACTAACTAACTGACTGACTGACTCACTAACTGACTAACTAACTGACTGACTAACTGACTAACTAACTGACTGACTAACTGACTCACTAACTGACTGACTAACTAACTGATTAACTAACTAACTGACTGACTCACTAACTGACTAACTAACTGACTGACTGACTCACTAACTGACTAACTAACTGACTGACTGACTAACTAACTGACTGACTAACTAACTGACTGACTCACTAACTGACTAACTGACTAACTAACTAACTGACTAACTAACTGACTGACTGACTCACTAACTGACTAACTAACTAACTAACTAACTGACTGACTAACTGATTAACTAACTAACTGACTAACTAACTGACTGACTGACTAACTGACTCACTAACTGACTGACTAACTGACTAACTAACTGACTGACTGACTAACTGACTCACTAACTGACTGACTGACTAACTGACTCACTAACTGACTAACTAACTGACTGACTAACTAACTAACTGACTGACTAACTGACTGACTAACTGACTGACTCACTAACTGACTGACTAACTGACTAACTAACTAACTGACTGACTAACTCACTCACTGACTGACTAACTAACTGACTGACTAACTGACTCACCAACTGACTAACTGACGAACTAACTGACTCACTAACTGACTCACTAACTGACTCACTAACTGACTAACTGACTCACTAACTGACTCACTGACTAACTAACTGACTAATTGACTAACTGACTGACTAACTAACTGAATAACTAACTGACTCACTAACTGACTAACTGACTAACTAACTGACTAACTAACTGACTAATTGACTAACTGACTGACTAACTGAATAACTAACTGACTAACTAACTAACTGACAAACTAACTGACAAACTAACTGACTAACTCACTGACTCACTAACTGACTCACTAACTGACTGACTGAATAACTAACTGACTCACTAACTGACTAACTGAATAACTAACTGACTCACTAACTGACTCACTAACTGACTAACTAACTGACTGAATAACTAACTGACTCACCAACTGACTAACTGACTAACTAACTGACTAATTGACTAACTGACTGACTAACTGAATAACTAACTGACTCACCAACTGACTAACTGACTAACTAACTGACTCACTGACTAACTGACTCACTAACTGACTGACTGACTAACTAACTGACTCACTAACTGACTAACTGAATAACTAACTGACTCACTAACTGACTAACTAACTGACTAACTAACTGACTAATTGACTAACTGACTGACTAACTGACTAACTAACTGACTGACTAACTGAGTAACTGAGTAACTGACTGACTGACTAACTAACTGACTAACTGACTGACTAACTAACTAATTAGTTGTCACACAGCAGCACTTAGAAAAGACATTGCACATGAATTAGAAGTAAAGCTGTGCGTTTCTCTCTATTTTGAAAGAGGCTAAAAATGGCACAGAATAAGTGGGTTAAAATAAATCATATTTAGGATTTGTCGGCGGTATGCGAGGGCTCTTTCTCTGCGGAGAGCATCATCCATATCTAGTTAGAGGACGAGCACCATGCCAGCGAGTTCGGTTGGTACAGCAGCTCTGTGTCTTCGTGCCAAGAAGTAACCCATTACCTAACCCCCCCCCATACTTTAATTTGTTCAGCATTTAAATGCATGTGTACCCTCATTAGACACACTCGGACGCTCACACAGACACACAAGTTAACACTGCAGTGTTGTTGACTTCAGTTTTATGGGGCTTTTGGCAGCCTGGTGCAGGTAATTACCCTTGTGGTCTCCCAGTCTGAGCCCCCCCCCCCCTCCTCCTGCTTCCTCTTTTCTTCCCTCTTCACTTACTTCTCTCACCTAGACCCTTAACTCTAAATCCTGGGTTTCACCACCTATAAGTACAACCTCAGAAAAACCCTATTTTTCTGAAACATCTGTATTAGTTTTCTCACGTATTCCCCACTTAGTTCTATATTTCTTGTAAACAAATACAAGATAACCAGTAAATAAACAGCAGCATCTGTCTTTGCAATCTGCTTTAAAGTCAATATACTTAATACTTAGGGACATCTAATTGTGTATTGCAATGTACAGATTAGTAATGAATGAGTATCATGTTTCTATCAGTGTAGGAATCAATGGAGCCACTCTGCCCCCTGCTGGACAACATCAGGGTATATGCAGGAATCCTGAAGTCAAATGTAAAACCTTTTAAGACCTTTTTTTAGACCCTCTCCATACATTTTAAGACCTCATCGCCACTTGGAGTTCTAACCGGTTACATTGGCGACACACTTTACCTCACATTTACTATATACAGTATTGATTGTCCTTCCTCCTTATCTTCCAACCATTTGGACGCAGACTTGCATTTCCCCATAACGATGTTGTTTAACAACCGGCGTAAACGGACCTTCGCGCGCTATCAAGCAGTGAGCGTGCGATGTCCTGTTCAGATGACGTCAAATCCAACGGGATGCCATAAATAAACTACACAGAATCACACGACACACCTACGCAATGATTACATTCAGGCAAACTGTAGAATACAACCTCTTTGGACAATTTATATACTTATTGAAAACAAGCTACAGCATGTAATACCTTGGTAAAATGCCGTTTAATACTTTTTAATAGCCTTAATTTTCGCTAAATTGATTGATCAACTTTTAATACTTTTTAAGACCCCGCGGACACCCTGAACATGAAGTGTGTGTTTGAGAATATTCTGGTCTCTCGACGTCGTGTTTACCTTTTCCAGTAGTTCGTAACACTCCTCTAGTTTCTGAGCTCTGTCTTTCAGCACCGTGCTGATGATGGTGTATTCTTTCAGCCACTCCTGGTAAGCCTCTTCCTCCAGGTCCACATAGGCGAAGCACAGAGTCCTCAGACCTGGACGGATGGGACGAGGACAACATGTGAACATGGAGAATACAACATGTTTCTAACTCAATTGAAACACTAAGAAACAGGAAAGATTGTGTAGTTTAAAGGTGGGGTAGGTAATTCACTTCAGAAACACTTTTTGTTATATTCCATGGAATGCTCTTAACATCCCGATAGCAATGAATAAATTAAATGCTTTGGCAATAAATACATAAGAAAATGTCATCTGTGGAAGCCGTGGCGCTGTAAAAAGCACGACCAATCATCTGAGCCGGCCCGGCTAAAATAACTGGATGGCCTACCTGCCTGTCAGCCTTCCATCTGTGCACAAACTTATCTCGTGCCCTCATTGGTCATGTGCGCGTTTGTGTGTGTTGGAGGAGGGGCTCTGTAAGGAAGTCTGAAGGAAGGGGCAGATTCTTTTGGGTTGCGTACTTTCAAATTCTAGCGCACTGGAGCTGGTTTCTCCATTCTTACCTACCCTACCTTTAAGCTTTAACCAAAGGTGGGTTTAAGTAATGTCAATAAGATCAGTTTGAAGACCAGGGAAGGGATGATATAAGATTGCATAGCAGATTTTATGACTACTTTCTCCCACTCTCTAACTTGTCTTACCTTCAGTAGCAAACTCTTCCAGATGAGCCATAGTTAACTCTTTGTACTGGGATGCTTCAGTCAGACGCTCAAAAATGACATTGTCCTGCAAAAACAAGAAAAAAACGCATTAATAAAAACAAATTCACAGACATTTAAACTGCTTTATTAAAATGTATAAAAGGAGATAACATACAGCTCCTTTGCAGTACAGCCTCAGCCTCCCGGTGGGGGTCCGGACCACCACAGACATGCGTTTGCGGTTACTGTGAAGGAAGCAGTGGCTTTAGAATCGAAACACAGTACAGTGTTATATCACAGAGTCATTTATTGACATATTACCTGGAGAACTCGAGCACGTTCAGCAGCTCATAGCTCATCTCCTTTCCTCTCTGGAATAAACAACAAACGGTCAGCTCTGGTGAAAAGCAGCTCATCCTGCACTGAAACACACAGACACACACTCACAGCCTCGATGATGACTGAACGCGGGGTTCTTGCTGTGAAGACGAAGCCCTGTCCTTTGGCTCCTTTGACCAGCGCTCCTTCATCTGGAGAAGACGCCTGGTAAATGATCCCGTTTTCCTCCCTCTCTGGGACCACCGTGTGGCACACTGCCATCACCGTCAGGAACTCACAGATCTGAGGGGATGTGGACTGAACACACAAACAGAGCGGACATAAGCATCCTCTAGTCTCTTTTGGGCAGGATAGATTTGAATTTAAACGGGCCTGATAATGCTTTATGGAATTGTCCCTCTCATGTAGTGTGTTTTATAGGTTTATGTAAATGATCTGCAAAGGCTAAAATCCCAGAGTTCCCTCCCAAGGAAAGCCTCCATTGGACTCCTTTGTTTTCTTCTGGAAAATAGTGACATCAGTATCTAACAGTTGCGTTCCTATTGGCTAGCGCTCCACCACATTGTACGTTATAGAGAGGCGAAGTCCCTCCCTTTCCGGTGACCACCACGGGACCTTATTTCGGAAAAAGTATGTATTGAAGTCAATGGGGAGAGAAAGATTATCTTTCGATCCCGATTGAATTGATGTTTGTCAATCTTAAAAAATCATTTCCATGTCAAAAAAGTCACAGTTTGTCGTAAAACTGTTGAAATATAAGACTATGAAAAATACGCAACTAGAAAGACTACAAATCCCAGAGTCGCTGGCTCTTACGGAGGAGCCTCTCTCTATAGGCTAAGGAGCGGGACATCAAATGAGCATATTAGGGCCTCTTTAAATAAAAACATGTTAGGAAAGCTAGGGACACACTTACATGAGTCTCGATGTTTTGGACTAGAGTTGGGTCGTCGAACTCTGTAGAGTTATTGGGGCTGGCCGGCAGAGTGCTGTTGAAGAAAAATACATTTATGGCCAAATACTGTCTAATACTGAGAATAAAATGATATGTTTGGCACTCGAATAGCACTCCAGGCCATGATAGGTGAGGTTTTAGTGATCATAGCGCATTTATTTAACACATGCAAAGCCTAAAATGACCCGACCAGAGGAAACTCACCTGAAGTCATCCATCGAACGATCACAGTCAAGGTCAGGGAAGTGGCTGCAGTGATGGATGAGGGTGTGTTGGGAAAGGAATCAATCAGTTGATGATTTGATTAGTTCAATACAATTATTAACAGCTGATGTTTTAATTAACAAGTTAGTCTGAGACATGATGTGGTATAAAAATAGAGATTTAAAAAGGAGGTTATTTGCATTAGGTGGAATTCTCAGCTACCTTTCTTTTTGCAGGTGGACTTTAAATATAGATAAAGAAGAAATAAATAATTTACAAGAAAACAAAAGAGATGACTGACCCATATGTGAGTCCTGCAATGGTACACTTCTTAAAGTGCATGATGTTACAGGTCAGAGTCCCTGTCTTGTCGGAGAAGAGATACTTCACCTGGAACAGAACATGGAGAAAAACAAGTACTTAGCACCCATTTCCAATCTTAAAGTGAGTCATTATGACGAAGAGAGGGACTGACCTGTCCTAGTTCCTCATTCAGATTGGACGTTCGAGCCATGGCTGGTGTGTCTGTTTCTGCGTAATACATCTCCATGTCCTGAGGGGGGGGGGGGGGGAAATAGCAGCTTAGTATTCAAAACAAAAATGGATGATGTTCTTTGCAGAAAAGAATAATGATATATACTTTGAACACACACACACACACACAGCGTACCCAGTTGATGAAGAGCGCCTGTGTGAACTTGACGACCTCCAGAGTGACCAGCAGGCTGATGGGGATCAGGTTGTTGTACAGGATGATGAACGTCAGCAGGTTGTACGCAAAGTTAGTGGAGATGTCATCTGTAATTATAATCAGAACATATCATATATATTATTCTAAAATGGGCCAATTGGAAGAAATGTGTACTTTAAGTATATTCTGATGCTAATACTTTTGTACTTTTACTTGAATAACATTTTGAATGTTGTGGTGGGAATGTATTTATCAAATGTGGATAGAGAATCAAACCATTCAGCTGTCATACAGTCTGCAGAGTGAAAGACCAAGAGTAGAGTTTGGGATATTTAAACACAGAGAGAGGAGAAAGGGAGGGGTGGAGCTTGGTGATAATGAAAGGAGCATTCTGGAAGTTAGGGAGGACATATCAGGAAGGTGAAGGTCATACTGTTGGTGCACATAGAGTGTAACTAACAACACTGCAACAAATCTTCTTAATAAGGAATGTTCCCAAGCTTAGCTAAGTGTGAGAAGTAGTAAATAAAGATAAACATTAGCAAATACGAATCACACAATGATATTATTAAAGTAAGTAAGTCAGTATAATATTTTTCTATTACAAATCCAGTCTGGTACTTCTACTTTTACTGAAGTACAAGACCTGAGTACTTCTTCCTCCTCTGGTGAAATGTGTGTGTGTGTGTGTGTGTGTGTGTGTGTGTGTTACGGCCACTGCCTCCCCGGTCCTGTTAACTCTGTTCTGAATGTGTTCTATGTAAATGAGCAGTGCGGTTGCCCTGATGTCATTGGCTACCCATCTCCTGGTCCGCCCCCGAAGATTGTGATTGGAGCACGCCGGGCCCGACGCCCTCCAATCCCAGCGCACACCTTCCGGAGACGACTACAAAGCCGGTCGACAATGATCTCGTGTGTGTGTGTGTGTGTGTGTGTGTGTGTGTGTGTGTGTGTGTGTGTGTGTGTGTGTGTGTGTGTGTGTGTGTGTGTGTGTGTGTGTGTGTGTGTGTGTGTGTGTGTGTGTGTGTGTGTGTGTGTGTGTGTGTGTGTGTGTGTGTGTGTGTGTGTGTGTGTGTGTGTGTGTGTGTGTGTGTGTGTGTTTGCTCACCGGCCCGGTTCAGGTACCAGCAGGACTCTTCGGTGTGTTGTTTGTTCCAGATGGCGGCGCCCACAGAGCTGATCAGGGCCATGACCAGCAGGATGCAGAACAGGACCAGGATCTGCATGTTGGTGACCCGCTCCACGTTAGAGCGCTTCAGAGGGGCCTTGGTGGAGTTCTGCAACAATGAATACAACACAAGCACACTCACATTAAGATGTCGCTGGATGAGGGTTCAATCGCGGCAGCCTTTTCAACACTTGTGCTTCACTAATTAAAATGTGTCATACTCATTTACAAATCATATTTGGCACACAAATCTGTCAGCAATCCAAACACAGAGACTTGGATGTGCTCCCGGTTATTAATGTGTCACTCAGTTACAAGCTCCAAATTATTCCTATGCAGATCATTAGTAAGTGAGACAGATTCTAATCTAAGGATTTTTCTCACATTATAAACAAATTACTGAATTCAGACATGAGGTTGGGTTTACCTGCATCAGTTTAGAGTCATGGCCAGTGTAGACAATAATTCCCACAACCCACTGCGTGTTTCTGAGCTGAGCGCCGCGCAGCAACACCTGGTCGGGACCCAGAGGAGCGGGACTGAGGGGAGAGAGGGAGGTAATCAGCAACAACACAGGAGACATTCATGCAGATTTAGAGCAACCTGCTTTTTTGTGTTATTTGTAGGTAAAACTGAAGATTCCTTATTTTCTAGTCACTTCTCAAGCTTTAGTTTTTCTCATAAATTCTTAATTTATGTAATTTTTTTTGCTGTATGAAAGGCTGGGCAAGACTTTAAACATCTATGATATTTATATAGATGTATCCTCCTCTCTTGGCCAGTTTTATACAAACATACTTTTATTTGTAATACTCTTGACTTTCAAGTTAGAAAAAATAACTGTGTGTGTGTGTGTGTCTGCGTGTGTGTGTGTGTGCGTGAGTGTGTGAGTGTCTCTCACTTCTGGTTCTCCAGCCGCAGAGTCCCAGTGAAGTCGTACAGGTGTCTGTTGGGGCCTTCACACTCCAGACGACCAGACAGACCATTCAAATCCTCCAGGGTCTGATAGGTAGCCGTGAGCGAGAGACCCTGGGAAATGAAATCATAAGTCACAAGTCAAGGAAAGTTTTTTGATGGAGTACTTTTGACAAACAGGATTAGAACAGAGTACATTACCGTAAATCATGGATCATAATTCAAAACGGGTCAAACTGTAATCAACATAATGGATAGAAGACCCAAGTGGATGCAAATATCAGGCGTATGAGGAGAAGTATTACATATTTCTTTGCCAACATTTAAATAAGGGGAGAATTTCCTCTCTGACCATGCATTGAGAAACCTTACAAACATAGCAATGTCTCTTACCTGTCTGATCTTCAGGTTGGTTTCTCCATCCAGGTTGGACGTCTCAGTGTAACACATGGCCTGCGGCTCGCTGTGGACAAGAGACGTCAAAATATTGAAGTGCTAAAAGTTACACACACACACACACACACACACACACACACACACACACACACACACACACACACACACACACACACACACACACACACACACACACACACACACACACACACACACACACACACACACACACACACACACACACACCACACACACACACACACACACACACACACACACACACACACACACACACACACACACACACACACACACACACACACACACACACACACACACACCACACACACACACACACACACACACACACACACACACACACACACACACACACACACACACACACACACACACACACACACACACACACACACACACACACACACACACACACACGTCTGACCTGGAGGACACAATGACCATGTCAGCTGGAAGGTGCTGGCCATTGGTCACCTTCACTATGTCTCCTACTGCCACCTGGTGGCCGGACGCAGCAGTGCAACAGCGTGAGAGGAAGGAGAAGGAGAAGGAGGGGAGTCAAGGGTAAGGTAAGGGGTCATGGAAGGGGTAAGGGGGGGAGAGGAAACAAGAAGCAGGTTATTTATGGCACAGGTTATTAGTGACCAACCTAGAGGCAGCCAACAGAGAGAGAGGAAGTCTTGAGATAAAGTGACGGGGAGCACAGCAGTGCGTAGCTTTAACTCTTTTGATTAGTCTGCAACCAAAGCAAGACAGGCAAAAATAAAAGAAATACAAGCATGTAGATAACAGAAAAGGAAAATAAAATTACGTGTTCAAAAAAAGTCCTAATTTCAAGGAAAAGAGAGCATTTTAAGGAAATCTTGTCACCACCTCTCCTAAACATGGACTTTATTGAGTCAGCAGCAGCTGGAACAAATTCCTCCACCTTTTCTGACCTTGAGTAACAAGGGGGCTACATTCCTGCTGTACACTAAACAACAAAGACTCAAGGCTGATTTGATTTGAGCTGCTGGAGCAAGACTGTACACAGCTTGACTCGGTTAATGAGTACAATCTAAGAGAGACCCCATCTAGAGAAAATGGTTATGTGTGCTACAAGGACACACAGTGGACATGCATTGTTCCGTGAGAACAGGGGGTTCATTTAGCTCCGGACACCGGAAGAAAACGCTTACTGGTTCAGAGGAAGTGCAGAAAACTATATAATTCAACTATGTGGAATATTGGAAAGATTGCCCACTAACTCACTTGTTATCTGGCTCTGAAAGGTCAATACTAATTGGACTAGTATCATTTTACAGACAGATCCTGAGCAAGCGCAGACTGAGAGACTACAGTGCTGCCACAAAAGGAAGAAAATATGGAATAACTTAACAAGCCAAGACATTTTATATTTTAATCCCCAATTTAACAAAAACTAGACCATACTTTTATTACATTAATGTGTTTGCTTTCGCCATCTATCCTAGGTGCCCTTGCAGTATTACTTTACAATAATTTGTATATAATACATTTATTTATACAGCACTTTTCAAAACAAAGTGCTGTATATGGATTAAAAACAAGCCTGGCAGGCTGCAACAGAACATGAGGTCACCTTAAAAAGCACAATAGGGCCTCTTTAAGTATTTAAGTCAATGGTAAAACTGAGTCATTGGGCGGATGAGAGAGCGACAGAGATGCAGAGTGTGATGATAGCGATACCTGTTTCCAGATGATGGTCTGCCAGGCTCCGCTCCGCAGCACTGAGAGACAAGGACAACACAGCCATCAGTCAGCCTATAGAGCCACACTCATACACAATTCATGGCCACTAAACTTTTTTGTCTGGGGCTCGAACTATAGTGAGTGACAGACAACAGCCATTCAGTCAGCCATGAAAGGAAAACCCACAGGAATAGACACACTCATGGAAAACTCACAGACAGTCGACGAGCACACACACGCGTACCTATTGTTGTCTTGTTGTTCACGGTGTTGTCTGCTTTGTGTCTTTTCTGTTAAAACGCAGAAGAAGCAGCTTTTAATATATCAGAACCAGATTTCCTGTATTTGTCCCGCACAGGGGAAATGTACATTATCACAACAGCAGAAGAAGTAAGTAAAGAGAACAGACTTACATATTAAAAAATCTAAAGTATGCACACAGTATTAACCTGTTAAGCCCCGAACCTGTTTTTCAGGTTTCAGGCTCGAAAATGACATGAACAAAACAAATGACTACAACTTCACTTCTAAAAGGGTTATATGAATAATTTCTTTTATCAAAGCAAGGTTACATCTGTGAGTTGGATGTAGAAGTGTCAGAATCAATATAGATTTTTCTCAGTCAGAGTAAATTCAGGTGGAACATAGTAAAAAAAGGTAAATTCTTACCTCCGCCTAAAGAAAAAACATTACTTATAGTAAAAACCACCCTTGAATGATGGGATGGTAGACTAAAAGGTTTAGGAATCCAAACTATAACATATAATAAGTACCCTGTATCAAGATTGAGGCAAAACAAGTTAAATTTGACCTTTTTAGAGAGGTTTAGCAAAAAAAAGTTCCAGGCGGAATAAGCTTTCGGCACATTTGGGTACATCTGGTTCCATCAGTGCCATTTGACCTTTTTCAGGTACCAGACTATAAAAATGATGTATTACATTGAATTATCACCATAGGTATTCATTTCATCCAAAGAAAAAAAATGAAAAGAAAAAAAATTAAATAAAAATTGTGAAAAAAAAAAAGACCCGCCGACGGGGGCTTTGGGGCTTAACAGGTTAATAATAAAAAACACAATAAGTAAAAAAAAAAATAGCATACAAGTACACCAGGTTAAAAAAAGTAGTAGTATATTTATTAATATTTGTTGTTGTTGGGTTATACATTTGTGTAATGTGTTTTGATGGAAAAAACAATTAAAAAGGGTAGCTGGTACCGTTTACAGATTGTAAATTAATTGAAAGGAAAAATAATTGTGAATTGCGTGAGGGTATATTGCACATATAAAGTGTAATATTTACAGACAGTGTTGTGGCACATCTGGCATATCATCATCACCATCACATGATTACAAATACTTTAAATACAAAAAGTAGTCCCTTCTGTTAAAGACACTCACATAGTCCTCAATGATCTCCTTGATCCCGGCCACAGTGAGGATGAAGATGAGCGGGACCAGCGTGGTGTAGCGACCCGTCGGCGATACATCGGGGATTTGCTGATAAGAGAGTTAGCAGTGCTGGTGTTAAGTGGCTGAAAGCACCCATAATTGGTAGCACTACAGAGATCCTCAGGAAAACATTAGAACAGGAAGGAGGTGGAGGATAATGAATGAGTGTTCTGAATGTGATTAATCTTTGATGGGGGGGGGCAGAGCCGTGTTGGAAAGCAGTGCAGCGTTTATTATGAAGATAACAGAGGGATAAACAAAACAAGCGTCCATCATCTGCTCCCATTCATGGGGATTAAGATAGCAGGGAGGCATTATCTCCTATGATTGATGATGACTGATGAGATATACATGTCATCTCTCAGCTGCCTTTGGACCTGATAGCCTTTGTAACATTATTGTCAAGATGTCTATTACTAACAAGATGGAAATCACCAAAACTACCATCCCACACTCTCTGGTTTAAAATAAATGCTCAATAATTGACACCTTAAAACCAATCTGTTACACATTGAAAGGCTCTTCCAAGAAGTTTATCTGGGGGCTTTCCAATGCAGAGGGAATGGACTTCCCAGATATTCCCGAATAAGACCTGGAGGAAATGTACCAAGTACTAGCTTTAGGCATGTAGAGAAATACTCAATACTCAATAATCCATAACTCATAATAGCTGTGCATGTGGGATTCCTGGAATGTTTTAATACCACATTTTCAGGATGCGTCATCTACAGCGTGTGTGGGAATCAGCGGCGATCACTGGTACAGTTTTGTGCGTGGGGTTTACCTGCATGAGAGCGATGAACAGGAAGAAGGCGTTGGCAGCGCGCCTGATCTGCTCATAGAGGAACCGGGGCAAGAAGGTGAGGACTCCATACTTGGTGGTACTGCAGAAGAGAAGAAGAAGAAGAAAACACGTTACTACTTGTTTACACTGAGACAGATGGAGACAGAGCCAGGTAATGCATTAGCTAAAGTTTGAATTCATGCATAAATTGTGTGCTAATGGTGTGTCCTGACGCTCTCTGAGTAACTGACTCCATTTGGGTTTCAATATTGCAGCAAACACTCAATTGTAGTCCAGAGGGCAAATTGAGTGCCATGATGGGGTGCACACACATCACACCTATAAATAATCAAATACTTTAAATCCAGCAAACCAAATTTAGACGTATAAAATAGGTGAAAAAACCTTGGCCAGCTCAACTCGTCTGTCAATCAGCTGTATTGATCAGACAGCTGTATTGATTGGCTTCGTTTTAGCCAGGAGCTAAAAGCTTTTCAAGGCGCTAAAAATACAAAAATAAAAGTCCACAAAGGACTGCCTTTTTATTTCCTGTGCGGACTGAGTGAATAGTAAGAGTGTTTATTTAATGGAAAGTGAGTGCATCAAGTGCATTGACCAAATGGGTAAAAAGTAACCCTCCCATCACAGTCCAGAATCTCCATGAGGTGAACCGCTTTTTCCATCCGTCTCACCCACACACACACGAAACTACAAAGAGCACGACTTTACACACAAGACGAGTAGCAACAGCTGTCGTACACACGCACACACACTCACACTGTCCTGACCCCGATGCTTTGCATAGCTCAGAGTTGGTGATACTACACCTACGATCCAGTAGATAAAAGCTGCCTTAATCTAATCAAAGTCAAGTGATATCACATTTCACACACGCAAACACACACATTTCCATTGGAGCGGGCATCGAGCTGTGTGTTATTTTTCATTCTGTAGGCGTCCAACATACTGGTGCTGTAAGCAGCTGTTAGCTACAGGGGTGAGGCTCTCCTGCAGCTGTGCCGCATTGACATGTTTTTGAATAAGGGAAAGTTCTGTTTTCTTTATATAGGCTGAAAGAAAAGACTTTTGAAGGCAGGGAGAAGTCGTCCCCCTAAGTGGAAGAACACAATGAGCAAACCAAGGTAAGTAGATTTGAAGGATAAAAGAGCAGATGACTTTGCTGCACTAACGTTCAGTTTGTATCAACACATCCACAGTGAAATATGAAAGTGTGGAAGGCCTAGGGATTTGAGAGGAGGCCAGTCGAGTACACAGATAAAAGCTACAAGACTTTAATCTCTGAGAAATCAATAATGCTATTGAACCTTTCAAACGTAAACTAAAGAGTTACAGGAACACAGGGACATCAGAGTGCTCCTGGCTGTCCAATCAGCATGCAGCGCAGGGCACATGTGACCCAATGAGAGAAGCCAGGGAGCACTCACCTTAATCTTATTCCTAGAGTTCAAAAAGGCTGAAAAGTGAAATGATATCTCCTGACAGTAAATGGCAGACCGCTGAATGTCAATGACAATCCTTCAACTCACAGAACAGCCCTATGGGCGCCAAGCACAGTAAGTGCATACAAATAGGAATAATAAAAGATAAAGACATGGGACAAATTAAACTGCTGCATGTCTATTTTAAACTGTCAATACAATAATTACGGCCTCAAAACAACCCATGAAATATGCAGACAATACTTAGGATGATACTTATAAAAGACACTTCTTCACTTCAGTATGACACTGCTCATGACTGCCTACAGGCTGAAAAATTAACTTTTTGGTAACACCACCTAAATGGCTGTTATATGTTAACATTTGACCAACACTTAATAGATTACTATAGTTTTTGGCTGGTGAGGGGTGTAAATATCCAACCGTCTTATGCCAAGTCATATTTTTACCGCCGTGTTGCTGTTAATGATGCCCTGCCTGCCTATAATAACATAGTGTGAAATACTATTCACTGTTGAATCAAAGAGAGCCACCACTACACATTAACACAAAATGAGAAATACCTAATCTTGTAAAGTGTGTTTCAAGACTTAGTAGTCCACGTTATACCACAAATAGTCCTGACTACAAGTATTAAACCTCCTAGGATTCAGAAATCACACACACAGGCAAGTGTGGTTACTTTACTCTCATTGGCAGCCTTGAATATTCATTAGGACATTTGATTAAGCAACACAGTCATGTAAAGTTGTTAAGCCGAGATTCCCAAGTGGACTTCAGGCAGAGACATACATCAGCCTCCTAGGTCATAGGTGAAGTAATCGGTGACTTATTAAAAAAGCCTTATCAATAGAGCTTGACCTGCGATTTAAAGCAAAACTAAAAGAAAGAGAGAAAGGGAGAGAGAAAAAGCTAATCCTCAGTGGTCCAAAGTCTGCTCGCCACACATGGCATGACGGGAGGAAAAACATACAAGGATGTCCTTCAACCTGACAATACGGGTGTAAAGCCGCTCTAAAAGCAAATATCCAGAAAGCTGCAGTGTCCTTTAGGAAGACACAGAATCCCTAGAAGCTGACCCTGTTGACCCAAATACTGGAAGTGAAGTTAACACACTCAGAGAGCTTATCACCACCTCTGAATAAACAGACAATAATGAAAAAGTATCAGATAACTTTTCATCTACTCGACCGGCTGTTTGCTACCAAGCATCATATCAATCAGCAAAATGTACTTAGTAAAAGTTGTGCAGAAAAATTGCGTTTTATGTGTTTATAATTGTATACGTGACATGTCTGGATAATATTGTAGTAGCATTTTACTGTAGACTCTCTGTAAAATATTTAAATGACTTTTTAGACATGTATTTTGTGCAAAGTAGCTAAAGCTGTTCATTTATGTAGTGGAGTAAAATCACGTGATGTACCTTTGAATTGTAGTGGGGTAGAAGTACAAAGTAGCAACAATTGAAATATTACTACTAAAAATACTACTGAAACTGAAGTTGACACACTGATAGAGAGCTTATCACCACCTCAGAATGAACCGAAAATAAAAGTCAGATACGTTTTGATCTACTCTCCATGCTGTTTACAAAGCATGCTGTAGTAGTAGGTGAAAACAGAGCATTTCAGGTACACAACATGCAGTGAAAGCCCACTCACCTGACATGGTTGTCGCAGAACTTGGTTGTCTGTGTCCCGTTGAGCAGCACCGATCGGGCGGTGGCGTCTACCGGATCCGCCTGGGAAGTAGTCCCGGACATCTCATCATCTGCCTTTCGGTATCCTCCGGACGAGCACGCAGGTCCTGCACCGTTAGAGTGATGGGAGAGAGGCGAGGCTGGGTGAGTGTCAGTGGAGAGGTGGTGAGAGACAGAGAGAGGGGAGGGAAATAGTGGGAGAGAGACACACACAGACGGACGAGGTTCAAAAGGCTCCCAATCAGGACTAGAGGATACTCTGTGCTGATGTGTGCTGAAGCCGGTGCGGTCGATTCAATGACGTTTCCCGGTATAAACACCCCCCCTTGTCTTTCAGTATTATTATGCAGGTACCGTCAATGCACACACACGCCCACGGGACCCCCCTGTGTATAATGGATGTGCTGAGGGATGCACAATGGCGAACAAACACACCGTGTGTTATGTTATCAGCAACCTGTCCATATGTAACACAGGAGAGGAGAAGACCCGGCGTGCATGGCGACTGTCATTACATGCAGAAATGATGCTAAAAAAAAGTGGGAAGAGGGTGCCCCCCCCCCTCTCTGCCTCCCATTCCCCGCCAAGGCTTTGTCATCTCCAACCATTTTACGCGTCGGGATCTCCCTGCACGCTCTCCTGCAGCGGGACTATTTTCTACCCTTAATTCTGATAGTATGTATGTTTCTGCAGGGAAATTGTGAGAGCAATGCAAACAGGTCTGCTCAGTTTACTCAGCTGCTACAGCGGACCTGGGCGCGGACAGATGCAGCGTGCCCGAGCCTCCTCGCTCCTCCTTCGGCCTCGCTGCTGAGTAAACTCCCAGTGAAAGATACTGCAAGCTCCGCAGCCGTGTCATCTGGCCACCTGCCGCCTCCAAACGCCTTTTTTTCGGGGTGAACGATCTCCTAAAACTCCGATTTGATAGCGAGCGCCTCACTAGTGCATTCAACAAGAGCAGGAAGCCATATGGAGCTCCTTCAGTGTTTCAGTGCTGCGGAGGGGAAAGCTTGGGCTCCGCTTTTAAAGGGCCAGAAGCCTGATATCGCCTTGAGATCGCCTTGAGATCTTGTGGTCGGGTCAAGTGACATCCATGAGGCAGGAGCCATGCATCAGGAGATCATTTATTGTGATCCTGTGTCTGCTCACTGGAGGATTCACAACTTTCTCAATAGTTTGCATAGATAGTTAGAATGCAATGAATGAATAATCTAGAGTGCATTTATCTGCAAAGCTACAGGTAAGCCACAAAATCCTGTCATTATTCTGATAATACTATGTCAACAACTCCACTCACTGCGTGATTCACAACTTGCTCAGTAGTTTGCATAGATGCAAATCCAGTATGCGATAAAATATAATTACCTAGAGTGCATTTACTGGGAAGCAGGTCACATCCTGTCTGATAATACTATGTCAACAAGCAGAGGTTGAAAAGTACTCAGAGCATTAAGTACATGTGGAAATACTATGGTCTTAAAATACTCCATTACAAGTCCTGAATTAAAAGGTTACCTAAGTAGAAGTACAGAAGTATTAGCAGCTTGATATACTTAAATTATTTAAACTAAAAGCAATCAGCATGCAGAGTGTATTAGTATGGACAACTATATTATCCTGTGTTTTTTATCACTAACAAACCCATGTAAGAGCCTGTTAATGTTTTAGTTTGTGAATGTTGAGCCAATTTTAGATAGTAAAGTACAATTATGTCAAAATACTTTTTAGCTATATTTCTTGAGTACATTTACTAAGTTACATTCCAGCATACAAGCTGTGAGAGCTGAAGTGAAATTCTTATTTTTGTGGGATCTTCTAGTTTCTTGGTATGACTGCATTGTGTCTGTGAGCGAGGCTGTAAGTTAAAACAACAACAGGCTAATTGCGTAAATAATTTAGAAACGAATAAGCACTGCCAGGGTTTAGCAGATTGAATTTCCGCAGTCTTGAAACTCTATTTCTGCGGCACTACACAATCCGGGCCTTTCTCTCCCCTCAATAACCAAAATATCATTATATCCCACTCAAGCCTGCCGCTGTGAAGCAGGTGATGAATTGTAAAGCGACCCAGACGAAAAACTGCCAGGCTTATCTATACTGGATGCACTATAACCACATCAGAACTCCACTTTAGCATACAAAGAGACATTAAGTTGTGTGTGTTTACCGGAAACGTCTACAATACACTTTGAAGTGCATCTGGAGGTTATTCTATCTAAGCCAGACAATTTCTTTGGATTTTGTATTTATTCGAGGTAAAAAAAGTCAATTTATTGTACTAAATTTCATAGTCATTCCACCATTTTAAAAGACCTACATCACCATTAATGTGCCATAAACCTGCAATGTGCAATATAAACACTTCTTTGCAATCGCACAGTGCTATAATCACTTTTATGTAAGAAATACCTATTTTTATAAAAGTCTCAACTGTTTTTTAATGCCGTTTCAGCACTTAGTTTTACTTAAAGGGGACCTATCATGCAAAATGCACTTTTTGATGTCTTTTATACATAAAGATGTGTCCCCGGTGTGTCGGGGAACTCACGCAGCATCAGAAAATAAAACCCTCTCTTTTTTTCCTCCGTACCCAAATCTCTAAAAACGGGGCTACAATGGAGCTGATCCAGATTTGCGTCTGATATGACGTAATATCGGAAATGTAGGCTGGCTTTACACCCGCTGCCCTATCAGAAAGTTGCTATCGGAAACAATGCCCGACTGTTTTGGACGTAATATGGTCGGTGTTTACATTAGCATCGCTAACACTCAGAGCTAACCTGTACTGGAGAGCATGTGTGTGAAGAAGCAGGAAATAAAAAGGAACTCACCTTGTGGTATAACCGGCAAGAGAGAAAGCCTTTGAGCTCCATACTGTTTCAGAAATAATCCTTGATAATCCATGATATGGCGTTTCATCACGGCAGTATTTAGTTTAGACAGTAGCTGCCGGGTCCCGCATGAGCTCAGCCCCCTCCTTTTTTTTAATTATTATTATTATTTATTTTTTAAAGCTTTATACCCAAAATCAGCACTTTTGAAACAGGAAGTGAAATAGAGGGATATGAGGCATGGCTAGAATGGGTGATCTGTTTGGTATTTTGAGCAAAACACTTCATAGACATGTTTTTTATATATTTTTATATATCTGAGACCTATGCTATTGCCTAAAAATAGCATGATAGGTGACCTTTAAATTGCTGCTACCCTTTTTTAACCAGGGTTGTTTGTTTTTATGTTGATTGTATTACTTATGTCTGCTTTTCTTTTATTATTGCATGCCCTTTTAACCTGCTAGGCCACTTTAGCTATAACACTGTAAATGTCCCCGCTGTGGGACATTTACAGTGTAAAGGAATTCTGATTTTGATTTCTGATTCTGAAAAACTACAACCTTAGTGCTTCACCAAACCAAGCCGAGAGAGCAAGGGTCAAAGTCTATCCAAGCAGAATGATAATGAGGCAGCCTATCCCTCATCTCTATAACTCTGACTGGGCTATTACCCCTGCACCTAACAGAGCTATAAGTCACAATCTCAGCCCTGCACTCCACACTGCGAATGGCACTGAGGTCAATCAAGATAGCAGGTGATTGTGGAAATGACAGAAGATGATAGAAGGTTAAAGGTAGTGAAGGGTGACAAACATTGTGATCGCGGTCCTATCACGAAGCAATCCTGTTCAGATCTTTTCTCAGGGTTTCCTTTTTCTTTTTTACACTCAGACTTTATTGATTTTTTTCCAGACAATAAACAAGAAAACAACACAATAAACAAGCAACTTCAGCACGTATGTGATCTAGAGTTACGAGAAATATTCCTGAGTATTTTGGATAACTGCAAAGCGTCCTCAAGGTTAATAGAATTAGTGTTCTCCATAGTAATTGAGTAGGGTATATTCACAATCATATTCATTTCGAGATATATTTTAAACATTTCGACCATCTTCCAGGACACCAGTTGTTTCTTAGTCTTGATGAAGGTCAGTCTCTCCATCTCATGAACTTCTCTTAATGATTTCATACTGTAGGAGGATCGGCTTGTAACCACTTAGGAGTTATTGATGGTCTACTCTTTCTCTACCTGGTTGCTTATTCTTGTTTTTGCTATTACCTCCACTTTTAACCCTCTACCTTTCTGAGCAGATCAATAGCGGCTTTCTCAGCAGCCCACTTCAGCTCTGATTCATTTGTGAGGAGGGATCAATGCCTCGGTTACTCATCTCTGATGGAGCGCAGTCAACCTAACTCATCACCGATGATTCAGCAGAAAACCCCAGCAGAGTCACAGCCAGGTCAATTACACGTGAAGCATCCATGTACCATAGGTCCGATAACCTGCGACCAGGACAGGTAAGACTAGACCGATCCGAACCTCGACAAACACTTTGATCTCATACCCTGCTCTACCAAACACCCATTTGGTTGGTGAGGCGTAAACAAGACGTGTCCCCTTTCTTCTAAACAACATTAATAAGCCAAACATCCGTCCATTAAAGGGAAGCTTAACAGCCCTTTTTACCATCTCTCATAACATATAGTTGTGTCATTAGAAGCCTATTAAAGCAAACACATTTTACACAATGGGCCGATAAAATCACCTGTTCCCTTACGAAGAACAAGGGCAAAAGAAACAAAGACAATTAAATCCATCATGCATTGTAATTTGAAGATTTTGCACTCAGCTTCATAATATCTTAAAATGGAGTATTAACTTTTGGTGTTTGGGCTGAGCCCCAAGTTTCCCTGGACTGGAGCCAAAGTTTTCCTGCTAAAAAGCAAGCTGGCTGCTGAATAATTGATAGAGACAGGCTGCATAATTCATCCACATTTTCCAGTATGGCAGAGCATATTTCACCAGAAGCTGTGCCTCGGTTCCAAGACTCAAGAAACAGCCACCGCGTTAATTAGCACAGACTTGCCAGACATGTTTAATTGAATCATGTTTAATGCACTTCATTCAAACACCTCAACCAGAGTGGAAACTAAATGAGCCAGAAAGGAAATAATCAAAACAACAGTCACAGAAGAATAGCTTCAATCATCCCCAGCTGTTGAAGCACCCGACAAGCTTAAAGGAAAAAACTGAAATCTTTTATTAAATGTATTATGTCAAGAAATGTCACATAACTGTATTAGGTTAGTTGAAAGCAATAATATTAAGTTGAACCTAATATAATATTTATCTAAACTTAATATTATTGCTTTCAACTGACCTTGTCAACAGTCTGTTGACATAATACATTTGATTTAAAGGTCCCATGTCATGCTTTTCTGGTTATTACCCGTCCCCTTGTGTGTTATGAAGGTTTTTATGCATGTAAACGGTCTGCAAAGTCACAAACCCTCAAAGTACACCCTGTAGCCCCAAAAGGACCAATCCACGGACTTCCTCACACACACACACTCAATCTTTTCTCAGCTGCAGCTCCGCCGATTTCTCCTCCCTGAGACGGCGGGACGCGGCGAGGCTGTGAGTCGGTGTGTGAGCACACACACAAACTCCCAGCCAGGCTGCGGGTGTGTGTGTGTTCGGGCTGGGTTTCGCTGTGTCTCGCTGTCTCGCAGACGGCCACTGGGCTCACAGGGAGGGGGGGGGGGGCAGGAGCTCCAACAAGCCGTTTAGGACAGAGAGTGAATACACATACTATACAGAGATGCTGTATGAGAAACCAATGCGATTTTGGAAAATTGCACAATATAAATCTATTTTAGTAGACCTCAACAATGGAATTATTATCAGTAGAAATGGCCATGACATGGGACCTTTAAGTAACGTAGGACAGATGCTGGCGGTTTACACATTTCTGTTATCTTAAAAACTGTCAAAACATTTAAAAATTGCACTATGGCAATCAGAGAGCATCCCAGCATTTTGTTTTCCACAGTTGGCAACATGGCCGCAAAGTCATTGCCCCGTAACAGCAAGGTCTCAGGTTTTAATCCCCCGACAGCCACGAGCCTGCCAACGTGTTCTTGAGCTAAACACTGATTCAAAACCTTTCAATCTCTTGAGAAAACACTAGAGATCTTCCCCCTACGACCCTGCTGTGTGGTTAGAATAGCATTACCAACGGAGCATCTTCGGTCCGGCTGACTTCCACGTCCCATGGCTGTCCCGTCCCCGACCCGCAGGCCCCTATCTGCAGTTCTTGGTCGAACTAGCCTCAGGCGGGTCCCAGTGGCTCCATTTGCAACCGTAACAGAGTAAGAAGTAAGGCAAGAAAGCCTCTTAAGAAGCCACTGTAATGAGCAGGATAATCCCCTCTGTGTCTGCTCTGCAACTTCACCTGCTGCTAATATATAACCTGATAATCCTACAGGTGACACAGCAGCACACACACAACACAAATGTATGCATATTCACAAATATACACACACACACTGACTTATGGGACCAGGCTAGCACACATAGGGGTGAACATACAGGGTTTGAAGCCAGAAAAACATGCAATACGACATGCTTCTACGTGCTTCCTGTCTAAATCCACTTATGTGTCATACACGCATGCAGCCATGTTCATGTACATGCTGTATATAGATGCCATAGATGCCATGTACACACACACACACACACACTGATGTGTTTTGTGTTCTACAGCATGCATGTGTGTTGGTAATAAAAGTCTAGCTTAAAGTGCCCAGTGAAATCAATCTGTGGTCATTAGCATGGTCTGACATCAGTGGTGGAAGAAGTATTCAGATGCTTTACTTGAGTAAAAGTACTAATTCATTTGTGTCAAAACACTTCATTACAAGTAAAAGGGCTGCGTTCAAAAATCTTACTGAAGTAAAAATATTATCAGCAAATTGTACTTAAAGTATAAAAAGTAAAAGTAATCATTGTGCAGAGAAATGGTCTTAACATGTGTATATAATTATATTTATATATGTGACATTTCTAGACAATGCATCAAGTAGCATTTTAATGTTGTAAACAAAGGTCGGATTGACCTTTTGTCAAACTTTAAAATAATTTGACTTAAAGAGTTAGTTTACTTATTTTATTTTTAGAGATGCATTTTGTTCAAAGTAGCTAAAGCTGTTAAATAAATGTAGTGAAGTCAAATTACATTATGTAAAAGGTAGTGGAGTAGAAGTAGCATACATTTGGAAATATTCAAGTAAAGTACCTCAAAATTCTACTTAAGTACAGTGAGTAAATGTACTTAGTTACTTCCCACCTCTGACTGACATGACCCCACTTTCTTGAAGCACATGCAGTGGAAGGTTTCTGCATTATCACTCCAGGCCCCGAGGAGCTACAGATTATCAGGGTCCGCAGCAGGGAAATAATTTCAGATAAGAACCAGAGACGTAGCAGGACATGTAGCTCTTGAGGGCCGGGGGTTTGGAGACACCTGCTCCTATAGCTGGTGGCCATGCACCTAAAAGGACTCCGGACACAAATGTGGCGTCATCCAGTCTAATTCGAGCAAACTCACTTTTGTCAAACCTGTCCGTGAGGCGGGCTGACAAAGTAGCCCCTTGGCCTGGGTCCTGCAGGTCAGAAGCCTCCTGCCTAAGGGTGGTCAACACTAACTGCTCTGTGGGCACCAGAGAGGCCGCGGCAGGAGGAAACAACACACACACAAGACAAGATGTCAATAAACACAATGTGTCAATATAGCTTGTGATGGATGCATTAATAGTGAAATGATTTTCATGGCTGTAGTTCTGAAGAGATGCACACAGAATGGACTTAGCTTGAGCAGGAGTGCCCCCCTGTGTTCAACCTTTGTAAGTACATCATTGCTGCAATTTATTTGGGTTTCACTATCTCCTCGTACTAACGGAACTAAACGGGAAAAGTACCTAAACGGATGCATTGTTGACGGTTGGCTGAGCTGCATGACTTGCACAAACGAATGATATCAACAAAGGGAACGATGTGCTCTTACACTTAAACATAAATCCTAAGGGCTGACCAATGCTGTTTTCATTTATGTTTTATAACTTAAATACTTGTTTTCGTATATCGTGCTAATACGCTAAAGCTTGGTGAGAAGTCTTTTTTCTTTTGATGTCTTTTCATGGTCCTTTTAAATAAAAATGAAATAAAATAATGATCTGTTTCAGAGTTAATGTGAGAGATTGGTAGCTGCAGACGTCACCCGGTGTATGGCAGGTTGTAAGTTTGCTAATTGGAGCAAAGAGGTCAGGATACATGAGGTCACAGTGAAGGCAGCAATCTGACACTCGTGCTTCCCCTTCACACCCATGCTATAAATGTGGCAGTAGTAAACACTCGTTCACAGAAAGCAAAAAGTATCCAGTCGAGTTACTGGAAGTCCCACGATAATTGCTCCAATACAAGTTAACTAGTGAATGTCAGCACTTAAGCTCTGCGTAGGTAAATATAACAGCGGTGAGACCATCTGATATTCTATTCTACAAAAATATATAATGGCTTGTAACAATACTGTGAAAAATGTATGCTTCTATATTTGAAATGGGTGCTGAATGCTTTTAACCTTTGACCTGTGAAAAAGTATATATATATATATATGTATGAGAGAACCTCTGGCCTGAGGACAGTGTGGCCCAGTTGGCGCTCATCTCTTCTCACAATTTGCCCTGCTTTCTATTTCTGGAAGCTGCGTGAGGCATGCAGCCGCACATATACAGTACACACACAAACACACACATCAGCAAAGCACAACAATATGTGCCAGTCACTATTAAAAGCCACTGGATGAGCAAAACACACGCTCCTCTCTTCCATTCCGACATCTGTTTGTGACGTGTGAAATCATCCGATGCAGCTTTGTGTTTCTAGCTCCTTCCCTGGGGAAATATGAAGTATTTTCTCCCAAAAAGTATGACTATATCCCTCACTAAACACTCTAACACACTAAAAAATAACAGCTTTGGTTCAAACAGCATCTAGTAGAAAACAGGTGTAGAAACCTGTGTTGTTGAAACAGGATGTTGATGGCCTTCAGGTCAGGTGTGCTCTCCAGAGGGTCACGTGGATTAAAAGTCGGCAAGGAAATAGGCTGTTCTTGGAATGATCTATATGAGCTTGGGATTTCAAATGCAAAGAAATCCTTCATATATATTTATTTTATAAAAATGTAAGCGAGTCAATCCATAAGAAAATATCCAATATGTTCTGGGTACAAGAGGCTGTTGCAGCACAATTATCTAATAGCATATTGATGCCATGAGGAATAAAGTGTACTCTATTGAGAGATCATGTATAACTCCTTCGAATATATACTGTATTTTATAGAAATATTTAAGCCAGTCAACCCATAAGAAAATATCCCATATGTTGTCATTCAGGTGGCCTGGATACAAGGGGCTGTTGCAACACAACTATCTGTTACCATATTGATGTCATGGGAAATACAGTATATTCTATTTTAGTGCGTTTTAAGGTCACACGATACTCGTTTCCATCCTAGCAGGAACACACATGTTGTATTATCTTATGTAAGATTGCCAATTCATATAAAGGGCATACCGGGCCATCAGAAGCAGACACCTGCAGTCCGCTTGCCCTTGCATCCTCTGCCCAAAAAAAAGTCGAGACTGGAGGATAGATACCGGTACAGCAAGTCGCATGCATGCCGCAGTCTCGAACAAATCCCGTTATTATGCCAAGCACATTAAATACGCACGATTATGTACAGGCCGCAATAGCCTGTTATCAACAGTGAGACAGAGATCTTGCGATGACAGATGACAGATCTCGAATTAAAAGGCTGGTGAAAGCGTTAACTGTGCAAAGATTAAATAAGGTGTTTGTTGTTGTTTTTTAGCTTACCCCCCTCGGTGTGTATCTTCTTCGCTCTCCGGTTGAAATACATCTTGAATGGTTGTCTGAGAGGCTGGGGAGATGTTTTCCAAGCCGGGGCATGCTCACGGTTCTCCGGCAGAGCAGGGGACCGCTGCTCCGGGTCCGGGCTGCGGCTCACTGGCCATTATTTATCGGCTAGTCTGCGGAGGTAATGTTGCATAGAAGATGACAGCTGCCATAGAGCGCCATAGAAGGGATGAAGAAGGTGCAACTTCCGGTTACTGCTTTCAAAATAAAAGACGTTCGAATAAAGGTAAGATGAATGTGATGTTTACATTCATTAAAGTTAAAGTTACCCTTATTAAAACAAACATAGGTTAGCAAAAACAATGCCAGGGTTAGGCTTAAAAGCTTAACCGGTCATAGTAGAGGAAATTGTAATGATGATTTGTAACCTTTTCTAATTGCATTACCAAATCACTAGTTGCCCTGCGTCTGATCTGAAATCTTTATTTTGAAAGATCAACTGTCACACTTCCGCTCATGTGCTCTGTGGCTTGTTTATAGTTTTGTTTCCCATTCAATTCATTCAATTGAGCCACGGGGGCGCGCATCGTATGATCAGATGCGAACGCGCGTACTGGCCTCTGGGTACAGAGATTGAAGTACAACTGATGTCAATTAAATTGTATTTTATCACTCTATAAAAATGGATAACGTATGAAAAATAAATCGTGAAATACTCTCGTATTGACCTTTATATGGAATAAACTGCTTTGGACGATATGGAAATATGGCTAAGAAAAAGAGGTTTATTTTACAGTTGCTCAATTGATCATTTAGCACAAAGGGGATGACCGTTAACACAATCTAGTTTAACAGTAGTACCTATAACTTTTTGTTAGAGAAAAGTCCTAGGTAATTTAATTGACTCAGTCAAATAAACACTAAGCGACACACTACACTGCAAAATCTAGCTAATGTTAGTTAACTTAAGTTTGCTATTATAAGCTATTAGCTATAGTTTGCTAATAATAGCTAACTAGCTATGTTAGCACGTAACTAGTCAGTCAATGTGGTGAGTATTGAACGAGGGATACATTTTGTTTAGACATTAAACTTGTCCTTTTTAAAATGAGCTATGAATTATTTCTTAATTCAACAATTATCAAACTACTGCAGTTTACTTAAACATGGTGGACAAGAGAGAGTGCCAACGTAAAACCGTTAGGTTACAACTCACCCCATCGTAGACAGTTTAACGGCAATATCAATTCAAGCCACCAAAACGTACATTTTTACAATTAAGTGCACAGTATCATCCACTTGCCCTTTGTTCAATTGTATAACAGATTTGTAAAAACAAAATGGATCAATCCAAATAGCCCGTTGGTAGCTCGAGTGGTTAGCCGTTGATAAGGGTCGTGTGCACAAACAGTATACTCATTTAAACCAGATGTCCAAGCATAACAAAGCTGCATTTTATTTCATTGTCAAGGAGAAGAGAAGAAAACCCATGTCTTCATTGTATTACATAGTAACATATTTATCTTAACTGTTTACTCTCATCACATTGTAACATAATACATATTTCAAAAGTTGATTTCCATCTTATTAAATAGGAACAGAATAACTATTCACTTCAATGGCCCCAACCTAATGTTTGTAAAGTGGAACAAAAGCCTATAGAGAATCTGGGTTTACTGGGACACTGGCCTTTCCTTCAAAACACAAACAAACTTACATGCACACACACACAATTAAATCATACACATACTCACCTCTCATTCTTACATACAGCTGAATCATTCCTAGAGTCGTAGTGACATGTGAACTGCAGAGATGTAGTATTTCCTGTGTACTGTTATTGATGTGCAAAAGGACCCTGGTGATAACACAAAGACTAGGAGATTGAGCTAAATAATTCACCTGTGCTACATTAATGCCAAAATGTGTGCATGTAATGTAGACCAACTGTAAAGAGTGTACAGAAATCACATTACTAACACTGCCTTATTCAGGTGTTGCACTCCAGCAGAACATTTAATTTTGAGCCAAATCTAAAGTTAAAATTATTTTCCAGCGCCTATCTCATCCCAAATGATCTGAGATTTTGCAAAACACTAGAAAAATCGACTTTCTTTCATACCATGATCGGAGTTTTTGCTCAATAGATGTATCAAGTACTCGATGCAATTTCAATTACACCGGTCCATGGGTCAGGTATGAAACAGCAACAGGAACCAAGAAGAAACATTGATTTCAGGGTAAACAAGACTTTGTTTTTAAGTGTAGATGATAATCAGGCATTACAATGTAAACAACAATGAACAGCAAAACAAAGAATACTGTCTCTTCTCTCTGTATTGCACAACTCCTACTACATTTTACATCTCTGAATTCCTGATTATCACATGCCTTCTGCATTTCATTTAAATTGTGCTGCTCACATTGATAATGTTAATGACTCCAACATTTTAGTGACTGACTTCTATGGATGAAATCTGTATTGCAATTATATAGAATAAGTGTATCGAACGGGCTTAAACAAATATTACTAAACATACAGAATAAAACTTATTTCAAACTGAAATATATAGCTCATACACATCCCAAAAACTCATACGTTTCTTAACCAGCTGTAAAGGGTCACCTTCAAATGGAGGCCGAAGCTTTAAAATGGTGACTTAAAGAAAAAAGGTTTCTGCTTCCATTTTAAACAGTTGTCATGTGAGGAGCGGCTTGCTTTAAAACTCTTAAATACAAGCAGTGTCGAGTTATTTACAGCTTATACGGAATAAATCAAATCTAGAAGTGTTTTGTGGAGACCAGTTGTGACAAAGAGACGTCACATGTTTCAGACATTAAAGTGAGACTAGTCAGCAGCGGCTACAGGAGCTCCTTAAGCATTAATGCCATCCATTGACACGGGCGTCTTAAGCTTTGTGACAGAGACCAGATAAACATAGGTCATAGGAAGATTAACTTAAAACAGTAAGAAGTTGCTGAAAACAAAGTCTAAAAAAATAAAGTTTTGTTAATTCTCTGCATTTATAGTTTCTTTTTTTCTGCACTTTTGGTTCAACCTTCCCCACTTCAAACACAATTGATATTTTCAAAGAAAAGTAACCATGAAAGCGCTATGTACATGCAAAGCCCACTTGGGTCTGCTCGGTTCAGCCAGCCAGGAACTTGATAGTTGTTTGTGAGCAAATAGGTCAGTCATGATGCACTGCGAGGATGGGCTGCCTGCAGATGGGGCAGGTGTTGTTTTCAGAGAGCCAGCGGTCGATGCAGTGGATGTGAAACTCATGGGAGCAGGGCAGGCGCCGCAGCTTGTTGCCCTGGGCATACTCATTGATGCAAACACTGCACGCTCTACCTATCTCCCCCTCCAGGTTGGCCTGACCATAGGTGCGTGTGACTAGATTGTCAATCTGCTCTTTGGTCAGGCCCCTAGGATGTTCGTCATCCTCCTCGTCATTGAGCAAGAAGAAGTGCGCCAGCCTCAGGATGGGTAGAGTACCGTTTTCTACCAGGTTGTTGGTGTCTCTGCTGGTCGCTCGTCCCTCTGTGGGGCTCACTACCGCTGCTCCCAGCCTGGCCTGCCCACCCTGTTCCTCCTCACTTCCCACCTGCCCCACCCTTTCCTGATCCACCCCACCTGTACCAACCTGGCCAGCTACGCTCTCATTCGTATGTAAACGAGTAGCTGGACCGGTGCTACTATTGGTAACACTAGCATCTGCATGGCTAGGTGCAACAGTTTCAGAATCTGCCTCTGTCTCCATTAGGGAACTCAGCTCCCCAAATCCGGTCATGATCTGGCGCAGGATGGAGCGCAGGGCGGTGGAGTTAGGCTCCCCCAGGCCCGTCTCACTGATGCGCCTCAGAGGAATCCGGATAGTGCTCACATAGGTGCGGATCCCCGCTCGCTCGGAGCGGGAGATGGTGCGCCTGAATCCACCACTGTCACTCTCAAATGTGACAGTATTCTCAGCCACCCTGGCGCGGGAACGCGTTCTGCTGGCGATGCTGTCCCGATCGCGGTTTTCACCAGGTCGGATCCTTCTAACCTGCAGGTCCAACATGATGGTGGGGTGACGTCGCACCGCTGAACTTCCAGCTCCCGCTGCATGCGATTCACTTTCACGTTCTCCTGTTTCTGCAGCTGGCTCAGATAGAACTGCAGGTTCTGCCACAGTCTCCACGGAAACAGAGCTTGTGCCACTGCCTGGCTCAGCAGTGTGGATGCTGGAGCCACTGACTCCACTGCTTAATGGTAGAGTGTTACCGGCAACAGGTATTCTATGCAAGGGGGAACGGCTGCGCCTCGACAAGCGTGGAGAAACCCCGCTCCCTGCTGCAGCTCTGCGTGCACGGCCACGTGAACGAGTCCTACTGCCACGGGATTCGTGTCCATCTGCTGGAGACCCTGCCAGCGGTGACACACGGGGACAGTCTATAGAAGCAGACATACCATCACTGGCCTGCTCTACCTCTGCATTCACCCCTTGATGTTGCAAATGTGTAGTTTGATCAAGAGGAGGGTTGGGAACACTAGGGGGAGGGGCTAAAGAGTGCAAAGTGGCACTTCTCCTCTGAGCAGCCGCTGGGGGGGCAGCTGGTGCAGGAAGTGAAGAGGGAATCATGGAAAGAGTGGTAGCGCTGCTGCGTGTACGGCGTGTCTGAATCCTCCGACTGAGGGCTGGGCGGGGGTTGTTGTACGGGACTAGCCTAGGTGTGGATAAAGGGCGAAAGTGGGAGAAAGTAGAAGCAGTGCGTATGGAGGGTGAGGTTGTGTTTGGGGCAGTCACTGGCAGCTCTGCAGAGTCCGTAGCATCATTATGCTCCCCCGGCTCTGGCTGATCATGGTTAATGTTGATCTCCAGGCTAAAGCGGAATTCTCCACTGTTGGGGTTGGTCCGGCTGACGGCACGCCATGTCTGGTTGCCACTCTGCCCACTGCGAGTAGCATTACCAGTGCGTCTGAAAGTGTTAAGCCACTCCAGTAATGAGTCACCGTTAGACGTTTCTGCTCCAGGCTCTGTGCCCCCTGTAAAAAAATATATATGGGTAAGACTGTAAACAAAAAAATCCAAAAATCAGTTCTCCTGTATTGGGAAACCCTTACAGAGCTATTGATATTTCCTGCTGACAACTTGATTTCAAATCTTGCAAGATTATTATGTGATGTTTGTTGGCTTCTTTGTTAATCAATACTGATCAAACTCAAGTCATATTGGATTAATAATAGGGAAAGCAAGATAACAAAGATCAGATAAAACTAAATTCCTCCTCCCTACCTGCTCCTCGTCTCCCTCCAGGCCCTCTCTCCTCTCTGTCACCGCTGCTGCCCTGCTGCTCTCCAGCATCAGCAGCCTGCGGACGCTGCTCAGTGAGGGGCTGAGACGACATGCGCTCTTTTGCGCCATCAAGGCGGTGTCGAAGCTCCTCAGCAGTCACCTCCCCTGTGAAACATATGAACATGCGGGGTGTCATGTGCTGTCAACAGCAAAGTGCCAAGAATAACTGTCCTATTGTGAGAGCAGATTATGATATCAAACAGTCACATATTGTATTCTTTGTTATCTGCTTGATAAAAGCATGTAATCTAACATGACATAACAACATGTGTCCCTCCTCACCAGGTGTGCCCAGCAGGTTGCTGTCTCTCATTAGGCGGTACTCCTCTTCATTCAAGTCATTAATGAAGTGATAGTATGCCTCCTCCCGACGAAGACGCTCTGCTTGCCTACGCCGTTCATCTCCCCCACCAGGAGGGTCCATCACCGTGAAAAGTGCTGGCAGACAGAAGGGATTGTCAGTAAGGCCTGGAATGCCCACTATAGTATTCCACATAGCATCATAAAATAAGGGCTGAATTCACATGTTAAGCCTCTGCAATTCCACTGAGGAAGTGGACATGGTCCTATGTGATTATAATATATTGTTGAGGCAAATTACTATTTGGGTATCTTTTGGAAAGATAAAGAATATAATGTTTATCTGAGTTCTATATCTTTCACCTTGTTAACTAAATATTATAGCTAACATTGAATGCAGATAGGCGTTGTTTTAATAACTTAGCCATTCTATTATTCACTCCTGACTAATTTCTAGCCGAGGACGACATCCATTTTCTATCGAAAGACTCCACCAGCAAGGGAGTGAGGAAGGCTACAGTAATCTTGCTAATGTTTAGCACGGACAACGTAGTATGTGGATAAATTCTCCTTCATTCACTGTAAGGAACAGCCAATAAAGATCCATTTAACAACGTAGTCTTCATGAGAGCTAATGTTAGCCAAGTTACAACAGCAGCTACGGAAGGCCATGTTGAAAGCAGGGGAATAAAGCAACAAAACTGGCGTTGTCATCCTGGTTAGCCACCAATCACAGGCCTAGTGTTAATGACGGACAGGCTCAGCGTCCAATCACTGCTCTGCTAAGGCGGGCCATGATAAAACTAAACGGAGGTCTCGTCCAAGTAAACGCAGGGCAAAGAAGACAAAGAATGTAGTCAGCTGTATGACATAAATAGAAATCAAAACGGCCATGCCTGGCCATGACAAACTACGCAAAGACAACAGACAGTTTTGTAGACACTTCCACATTCCAGACGTTTAAATGCGCAACGGTTTAGATGCTAAACGAATGTAGCATTTTAGCTCATCTAATGTTAGCGGACAGCAGAATAACTCCTAAGATATAAATGTGACAAACTGTTTAATTAACAAGTCAATGTAAACGGAGCATAACACTCAACCATAGCATTGTTTTAGAAGAGATGTCAATGATGTCAAAAAGAATTTACTACCTGACAAAGCAGCGATAATATGGACGGTTTGCTTTGCTGTCCCTTCTCTCTCAACCAAGATGGGACCAGTGGTGCTACACTAAACACGTCCGTCAAACCCAACCTCCCTGGGTAGATTGGTTCCTATGTAACGCAGCAACTGCCAAACATGTCTCATCTTGTTTTGTTAAAAAATGGGTACACGGATTGTAACAACAATGACTATAAGTATTATATAAAATACAGTTACTTTTTTTGTCCATCTGGAAGTGACTTTTTGTAAATTGCAATTTGTGTAATTTCTGTTTTTATCTTTAATATTGTATGCATGCCTCTTGATTAATATTTTGCTATTTTAGGCTCTTAACTTTTGCTGTTTTAATAGAAATCCCCCCTCCGGATAAAGTTGTTTATGATGTGATTCTGATAAACATCTTCTTTAGCTCTTTCTCTGCTGCGTTTGCAGGGTTTGTCTTCACGACAGTTTTGCGACAGTGCCGTACAGAGTGAAGTCTCTCCAGATACCGGCTGAGGGAAACGCAGCAACAAGAGAAAGGAAAACATTTCAGTCTCGTTTTTTCCAACTTGGATTCTCACCCAACACCGTGCATCCCCTCCGGTAGGAACAATTTGACCGGAAAACTCCATGCTGAAGCTGGGCTGCGGACGAGAGAAATCTACTGAACCGAGCTCGCGGTTGTAGCCTAGTTGCCTCCCAAAAGCGACGCTTTAAAAAGGGAAGGAGAATACACCTATAGCACAAACTGTGGGGAAAATGGACTATGATTTTAAAGTGAAGCTGACCGGCGAAAGAGAGCGCGTCGAGGACCTGTTTGAGTACGAGGGCTGCAAAGTGGGAAGAGGCACCTACGGTCATGTTTACAAGGCGAAGAGAAAAGATGGGTGAGTGGAAGAGCAGGCCTCTACCCCCCCTCCCTCTCCTAAATACAGTTAATGTCTGCTATATTCCTCGTATGCAATATATAAAGACATATGGGGATATTTATGGCAATAACCCTTTACTTGTACATTGGTCTTGCATCATAATCTTGCACTATTTAATTCCTACTCAGTTTCTTCGTGCACTGTTTTTATTGTTGTTGTTTTTTTTAAAACATTGAATTACTACTATTTTCCTCGTATGCAATATTTAAATAATTAAAGGGACATTTAATGCAATAACCCTTTAGTTTCTGGATGCTAATGAGTCCCTTTGTGCATAAAAACACAAACATATGCTTCACTATTGTGATCTTTCCTTTTCTGTGATTCAAGACTCAATTAAATATGAAAAGGCCTTATTGTCATATACACAGCAATAAATCCGAGCGTCCTCCAACAATGCATCATAAATAGTGCAAGAAATAACAGAATAGAAATAAATGGTCTTTTTCAAAGTAAATATCTTTACACTTAAACTCACATTCACTATCACGCAGTTGTAAAGAAGCAAACTTAAACTGGTTCTAATTATTCATTGCTAAATCTCATTAAAACGAAGAAGAATTTGTTGGTAAAAGCTCTGCTGCGTTTCACTTGGCGGTGTATCAGAACTGAGTTAAAGAGCCATTCTCTGCCACAGAGCTGCAACACTCACATTCCCCCTCTGAAGAAGTGGAAACACATGCTACAAACATTAGCCTCAACTTGCCTGTAGCATAAACTTATATTTGTGATCATGAAATATGGAAAATCTTACAAAATGTACGCAGAAACACTCAAGAAACCCTTTCCAGCGCCCTGTATTCATCGAAATGCATTTAATATCTATATTTTCCTCATATGCAATATTTTTATATAGAAATAAGGGGGCGATTTAATGCAATTACCCTTTATTGTCTGGAGCTTCCTGTTGTGTATAGCAAATGCTTCACTATTGTGATTGTGGCTTCCCTTTTCTGTGATTCAAGATTAAATTCAAAGATTCAGAGGCTTTATTTTCATATGCACAGTAGCTTCAGTTATGGCAATGCAAATCAGAATCTTACGACCCAGCCTCCTCCAACAATGCAACATAAGTATAGATAAGACGTAAAGAAATAAAGCAAATAAGTGATGGTTATGAAGCATCTATTTTGACCTGTTCCTTTGCACAATCATAGGCAATATTTGAATGAGTAAATCAGAGCATTTGCCGTTGATGTGGTGAATTTAGGATGCAGCCGATGCATGTAGAGGCACTTTTTAACATTGTCAAGTGGCCCTTTTGTGCCCATAACCTTCGTCTATATTCATTCCTTTTTTCTTTTTTTTTTTGATTAAATTGTGAGAGATGACGTTACGATAAGAGGGAAGGATGGGAAATGATGTGCAACACAAGTCCCTGGCTGCACTCAAACTTTCTATACTAATTGGTTCATGATCAGCACCTTACACCTTAAGAAAACAAGCCGTATAAACCGTCTTAACTGTGTCTGGATCAGAGCTGGACTAGGCCCATTTCCATAGCTCGAGCACACAGAAGAGCCCCAAAGTGTTTAAAGATGTGAGTGTTGGCTTTAGGAGGCTGCTTTTTATGAGACTCTGTGAGCTGCAGCATTTGGATGGAGCCCAAAGAAGCACAAAGCATAAGATGATTTAGGCCAGGAGGAGGGAGGGGTTATAACCGATTCACTCAAATCCGAGCTAGTCCCAGTGCTCGGTTTGACCCTCGCTGGCTGCCATACAGCGCCTGTTTCCTCTCCCCTTGTTTTGTTTGAGCCTCAGAGGTGAGCTAGATTACACAAATGTGGATGTAATGCAGCTCGGCCTCTTCTCCCCCCTTCATGTTTCTGTGCAGTCGGCTCTCAGGGGCCACAGTCTGGTCTGGTGTTGATGTTGCTCTGCCTCTCTTTCTGTTTGCAGGAAGGATGATAAGGACTACGCCCTCAAGCAGATTGAAGGCACCGGCATCTCCATGTCAGCCTGCAGAGAGATCGCAGTAAGGCTTACTTTGTCCCTTTGCTTGGTCTCTGTTCAGCACACTCATGCCCTGCATAGGTGGCTTAATTAATAACCTCCACAAAGTAGCTATAGTCAGGTAAACAACAAACGTGAAACAGGACCACAGAAGAAGAAAATTGACATTCTTGGGAAGAGACAATATTTTATTGTCTTGCATTAAGTTGTACAGGTGATATTGTGTCCACTCACAGTACATTCCCCACTTTTAGTCACTGGAAGCATTATCTAGCACAAATAGGCTTTTTGTAATTCGTGTTTTCTACCATGAGAGTGTGTGTATGTCCTCTAAGTGGATCTGTGTGTTGCAGCTGCTGCGGGAGCTGAAGCATCCCAACGTCATCTCCCTGCAGAAGGTGTTCCTGTCACACGCAGACCGAAAAGTCTGGCTGCTCTTTGACTATGCCGAACATGACCTCTGGGTAAGTCACACACACGCACACGCACACGCACACACACACACATACACACAACACACACCAGCTGCATGACATACAAGGGATGCATGATATTACATATATGTTTCCACCCATGTTTGCCCTATTGCAGACAATTAATGCACATATTTTTTCCCACCTAATTACAGAAAAATCTCTCCTGAAAGTTGAATAGACATGAACGATACTCTCCTCGGACAATTAATGAAAGCAAAACCAATAATATAAATAAAACTTCCACCACAACATTTGCTTTTATGAATTTGCATTGCTTTGTCAACTGTTCTTTTCATGTGCGCATATACACCTCCTCTTATTAGATTAAATATTCAGTTCTGCCGATGCCGATATATCATTTTAAAGCCTATACAAATGGCATGTTGATATCATTGTGCGTCCCAAAAATATAATGCAATATTGTTCATTGAATATGCCACCATGAGCGGGAATGCATAGTTTGGATATAATTACGTTTTAATAATGTCTTTAATAGTTTAGTCCAGGGGTCGGCAACCCCTGGCACGTGTGCCACCGTAACCAGTGGCACACTAGGAATAAGTGGAATAAGTGTGCAAAATATTTTAATTGTATTTTCGGATCCTGAACGAGACCGCCGTCAGAGCGCGTCTCCCCGTTACCTGCAGAAGGAAGCCATGCACGCAACGCAGCCCCGCTCTCTTTAACTCCAGTCGACTTGCTGCTGCTTTCCTAGTGCTGCCGAGCGCGCCCGCACTTCACAAATTGCAGTAGGCTACCCATAAGGAGCTGTACAAATGCCGCAGTTTTTGCGTGGCTGTGTCTTTAGTTGAAAGTCCAGTGGCGATCTGCTCATCTCTCATCGAAAATAATATGCTACACAGGGGCGGACTGGCCATCTGTGTGTTCTGGAGAATCGCAGAACGGACGATCGTCATTATTATTGTGCCGTTTAAAACCAATTATTTAAATTTGTTTTAACAGCATCTGACAGGTGAAAGAGGTCCACACACTGCTTCCCCGCAGCGAGGCTCCCCCCCCCCCGTTGCTAAATCTCATTAAAACGCATAACAAGCAGAATTTGTTGGTTACACTTGGCGGGGAATCAGAACTGAGTTAAAGAGCCTTTCTCTGCCACATAGCTGCAACACTCACATTCCCCCCCCCCCGAAGAAGTGGAAACACATGCAGCAAACATCAGCCTCATCTTGCCTGTAGCATACACTTACATTTGGGACCATGCAAATATGGAAAATCCCCCACTTTAATGACTGTTATCTTGTCTTTCTGTAGCACATCATTAAGTTCCACAGAGCGTCCAAGGCCAACAAGAAGCCCCTGCAGCTGCCCAGAGGAATGGTGAAGTCTCTGCTCTACCAGATCCTGGACGGCATCCATTACCTGCACGCCAACTGGGTCCTCCACAGAGACCTCGTAAGAGAATTGAGGAGGGCATAGAGGGAGGGAAAATATTTTGGAAGAAGGGAAAACAACACAGCAGTTGATGAAAGACTGGAACATTGTTACAGGGTAGAGAAGCGGCCATCTGGTGTTGTATAAATGTGCATGTGTTGAGTTATTGTTCCTAACTGCCTTATTTTACACATCTTAAATGTTATTGTGATTAATGAAGACATTTTACCACATTTAACCAAGATTAGTATGCATTTTCATTTAAACACCCTCTCTAGTTGTTTTAATTCACGTTTTCTTTACTTAAAAACTGAAACTTATTTCCATTTTTGTAGATAATGTGTTCTGAAGAGAACTGTCCAGCTTGGCTTTTCAAGCTTTCTCACTGGTTCTGTATTTTGTTCATCAAAAAAAGTATTCAAGAATAAATTCCCTCAGGTTTTAACATATTTTACCAAAGTGAGATTGAAGAGGTAAGCCTGCTCTCCTGTGGGCTGTAGGTGCATGTTATGTCCACGAGAGGGCAGCAACACAGGGTTTCAATTAGAAGAAGAATTGGGAGGGATGAACCCCTCTTTAATGGTCACACATGCAGAGCACACCGCACACACAGTGACATTTGTTCTCTGCATTTAACCCATCCTAGTACCAAGAGTCTAGTACTAGGAGCAGTGGGCAGCTATTGTACAGCGCCCAGGGAGCAATGGGAGTGGGGGGGGAAGGGGGGTGTCCGGTGCCTTGCTCAAGGGCACCACGGCAGGGCCCAGGAGGTGAACTGGGACCTCTTCAAGTAGCAGTCCACACTCCATATTTAGGTCTGTCCAAGCCCCTACTGACTGAGCCACTGCCGGACTAACCACACACCACATGCAGTACTGTAGCATCTGAAGAAGCATTTCATTCAGTCTCCTTAACCAAACCAGGATCAACACTATATGCTAGTAGTAGCTATAAAGCTCATCTTTTAATTATGGTATTAGTGAAAGCATGAGCTCTTTTTCTCTGTAAATGTTCAAAATATCTGCATTGTTGAAGTCAATGTTGTATCTCTCTTTTCCACAGAAACCAGCTAACATTTTAGTGATGGGAGAAGGGCCAGAGAGGGGCAGAGTAAAGATTGGTGTGTACAATGTCTGCTGTTTTATTAAAAATAATGTATCATTTTAGTTCACTTTTACTTTACTGACTGTAATGTGTGTTGTGCAGCGGACATGGGGTTTGCCCGCCTCTTCAATTCACCGCTGAAGCCTTTAGCCGATCTGGACCCTGTGGTGGTCACCTTCTGGTACCGAGCACCTGAACTGCTGCTGGGGGCTCGGCACTACACCAAAGCCATCGGTGAGATGTGTGCAACACCATCCATCTGCACCTCTTCCCACACTTACAGCCACAAGTGAAATTATATTGAATTGCTCTTTCTTTTCTTCAGATATCTGGGCGATTGGCTGCATCTTTGCAGAGCTGCTGACGTCTGAGCCCATATTCCACTGTCGCCAGGAGGACATCAAGACCAGTAACCCCTACCATCACGACCAACTCGACCGCATCTTCAACGTCATGGGCTTCCCTGCAGGTGAGGGGCAACTGCTGCCGGACTTAAGAAGGGAAATACTCAGGAAAAAAACGGAAAATTAGTTAATTACATACTGATATTCTCGCTATATTGCAAATGCTAGCATACCAAAGTGTTACAGGTTCCTTTTTAATAGTAAATTATGTGAAAGGACATTTCTCCATTCCTAGCAGAGGCAGATTATTTGCCTGTTCTTTTTTCTTAAGGCAGTTCTGTTGGCTCTGAAAACCACTCCACTGACAAGATATCTGAAGCCAAATCACAAACTTCTCCTTGCAGCGTTGCATTTGGGCCTATATCTTCCAGTTCACTTAAGCTGCTGCTGATATGTTCCTTCTACCCTCTCTGCTGCTCTAGTTGTGTAATTCACTTCTCTTTCTGATGGTTATTGTTTTGATTCTGCAGGGCAATTAAGCCTTTCAAATCAGAGAACATTTAAATTGTAAAAAAAAGCATGCAGATGTCAGAAACAGATCTTACCCTGTGAGTCAAAAACAAAACTCAAGATGCTTTTGATGTAACAAGGGGATTGTTGTGGGTAAATCGTAAGCATTAAAAAGATTGCAATCCAGACCCGGCAACCTAAATAATCTGAAGGGAGGAGGGAGGAGGGAGGGTGTGACATGGTGTAATCCTGTCTTTCCTTCATTTGACAGATAAAGACTGGGAGGACATCAAAAAGATGCCAGAACACTCCACGCTGATGAAAGACTTTAGGAGGAACACGTGAGTGAGCACAGTCGCACTGTCCTACTTTTCACTAAGATCAGAAACAAGAGTTAGAGCAAAGCAAAGAGCTATGTCTGCTGGCAAAAAGACAACCGTGTAATAAAGTCTGCAAATGTGTTTCTTTGCCATCACAGATACACAAACTGCAGCCTTACAAAGTACATGGAAAAACATAAAGTGAAACCAGACAGCAAAGCATTCCACTTGGTGAGTGAAAATGCCTTGAATTAGGGCGATTGCATGTCATTTGCATAATTAAAATGCACTATACAATCAAGTTTGGTTCTCAATGACCAATGGAGCATGCTTTGTCATTATGCCGCCGCTATTAATGGCTTCCTGTGTCATTAAAGCTGCAGAAGCTGCTCACCATGGACCCCATCCGCAGAATCACATCAGAGCAGGCCATGCAGGACCCCTACTTTTTAGAGGAGCCCCTGCCGACTTCAGAGTGAGACACAGCACACACACACACTGTATCAGACTCCTTGGCTCGAGTCACATGACCCGAGGGATGCCGCCCCCCCACTGGTCCCTTAGCTAATTGGCTCGGAGCCTTTTTGAATGAATGTTTGACGATTCTCTCTGCCTGTTTTCTCCAGTGTGTTTGCAGGCTGCCAGATTCCCTACCCCAAGAGGGAGTTCCTGACGGAGGAGGAGCCGGAGGACAAAGCAGAGAAAGTAAGAAATGTAATCAAAGCGCATTCATTACCTTCCAAACATGCAAAATGGAATCATTGTAATAAAGACAGTCAAAAAATAACACATGCAGTCCAATGTTCTTTTGTCATTTTATACTAGAAAAACCAGCAGCAGCAACAGGGGAACAACCACACAAATGGGGCGGGGCACACCGGTAACCAAGACAACAGCCACACCCAGGGCCCGCCTCTGAAGAAAGTGCGAGTCGTCCCCCCCACCACTACCTCAGGTGGCCTCATCATGAACTCAGACTACCAGGTAGGGGTCTTCTCCGTCAACAGAAAATACTAGGGCTGTTAATAACGCGTTAACGCAAAAAAATGTTAACGCCACTAATTATTTGAACGTGCGATTAACGCATGTGTATTTGTCCTCGGCCCGCCCCGTGGTTTCAGAGCCCAAAGGCTTGACGTTGTTGTTGTTGTTGTTAGTTGGATAGTGGGAGATTCTAGCGAGAGATATGGATACAAAAAAAGGTGTTTTAAACAGCAAGCCAAGCCCACAGCTGATGCCGACAGCCCCGCACCTGCCGCTCGCTTTGCCGGGGAGACGCCTGGACAACAACAGCGATAGCTAAATGGGTGGCTACAGCTTAACATTGTGGAGGACGAGGGGCTGCGTGAGATCATTCGGATCGCATCCAACGTGTCGACTGCACATCACAGCGCATTATTTTGACCCTAGGTGGGAACTTCAGTCTCATGCTTTGACTGTTATGAAGACAGGAGCGGCATTTCGCTGACAACTGTAAACAGGCTTGTTTGTTTGAGCAACTGGCTCAGTGCAAAGAAGAACACAGGGTTGGGAGAGAGTGAAGAGAGAGAGAGAGAGAGAGAGGTTCCAGGTTGTTGTGTTGAGAATATTCAGGAGAATATTTGTCATTGTTCCAATGATAATAAACAAACATTTGCATAAAGCATATTTGTCCACTCATATGTTGATAAGAGTATTAAAAACTTGAAAAATATTCCTCTGAGGTACATTTAGAACAGATAAAATATGTGCAATTAATTTGCGATTAACTATGTACATCATAGAAAATACATATTACTTTGTTTTTATTTAAGTCATATTATACTGTACGTATTATTTTTCGGGTATATCTATATTTCTCTTATATTATTTTGTTTTTCTTACAATGTATCATCTTTAACTGTGTTTATATATACACCAAGGACAATTCCTCGTCTGTGTAAACCTACTTGGCAATAAACCTGTTTCTGATTCAAAATATACTTTTGCATTTGACCACAGTTGTGAGGGGCTGGAAAAAGGCATGACAATGTTTGTCCTTGAATTTGACCTTGGACAAAGTGCAGGAACCCTGTGCAAACCGAATCTAAGAGTGTTCTTTAATGTCTTCTTGTTTTCGTCCTCCCTGCAGCGCTCCAATCCACACGCTGCCTACCAGAACCCTGGACCAAGCACATCACTGCCCCAAAGCAGCATGGGATACTCCTCGACCTCCCAGCAGCCGCCGCAGTACTCCCACCAGACCCACCGCTACTGAGACACCCCTCCCACACACACACATATACAATCATACACATATATACGCATACACAGCCCTCACCCTGCCCATCTGAAAGAATGTACTGAGGGATGTGGTGGGGATGTCCAAGGCAACAAACCCCCCCCCAACCTACAGAGGGCACTTTCTCTGCAGCAGGCTGTTAGGTCAGCACTTCTTCAAGATAACACACACATTTCCCCGGTGTTAGAACACGACTTTTAGAGCAACACCTGCAGGGTGAAACACAAGGAGGAGGAGCGGACACTTTGGTGGAGTCCAACCTGTTTCTGTTTTCTTAATCAGACCAGCCGAGAGAAGATGGCTTGGATTTTTTTTGGGGGGGGGGGGGGGGAACGTTTCGTCTGCTGTGTCATCTCCTCCCCTCTTCTTCTTCACCTGTCTCCACACCCCCACCTTCCCCAGCCATTGACCTTCTTCCCGTTGAAGCTTGGATGAGACTGAGAGCTGCTATGTGACTGCCAGCGGTGACAGATTTCCTGTTCGACTGTCCTCCCGTCTGTCCTCCTGTCTGTCCTCCCGTCTGTCCTCCCGTCTGTCCTCCCGTCTGTCCTCCCGTCTGTCCTCCCGTCTGTCTTCCCGTCTGTCCTCCCGTCTGTCCTCCCGTCTGTCCTCCCGTCTGTCCCCCCGTCTGTCCCCCCGTCTGTCCTCCCGTCTGTCCTCCCGTCTGTCCTCCCGTCTGTCCTCCCGTCTGTCCTCCCGTCTGTCCTCCCGTCTATCCTCCTGTCTATCTGTTTTATTTTGTGTGTGAGGGCTCAGCTGAGGACTGAACTGAGCTGCTGTGATGCATTCTGGGAGGATGTGGAGCCCCCACAGCTGTGACGCGGATGGTTTTTGTTCAGAAGGACAACAAAAAAAAGATGACAAAAAAATATTTTAGTAGTTAATTTAATCAGTTTTCATGGTTTTGTTTTTAACGGCGAGTGTGTCTGAGCGCTCAGCTGCGGTACGCTGTGGGCTAGACGTACTACATGATGACAAAACCAACCAATCGCATGGAGGATGGCAGGCGGAACATGCATTACTGTATTGAAATTTTACATGAAGCAAGTATCCTGACAATAAAAGTGGAAACATTGATATTGTTGTTTGTACGTGGAAGAAGGAACCGAGTAATGCATACTGTTTCCTCTCGCACCGGCAATGACATCCTTTTTTCTTTTGCAATTCCTACTTCATTAAGCTTATTAATATTTCAGTTTATCTTAATAGTTTGCAAGAAATGTGAATGCATTTGCTGGATAGTTTTTGTGATAATCTATACACTACACAGGAAGGCTCTCTATTTTTCAGACACCACAATGTCCTTTTCTTTCATTGACCCTTTGATATGTTGCAATGTAAGTTATTTTAAGACAGCAGGCTTTAAGCTACAGGGCTGCACCACTGCACCACTTCATTACACAGTCACATACATGTGTGCTTTGGCATTCATGGCTAAATCAATTATATATGTTAAACTGGCAGCTGTATAACAAATGCAGGCAGTAGCTTTCCCCCTTGTCCAGGAATATAAATGCATTTTCAATAATGAAAACTCCCTTTCCCTTTCTAGTGGACTCAACCCAGTCTACTGTCTAGAGACTATTCTCTGCTCCCTTTCCCTGCTTAGATGTCTCTCATTCCCCTCTCCCTTTTTGTCTACAAACACACCTAGGAGAGTAAATATCTATGTATAGCAAGCCCAATTTTTGAACCTTTTCCTGCAGGATGCTGGCCAGCTATTTCAGTCTGTTACACAATACTATCCCAGCTCAGTCTCAGCATCACTGTCTGGAGCATGTTTCTAAGCTCCTAAAAAATAACTCTCTAGCTCCCTCTTCTCTGCGTTATCTAAATAGGTCTGCAAAATCCCCACAGGCTCAAGAAGATTTTAATATTTTTGACAAGGAATGGGACCTATCTTGTAGCGTAAAAAAAAACCTAGTTAATCTCTTCAGCAACGCCCAACCGTAGCCCCGCCCCTTCCATTCGCAACACCGCTTCCGAGCTGGGGAGTCTCCCTGTCACTCATTCGGTTTACGCGAGACCATTGGTTAATTCAAACGTCAATCATGTGTTAAATCCCCAGTTCGGCGATGTGATTGGTGCATGTGGGGCGGTGGGCGTGTCCTCGTCCTCAAAGGATTGTTTCCCCGGAGTGGCCAGACGGCTGGGGGACACAGGATGGAAGAGCTAATAGGAGTATCTAACGGGACATGCGGACGGGCTGATTTCTTCTAATATTTCAAGTGCTGGTGAGGGTCTAATTGTACTTTTTACATCCTCTAATGACAGCTTTTATGTTAATAGTGACATTTTTGTGGCAATGTCTGCTGAGTGTAGTCTAATTGGTCCATAATAACTCGACCACTGGACGAGCTAACCGAGTGGTCAGTTAATACGGACCCCCGGTGAAGGATAATAAGCCGACTCTGGGTGACCAAAACCCGCCTTAAATATTCAATATTCTCCCCGTTGCTGGTTCACTTTAGTGCCTTTTTTGACTCCATAATAGATATTGGGTTGTGATGTATCTCTGCAGAAAACGGCGGGTTGAAATTATGATTAAAACTGGCAGAAATTCCCGAGAACCGAGGGCGGAGGAGCAGATGTGGGTCAGTCCATCAGTAACGGGAAGCGGCGGTGCGGAACACTGATTGATCGCGGTTGCCATTAGTTCACGCATGTGTGTGTGTGTGTGCGCGCGTGCATGTTTGTGTGTGTGAATCAGCATGTGGAGAGGACAGAAAGGGAGTGTGTGTGTACTGTGTATGTGTGTGTGAATTAGTCATTTTAAAACATAAAAAAGACTACAGTGTAATAACTTCACAATGACATTCATGTGGTGATAATTAGAGAATATTCTGATTGTTATAATGAAATCCTACTTTATAGTCACAGCAAAAATATCATTAAAATCTTTCTGCAACTATTGAATATCAATTAATAGATTTTCCACGTTTTAGATTAGTAGATTATGGATTTATCAAATGGCAAAATGTATATAAAAAACGTAAAACATAAAACTCAATGTGGGAAGTACTTATAGCATCAGCTTGAAATATATTAAATTGATGATGTCATGAGGAAAAACAGCAACTGTCAAGCATGTACTGTTTTAAATATCTGCTTATTGCATGTTTTAATACATTATATCCTCTTCTACAAAAATAATCAGCTATTTAGCCCATTGTATCTCCATTAGGATTATAACCGATTTGGGGTCGTGTTTGCATTAGGCAGGTATTTGGGTAAATTAATCCTGCAGATTTACTCAACAGATAATAGGATTGGGAGATCTGTTTGATGGAATTGAATATTTTCAGATATCAACAGAAAATATGGCAAATGTACGTAAAAGCACATAGTTGGTGTTCAAAATGTATGTGTTAGTAAATGATAGAAAGACAAGATTATATAATTTAACGACGAGCTAAAAGTCAACCTTTCAAATGTTATTTTGCTGCTAACTGAAGGCTAAAGTTATTGCTAAACTGCCGAAAGGATTCAGTGGATAATATTACCCAGAGTGCCTCAGTGTTTCACTACCCCCGAGTAGTATTGGGACGAGGTGAGGTTCCTGGACTGGCGCAGTGTCACGGCAGAATAATTTTTTTTGACGTCATATTTAGGGCAGTGTGACCTGACGTAATCCAGCCTGCATTATTCATCACATCAGAGCCTGCACACAAGAAGCTGTACCCGGCTCATGCATTCATAATGACTTCCCTTTCAGATGTTAATGGCTTTCTCACATCTGTAGTAAAGGCCTGGCAGAGAGGAAGACCCTGAACCTGCATGTCACCCCTCTGAGGATTTACTGTAGTTTACATGCTGCTGATGTGACCTTTTAAAGGCTACCTGGTGTGTTTGTGTACATGTTTGCGTGCCTAAATTGGAATGTATGAATTAACCATCCAAACACATGAGTGAGAATGTGCTAATACTCTCTGGTGTCTCTGGATTATATTCGGGCTTTACTCTCCCCTCTCTTTCTCCCCCGTGTGAGTGGAGGAGCGTTCATTGCAAGAGGACTGGGGGCCTTAAAGAAGGTCGAAGACGAGGAGGAGGAGGAAGAGGAGGGGGGAGGATGCATGGGAGAGCTATTGCTGTTGCCGTGTGAACGAAGCTCTATTGTCCCGGGAACCTTTCACAGTGGCTTCCCCGAGGTCCCTGTTCATACCCCTCCCCCACCCCGTACACCCTTTCTCCCTCACAAACACAAACACACACTTTTTTCTCCAACACAGCTTTTTCTCACGCACTGTCTCACACACTTTTATCCCACTCGGTGACCCTCTACTTTCCCCTCATTTCTCACAAGCAGACCAGTCCTTCCTCCCCCCTTCTTCTTCTTCCTGCCCCCCCCCCCCCCCCCTTCAGTTGCTCATTATTTCGCCTCATTGATGTGATTGTCATGCCAGCCAGACAGTAAAAGCAAAAACATGCAATCTTCTCATTTGCATCCCCTCCCTCTTATATGAAGTAGCACACTGTTTCTAAATGCTGAATTAAGATGCCTGTAAGCCAAGCCTCATTGATGCATTCAGGGTCCTTTATGGCTGTGCATGATGGTGTAATTTAACCCTTTGTTTTCTCTTATTAGCGAGGGGCCGTTGGGGTTTGTAGGGGGTCGCTAGCTTAGATAACGGGGCCAGATGAGGACGCGGCTGGTGGGAATTTGCGTTGGCGAACAGAAGTGTGTTTTCTCGTGCTGAGACACTGATAGCACTGCTACTTGCTTCGTCTGTCGTCTGTGTTAGTGTACTGATGATGTAACCAGTGTTGGAACAAGTACTCAGAGTCTTTACTTGAGTAAAAGCACTAACACCACACTGTAAAAACACTTCATTTCAACTAAAAGTACTGCATTAAGTAACTGCTGAAACAAATATATTCAAATATTTTAAATCAAAAGCAGCAAATCTTCACATTTAATAAGAAGCTGGAACTGACAAAACATTTATTTTCCAATAATCTTTTCTATTAACACCCTTTTAGTTACTTAAATATCATGTAGGATGGCTTAATCTATACCAAATTGTCATCATAATCATGTATTTTCCTAAGTATTGTGTGTCAAAATCTGAACATATAGAGTGACTACTAAATACATCTGTAAAATAAATACTCTACTAGTATAAGTAGCTCACTCTTTGGACTCTTGTTAGCCACTAAGAAGGTATATATTTTTTTTATTGTGTTATAAAACGTACTTCTCGTCTACTTTCTGTGATCATAAATGAATATCTGCAGGGTCCAACAAACATGGTTGTATTTCTAGTACCTGCCGTCTATTATTAGCTGTCTGTCACACTGCCAGAGCCCCCGTGTCTCTCCAACCTGCTTTTCTTGGAGTGAATTTTCATCTTTCTTTTGCACCAGAAAGAAAGTATGGAACTGCAATCAGCATCAGTGCATCGAAAAACGTTTTGAGCGTGTTTCCATCTGCTGCTCGCTGCATTGTTCAGACAGGAAGCAGAGACAGGGAGGAAACAGGAGAGCCGGGTCGAGGCGCACAAACAGGAAGCAGGAAAGAGGCTCAGATAAGATGGCTGCTCTGATGCACCTTGGGGATTATCCTGCTCTGGGGAATAGTTTGTAGTCTTTTTGAACTACACAGAGTTTAAGAAGCAAAGTTCAGAGTGGGGGTAAACATGTTTTCACAGATAGGAAACGGCTCGGCGTTCCAGTTTTTGGGAGCGTGTCCATGATCTGTGTGTGTGTCAGGGTTCCAGCTGGGCGTCTGACAGGCCGGCCGCGGATAAGCTGGCATCTTCCTCTCCCTAATGCTTTAATCTCTGCTGGTCGCCACGAGTCCTCTGGCTCTGGGACCCTGCTGGTCATCACTCTCTGTTCCCCTCACACCCGCTCACCCCATGTTTGTACGTACTTTATACACAGGAAGAAGCCATAAGCACTATAAGCTCACAATGCTTTCCGTTATGACAACAGCAGCAACGCAAAGAAATGAATATATAGAGAGGATATGGACGTAAACCGGGAGTTCATATTTATTGCAGGGTTATTATTTTTGACTTCATACGGGCATTCACGCAAGGGCAACTAGAGTTCGGTGTTGCAGACAAATCAAGAGTTGTTACTCAGTATTCATTTTGATTATTGTGTATGACCAATCAGCTAATAGCTGCTGCTTATTTCTTTTTTAAACAGGCAAATCATTTGAGAGAATTTGACATGTTAACTGTGTTTAGGCCTTTAAAAGCAAGACAAGAGTTTGATAAAAAGAAAAAGAAAATGTCTTCAATTGAAGATGATAAATTGATGACATTCTTGTCTATTTTTATTCATTTATTTAACTGTTTTGCAAATGAATTGTATTCTCTTTACATGGGAAATTTGAGTTTTGTTGGATCATACTAACCATTTCAATATATCATACTGTTTTTCTTCCTATTCCTATTATTTTCTGACATTTTAAAGAACAAACAATTCAGTCGTTAATTTAGAAAATAATCTGTAAATTAGTCCAGCCTTAATTTGATAATGAAAATCACCAACATCTAGCCTCTTATCACAACTCTGTGTTACATTGATATATGTCCCCCTCACTCTGGCAGATGTGTACAGTGTGTGTCCACAGAGTGGGGGACGGCTGTCATGCTCATGAACATCAGATGCAGTCGGCCGGCATCTGGCACGCTGGTCTCCTCCATTCATCCTCTGTAAGCAGTGTGTAAAACAGTGTGTGTGTGTGTGTGTGTGTCTGCAGTGTGTGACGGTGTGAGGCCTCGCCATGCCGCTGGTGAAGAGGAACATCGTGCCCCGCCACCTCTGCAGAGGGGAGCTCCCGGTGGGCATCGACAGTGAGCTGGAGTGTGTGATGAACAACACACTCTCCTCCATCATCCGTCAGCTCAGCAGCCTCAGTAAGACCCACACACACACACACACACGCACACACACAAATAAACCACTTTTCGTGTAAACATTTACAGCATCCTCTCGGCTACGATCCCGCTAACTTGTGTGTAGCCTCTTTGTGGGCCGGACGGGATCACATGGCTTCATCGCTAATCCCGAAGCTGTGATTGATTTGGGCGTTGTCATGGTTACGTGGCCCCAGGGTCACTGGGCCATCAGCAGACTTTTAAGTGCGCTGGCACTGGGAGCATCAAGGGAGGAAATGTAATCCTTTTAGATAGCTCTGCAAAACTTATCCAGACAGCTGGGTGTGTGTGTGCGTGAGTGTGAGTATGTGTGCGTGTGTGTGTGTGTGTGCGTGTGTGTGTGTGTGTACGACCGGATGGGTTTTATATTGATTGTTATGCTCACTGTAAATGCATCCGATAGAGTTATTACAGCACCAAGGGCATCCATCTCCTCACCCATCTTCCGTTTCCATGCCCTTGTTTCATAACCCATCAACAGTGTGTTATGTGTTGTTGTTTGACATGCACCCTCCCCCACTCACCCTCACGTTTCCCCTCTCTTATGCTAACTGTGTTTATTCTGAATCTCAACAAGTCTTCATCTTGCTGTTGACCCCGTGTGTTTTGTCCTAGTTTTGCCATTCTCTGTCTCTTATTGTCCTTAAGTTCCTGCATTGGGAGAGGGCTTTTCAACAGCAGCTGTGGGGGCTATATTTAAATGTGTGCATACACCGTGCATGTGTGTGTGCACATGTATGTGAGTAAGTGGACCATAAGGATCCTCACAGAGGTCAGAGTTGACCGGGCGCAGCATGCCGGATCTGTGGTTCTTCCTTCCTCCAAAATATTTGTCCTGCAGCACATCCTGTCAGCAGGAGGGACACACATAGCCCTTAGCGTGTGGTTGCTTTACCACTGCGTCGTGCAATTAATGGTATTAAATAAAATACCTTTTTCTAGGCATTTTTCAAATCCCAGTCTCAATTGCAGTATTGCCCCAGCTTAGCAATCTTTTATTAAAAATCCTTTCACACTAATGAGTCCCTGGGCTAACGCCACCAGTGCTTAAAGTTTATAGTGCCATAAATCCTGGGCTAATAGTCTTACAACTTTTATTATGGTTGACTTCCGCCCTTGACCATGACTTAACTCCATTTCAAAGCAGGGTCGTCCCTACGTTTCAGGGTTATTACCCAAAACACATGCATAAAAACACAACTGTGAACTTTGGTTTGAACCGAAGCCACATCCAATCAAATGTAAAACAGTGCTGTCTGAAGATGTACACCTGGAGCCATGGGTTAACAGAATATGGTTGTGGTTGAGCTTCACGTTTTCTTAGATGTACCGATATTCTGGTTTGAGTCACTGAACACCAACACTAGAAAAATGGGAATATGAGCCTTGTGCTTGAAACGATATTCCATAAATCCTGGGCCAACAACCTTTAATACGGTTTACTTCCGACCTTACTTAACTCCATTTCAGAGCAGGGTCGTCCTTACTTCTCAGTGTTATTACCCAAAACACATTAAGTATGAATATTTGTAAGAACTAAAGCAACATCCAATCAATTCGAAAAGCAATGTTATCCTTTCTGGAGATGTTAACCTAGACGGCTTTACAGATATAGATATTGTTAGAAAAGTGGGAATATGAGCCTTGCAGATGATGATGTAGGCTGACATTGTTTTATATTTCCCATGCTAACATCTCTACAGACGGCTCAGGGCTTTTATCTCGCCCCCTGAGGTAATGTAGCAGTATTTCTGTGGGCAGTGCAGATTAATTTATTGATGAGCGATGTTGCTAAATGGAGCCTGATGAGATGCCGTTTCCTGTCAGACTCCAGCCTGGCGTTGTGTCACGTTACCGTCGTATCGATCAGATTCAGTCTCTGAGGGGAAGTGCTGGGCTTTCAGATACAAGTCTGCCTCTTTCTCCTCAAATTTCCCGTCTTTACAGTTTTGATCTTCATTTCCAGGTAAACATGCAGAGGATATATTTGGCGAGCTTTTCAGCGAGGCCAACCTTTTCTACCTGCGAGCCAACTCTCTGCAGGACCGCGTCGACCGGCTGGCCGTCAAGGTCACGCAGCTGGACTCCACCGTGGAGGAAGGTGAGAGAGCGAGACACAGGAAGTGATTACTCATCGTCCAACTTTAAACATTGTTCTCAGTATGACTACTAGTGCTTTTATAGAATATCAAACTACACAACAGTGACTGGGTGACCTTGATGAGCAAGCAGCCAACAGCTATTGTTTATTTCTACTTAAAACAGTCGAATCATTTGAGAACAATTGATATTCAAACTGTATTCAAGACTTTAAGAGCAAGAAAAAGGTCCATTCAAACTATAGGTGAAGATTATTTTATGACTTTTTCATATTTTCATTTAATATGTAACTTTTTAAGGAAAAAAGTATCTGGTTCTGGCTTTTGCAAATGTGAAAATGTGCTGCTTTTAAAGAGAACATTTCATATTTCTAAGTCTTTCTGTGAAATTCTTCCTATTTTCTGGAATTTTACAGCAAAAACTATTGAAGTTTTTGAGAAAATAATCGACAAATTGAGTGATAATTTAGTTGCAGTCATAATTTAAGCCTCATTTCAACTGTTTTTTATGTCCTCAGTTTCCCTACAAGACATCAACATGAGGAAAGCCTTCAAGAGCTCCACCACTCAGGACCAGCAGGTGGTGTCCAAGAGCAGCGTGCCCAATCCGGTCAAAGAGATTTACAATATGAGCGACAAGCCCCCGCCCCTCAGCATCCTCTCCGTTTACAGGTTTGTGATGATGCACACACATTCTCCAAACACCGTGACAATTGAACTACATTGTGTGTGAAATTAGATGATAAAAGCTAGCCAATTAACTAGAAATCAGTCCAGAGGAAGTTGATGGAGTCTTGGAATGGCTCAGTTTTTGAGTTATGTTACTATCTATTTAAATAGTGGCAATATAAACAAATGTACCCGTGTAAATCGTCACATATAGCTTTTTTAAAACCATGCGTTCTACTTAGCCAGTGTTACTTAAAGTCATGCTGTGTTCTTGATTGGATTGTATCTCCTTGTGTCTGACCCACATTCCCGGTGAAGCAGCAGATTTGGTGCTATTTCCTGCTGCAGCTTTTATCCAGTACTTTGGGTGCTTTACATATTTAGCCTGGCGTGCTCCAGTGGGAGTCCAACTCCTAACCCTGACTACATACCACATTTGTCTTGTCTCTCTGCCTTTCACCCTGTCATTTCTAGTTATGCAGGTTCATCCGCCTGCTCTACTTTTACAATATTCATACCTCAACATGTCAAACACTGTCATTCTGTCTTTCATTCCTACATGTTTCTACAAAGACATAAGAGCCGCTGTATGAATTCTTGCTGTGTGTTTCTGTAGGGATGACCAAAAGGAAGCACTCAAGTTCTACACCGATCCATCCTACTTCTTCAACCTGTGGAAGGAGAAGATGCTGCAGGACACCGAGGATAAGAGGAAAGAGAAGAGGAAGCAGAAGGTACACATCTCTCCTAGAGGAACTAACAGATCATACTATAGTTAAATATAACATCTCACAGATAGTAGTTGCCTGGTTGTCTCCAACTGGGGCTATTCTGTCCAATCTCATGTCCATTTCCCTACCAAATTAGTGTCCAAATATCAAATATCAAGTTGGTTATTCTTAGTGGAAGTAACAACAAACTGAAAAAGACTCATTGCTCTCTTCCTCCCTTCCTTTAGGGGCAGAAGCAGGACGTTGATGGGACGTTACAGCGGGAGGTGAAGAAGGTCCGGAAGGCGAGGAACCGTCGGCAGGAGTGGAACATGATGGCTCTGGACAAAGAGCTGAGGCCGGACCACCGACACACCATTCACCGAGACCGAGGGGCCTCCTCTGAGGGCTCCATGTCTCCTGAGAACAGGTAAGATCTGCTCAAAGCATGTAGGTCAGCCTTTTGCAGAGACTCTAGGAATCAGCCTAACACAATAACATATTGAAGCTGGCCAAGAACATCATCTCTGACCCATACATGTACTGAACAGGGAATAGGAATAGAATAGAATCCTTTATTGTCATTATACAGGTACAATAAAATTGTCCCTGAGTAATAATAATAATACATTTGATTTAGGGCGCCTTTCATGACACCCAAGGACACCGTACAATTTGTTAAATATCCTAAGAGGCAACAGAACATGATAAAAACACAAACATACATCATTGAGAAGACAATTAAAGTGGACACAAATGATAGTCTGGTGGTCTTTGTCCTGATGCTGCATTTTAATGTCTTCTCTCTTCCCGCCCTCCTCTTTCCATCAGGGGTCTCGGTGCAGATCAGCTCCACTACCCCAACATGATGAACCACGCGGGCCACGCCCACACCTACTCCGGCCCCCCGCCCAGCGTCCTGGCCGCTCAGATGGCTGCGGGCCACCCCCCCCGAGGAGGAGGAGGGGAACATGACATGAGAGGCAGGGCCATGATGGCGGCTTATCAGGGGGGGACACTGGGTCGTACCCATCACCACCACCACCAGAACCCTCTGCCTCCTCCCCCCTCTGAGGCCATGAACGGAGGCTCCATGTCCCTCCCACCGATGGACTACAGGTACACACCAGAGCCAATGGGAGCGAAGAGGCTGTTATTGTTGATTAACTATGATGGTGTAAGCTCGATGTTGATATGTCTTTACTCAGAATGTGCCCACAACTTATTTTATGAATGAACTCTGAGCAAGTGCTGCCACCTAGTGGGTCCTTCTGTCCTTGATAGCAAACACAACTACAGACATCTTTAAAAACTCTCCACTAAACTCTCTTTTATTCCCTCTCTCTTGCAGTATGGAGGGCTATGCCAACACCGGCCCCCCTCCCCCACCCCCCGCCCCTCTCATCCCCTCCTCCCTCACAGCCTTCGCCTCCCCTCCCGGAGGTCCCATGCCCATGATGGGTGCCGGTGGCTTCTCTCCTCCTCCCCCTCCTCTAGGTGGATTCCAGGTGGTCCCTCCCCCCCCTGGTCCTCCTCCTCTCCCCCAGTTAGCTGGCTCCTCCCACTTCTCCTCCCACAAGAAGTCCTCCTCTGCTCCCGCTGAGAGCGAAGCGGTCACCGACGCCCGCAGCGACCTGCTCGCCGCTATACGTATGGGTAAGAGAAGTGAGTGTGAGCGAGTGTGTTTGTGTTTTACCATCAGTTTAAACCCCTGTAAGCCACAATGTTTGAGGTAAATACTAAGTTAAAATAATGCATAGATGTGTCATGTCAAGGCCTTTTTATTTGATCAACATTGTTATCCCGCATGTTATTGAAAAACGTCTTGTATTTATACTCTAGTATAAAACTGACCTAGGGAACAGCTTTGAAATGCAGCGTTCATACTTTACCTAAAACCTATCACTTAGCTATATCTAGATTATCAATTACTTTACAACAAATGCACAGTTACACAACTTGATATTCAAACAAAATAGCATTGTTGATACTCAACTTCGTAAAAAAAAAAGCAGAAATAATCCTGTGATGAAGTTAAAAACACCTTAATTGAGCCACTTTTGACATGTCCACATTGTATTGTAAGCGTGCCCAGTTTAAAACACATCCCATAATCTCCCCGCAGGCATCCAGCTGAAGAAGGTGCAGGAGCAGCAGGAGCAGCAGGCCAAGAGGGAGCCGGTCGGGAACGACGTGGCCACCATCCTGTCGCGCCGCATCGCTGTGGAGTACTCCGACTCCGAGGACGACTCCGAGTTGGAGGAGAACGATTGGTCGGATTAACATACACACACACACACCAATGGGATAACCACTAATAACACACACACACACACACACACTCACATGAAAGAATGCCCACTGTACCACACTCACGGGTTATCACACACTGAACACACACACAATCACATGCTGTAGGTTGATATAAGCTGAATGGTCCAAAACTGGAAACTGTAGGGGTGTATTCTCCACTGTAAAGACACTAATAACATACCGTAATACTCTTTGAAACATTAACATGTAGTCTGTATTTCAAAGCTTTGTGAATACACCCCAGTGGATGTTTCTCTACCTGTTATAACACTATATAGACACCCTGTGAAGGTGCTTATTATTACATGTATAGTCGGAGCTTGAGGGTGTTAGAAGATTAGCAGCTTTTCCTCTCGAGATAACCAATGTACTTACTGTCTTTTTAAAAATGTTTTTACTGAAACACTTGCTGTAGAATCACCTGGCAAGTTATTAGCATTAACTGGAAGTAAAGAGGAAGGGGATATGTAATTAGTCTTATTGAATATAATCATGATTGAGCAATCGATCACTGCTGTGTGGGGGGGGGGGGGGGGGGGGGAGGGAGGATCTGGGGGGCGTGTGCATATGCTAGTGCGAGCTCTGTAACCTTTGACCCGGAGAAAAATAAAAAAAGATGACTGACGGATCATGACGGCTCGGCTGCCATGTTTATTTTTCTGTTTCTCGTAATGCCTGGCTTTAAGACATCAGTTTCCATGGTAACAGTACAGCTAAGACGGGTGTTGCCAGGGATACGGGCGAGGATGAACAAACGACACGAGGAATTTTTATGCACAGCACTTATTTGGGTTTTTTTAATACAAAAAGTGAACTCTAACCAAAAGCAATAATAAAAAGTACAACTATAACACTTTTAAAAATACACACCACGTTCACACACGTTTTTTTCTTCTCACTTTTTGTTAACAATATCTCAGTTTTGAAGTTAGTGCATGTTGATTATCGTGTTTCATTTTGCAGAATTTGTTGTGCCATTTTCATCCAAAAAAATAAAGTGCATTTCACATTGATAACTAGTACGCATACATCTAGACAAGATGCTGTTACCTCAACCCCCCCCCCCCCCCCCACCCCCACCCCCAAACACACACATTCACAGGCCCTTTAATGTATTTAGCTCTAGATTGGTAACCATTTCATTTAACAACAAGTCATTGGCTACACATTTTCTCAAAAACCACAGTGTATTATTACACTGTGAAGCAATTAGATGAACAGGTGTGTGTATACAGAAGTATTACATCCAACATCTGCTATTCTTGGATACAAAGCCCTTGTTCACACCTGCTCAATCATCATGAACAATACTGTCTGCTGCACAAGAAGGAAAAACATTCACCAATCAGAGAATATCTTCCTCAAACATCCCCGTCTGTGTAGCCAATTAAAAACCTTGAATCCAGCCTTTACAAACTGGTGCATATTGAAGCCGAACAGAAGAGTTTCTACATCAACAGCGGAGAAAATTCATTAAAAAAAAAAAAAAAAAAGGGTGCAACCACTTGGGTAGCACCATGCACGGTGGAATTAAGCCCCGCCTCCTCCTCAGCATGCCGTATTTACAGAAACAAAGGAGTGAAGAGGAGGGGGGGGAATCAAATAAACAATTCATTACTACATTCAGAAAAGAGGCTTTACAGCGCCGTTACATCGTACAGAATCTGAAAGAATCCAAGCCAGACTTAAGTGGAAAAAAATATAACTTTTCAATGAATATAACAAAATATAGAATTTTCTCCAAAAGGTAAAAGAATTGTGATGGTTTGTGACGCCTGACCTGGTGGTGCTCATCGAAAATAAAGCAACCGTATTCAGTCTGACACCAAGTCCACGTTCCAATGCTCAGATATGCCATTCCTCTCCTATACTTGAGGCCAAAAGATGAGAATGTTGAGCTCTTCAAATGCCTCTTCGCAAAGGAATGAAAGAAGAAGCATTATCTTTGTATCTGGAAGCGACCATTTTAGCTCATAGAATCATTCAGAGGTCACTTCTTAGAGGACGCCTCAATCAGATTGATTAAAAGTAGAGTATAAGTGATTTAGAGACAGGAAACTCAGCAGGACTAGGACATTCAGAGTCCCTTTCACCTTGGCTTGAAGTGCCGGAGCGTCCTAGTCCTATCCCCCTTCCAAAAAAAGCTCTGCAAACACGTAACGAGGCCACTTCTCTCAGGATTGACAGGAAGACTTGGCAGCATTTTCCTCAAAGGGTCAACAGGAAGTCATATACCTCCGTAAACCCCCCCGCACAAGGAGACAGAATATGGTCTGCTGAGCTGCTGGAACAGACACACATGCACACACCCATGCAACTCATACAGTATGCACGACACACCATCACACACCGACACTTGAGGTTACAGGACAGTTCGTATGCTCACAGAAAAGCAGAGGCAACAAAACGATATATCTCATCCCGGCGCGATTAAAAAAAAGCCAGATTTTGGCTCGAGGAAAAATCATGTCAGAGGATTGAGGCAGTGACAAATGAGTCGTTTGATCTCGCCCCGGAGTGATTATACCACCACCTTTTTGAAGAGGCATCACTGAAGCATCATTCGGAGCCCATTCACTGCACAGCCCTACCTGAGCAGCCATTATGGTGCTTCACATTGAAGAAGAAGTCATGGAGCGACGTGATGTTATTGCTGTCTGAGTATTGCTTCAAATCTACAAAAAATAATAACTACCTTGGCTAGTTATTGCTGACAAGATATGAAGAGATGAAGGTGTTGGCATGTTTGTCGGGTTTGCAAACTCATTTTCAAGACCCAATAAAGAATGACTCAGAGCAGCTGGTAGGTGTTGTGATCTTTGCTTCACACTTAGCAGGACTCTAATGATGACTGTTCTCGCACCATACAGCAGAAATATCTCGAGAAATCCACATTTTCAAAACTCTTATGACCATCTAGTGATGATTGTAGCTCATTCAATGGTATACATGTGAGGTACATTGTGTACATAAGCACAATTAGGAGTTATTAGTGTCATGATGACATCTGGGTACACTGACACATGGCTGGCATGTGACCTCAGGAGGAATACAAGGGCATGTTTGCTTGTTACATGCTAATTACACAGCATGCACATCAGATATGTGGTTTGTGTTGAGCTCTTAAGGAGCCACACATATCAAATAAAAGAAACATTTCCACACCAAAATCACCATTTTGCTAATTTGGCTCCAGGTTTGTAGTCATGTGATCATGTTAATTTAATATCTATCGGGATAACACATTCGACATGTGTGTTATCCTATTCAAAATGACCTTTAAATTCACATTTTTGTTCACTTTTCTCAATTGTATAATAAAAAAAGTATATAACATTCTCCAGACAATCAAAAAGTCTTAAGCATCTCCATTTAAAAGGTGAAAAAGGGGATTGAAGGTTACATAATCCAATAGGCTTATACTCGGTTAGCTGCCTCCGTTAATTAGTAAAAAAGAATGGAGGAAGGGTTAATGGTCAGATCTCCTGTGGCTTTGTCTGATGGACTAAAACACATTCATGCACAATCCGGAGAGAACAGAAGACTGTGGAGAAGAGAGGAGGGGAAGCGGCTTTGTTTTTTCCTCGGCGTCTGTGGAGGACGCGGGGCGCGGAAGGATCACAGAGTGCCGGATTTATTTTTAGCTCTCGGCGGCTCTTTAGCTTTCAACGCACGTCCAGAGTGCAGCAGCAGAGAGACGGGATCCAGACGGCCTTTATGTGGAAATGCCTGCGTGAGAATACTCTCTTCCCTTACCTCTCCCCTGCGCACTTAATAAATCCACCGTGCGTTTTTACGCACAGTGGAGCAGACTAACAATCCCTCCTCTATTTAAGGAAAACAAGCAACCAAAGCTCCAGTGCTGGTCGCTATATGCACTTTTGATATAAGGCTGCTGCCTGTAAAACATGTGATGCTCTCAGCACTCTCTGCAGAACAGAGGAAGGGCGTGGTTGGAAAGGGGGGGGGGGGCGGGATGCTGCCCGCTCAGTGGCCGTCTGTACTGGGGAAGACAGTGAGACACCTTGCCCTATATGGTGAGTGCAACAAAGAATAATCCATCCAGGTGGGCTGTGGATAACTAACAAAACTGCCAGGAACATCTCCACCCAGAGATGAAGCCAGGCCCTCTGCTGCCTCCCCCCGGCCTCCCCCCCACTGCTGCTGCCTTTGACACCAGACACATCCAGCGAGGAGCAGAGCTGACTCAGGGCGCCGCTCTCTTCCCACCAGGGTCTGTGGGGTCAGACGGCACTGGGGGTCCGAGCACGCTGGGCCACGCTGGCAGGCACACAGCCACAGCACACCAGCCACAGCGCCTTCTGGATCTCCTGGTTCCTGAAGGCGTAGATGACCGGGTTGATGACGGAGTTGTAGGTGGCAGGCACCAGCGTGGCGTAGGTGTACAGTGGGGGGTAGGTGTAGTCGGCAATAAGAGAGTAGACAGTGAAAGGCATCCAGCAGGCGGCGAAGGTACCCAGGATGATGGCCAGAGTGGAGACGCCCTTCCTCGTTGTGACGTAGTGAGGCGAGGCGGCCAGGAAGTGGTGCTGCAGGGCGATCTGGTGAGCGTGCCGCATCACTATCTTGCAAATCTGGACGTAGAGCTGCAGCATGAGGCCGAAGAGCAGCAGGAAGGAGACAGACAGCACGGCGATGTTGTTCTTGGTGAGGGGCCGCACCACGCTGCATGTGGCCTCCTCCTCCAGGCAGTTGACCCCTGTGACCGGCAGCAGGCCCAGACACAGGGAGAGCCCCCACAGCAGCACCAGCATGGTGTAGGTGAAGGCCGCGGTGCGCTCAGAGTTGTAGGTGAGGGCGTAGTACAGCGACAGGTAGCGGTCGATAGTGATGGCCAGCAGGCTGAAGACAGAGGCGGAGAAGGAGGCCACCACCAGGCCCACCGTCAGCAACTGGGCCGATTCAGATTGGAGCAAGTAGGCACAGGTGAAGTGGAGCACCAGGCCCAGGCCGGCCAGCAGGTCCGCCAGCGCCAGGCTGCCGATCAGCAGGAACATGGGGGCTCTGAGCGCCGGGTTCTGCCAGATCACCATCACCACCAGAGCATTCTCACAGGCGATCAGCGTCCCCGAGGTGCACAGCACGATGTCCCAGGGGTTCACCAGCAGGGGCAGCTGGCTGGGAGCCAGGGAATCTGCTGGAAACGTCCCCAGACTGGTGCTGTTGTCCATCAGTCCTCCGCCTCCACTGGCCCAGGCTGTGGGGTCAGGGGTCAGCCAGCTTGGGGTGACTGCTGGCTCTTCACTCATTGTGCCCCCTGTCTGAAATCGACACGAACAAACACACTATGATATCTGAGTGGAAAGCACAACCCCAACAGGGACAGGGAGCACCATACATAAGTAATAGTGTCTATTCATGGGTCATCTTTTTAGCTCTACTAATTCTGAAGGCATAACAGAGGGCACTTAACCCCCCCTGCCCCCCCCCCCCCCCCAAACCTGTGTACGCCACTGGGTCTGTGTTGGTTTTATGATACCACAGTTACTGATTTTTCATACTTAACCTTCAAAGGTTATATATGTGGTACAGGTCTATGCATGCCATTATGCAGAAGATATAACAAACCTTCATCCACACCAAAACTAGTGTCTCTATTTAAACAATAAAACCCAACAGAAATAGAATGTACATTTATATTATTCATAAGGTGCAGTTAAAAAAACTAATGTTACCATGTGTTGCACTGTACCAGATTATATGTTAAACTCATTCTCATCTGTAGTCCATTATCAATTTAAGGTGCAGACAGGTCGTGTATTTTCCTCTGGGAATTAAACACACCGCCTGTTTATTCTAACAGAGGCCGAGAGGCGACACCACAGGTGAATGGCATAATTGAAGAGCATAATTGAAAACCACAGCAGGCTTTGCAGCAGATTTCAGGCCACATTCCCATAAAATACATCCATAAACCTCAACCGGAACCGGTACGAATTCACGCCGCTGTGAGACACATATTATGCCGCTTTCCATAACAGAAGACACCGCACCCGTCTTGAAATAAAACCACCACAGCCATACATGCATCTCAAACTGGTGGCCATATGGTGCTGCTTTACCCTCTGTGCACCTTGCATGAGAGGAACACGTCAGCAGGAGGAAAAAACATGCATGTCGAGGATGCGCAATAATTCAATTCCTGCAGAAACCCACCTTGACTGTGAGACTTCCCGTCTAGATGGAAGAACGACAGCCCTGTGAGTCCATGTTATTGCGCGGGATGGTGGGACGGAGCCCGGGGACGGGGATGCTGCTCGGTGCCTCAGAGCGGGGAGGATGGAAGAAGAAGAAGGAGAAGAGCTCCGAGCATCGCCGTGTACTGCGGCTGTGCAGCGGCGGAAGGAAGGGATGAAGGAGGGGGTCGGTGATGGAGGAGGAGGAGTCCCACACCGGCGAGACCCCGAGACACCGGCTTAACCCCGGCGCAGAGCTCAAGGACAGGTGTGTGTCCATGGCTCTATATTCCACAGGATATATTTTTGTTTTATTAAAAAAATACTGTGCACAATTTTTTATGTATATAGCTCACTATGCTTATATATGCATTTATTATTATTTTTTTTTTTAATATAGGGCTTTTCAAGAAATTCAAAGACACTTTACAGATAAAAAAATTATAAAAACATTATTTAGCACTTAAAATATATGTTTTGTCCCTTTAGTAGATTGGTATATAATTAGAGAGTACTCTAATTTATTCGGTATATGTTATAGTGTGTAGAATAGATACTCTTCTGAATATACGTCTTTACTACTGATATGTAAGGTCCATCTCATCTTATGTGTATCACTTATTGTGCTTTCTCTTAATGTAGCAACACGTGTCTCAGCCAGTAAATCTAACACCAGCTCACCTGATTAATATGCACAATGCTGTTTTGATTTGATTCTTTCTGACTCATATTTCAGAGGCTGCAGCTCCTGCTATTCCTGTCCTCTCTGTGCTATTAACAGCCTCCCTGATGTGTCTCCCCCCTCCTCCCCCTCCCCGTCCTCCATCTTCTCCGCCTCATCCCTCCATCCTTGCGGCGCCGCCTCCTCTCCTGATGTTCGTGCATGTGACCGCAGTAAGCAGTATGACCGAGTATTAATCAGGCTGTTTTTTCCAAAGCACCTGCCATTTGTGTCTGAATGGATTAAAAATAGCTCCTGTTGCAGTGGGATGCCAGGTATCACCACTGAGAGGCGATGTAGAGCTCCTATGAGTCATCAGTGCACCTGTAGGCTGAGAAAGGAGAGCACACACCCTGCTTCAATCTTACTGGCTTTATTTATTTTTCTTTAAAACAGAAAATGATCGCTTTACAACAGGCCTTTTCAAGCAAACCCTCACATTAAACTCGCCAACACCTACAAAACGGTATCAAAAGTGCACCATAGTGTTAATACATATTTTCAAGGTCTAACAATTTCCAATAATATTATCTTCTTGTAATATTTATACAAATACCATTCTGTACACTGTAGAAATACACAACCCGGCACGCCCCATGAGTGGCACGCCCCATGAGTGGGACGCGCACGCCCCATGAGTGGGACGCTCACCCCCCCCACCCATCCTCCTTTACATGCATCATCAAAAGCCACTCAGTAAATCCCAGTGCAGAATAACAGGGGGGGGGGGGGGTGGGGTGCAGGCCGGTGTTACATCATATGAATTATTAAATACCCCACACCCAAGAAAAACCTAATACGCGTACGACCGACCGATATCTGTACAACCCTCATTCAACGTCTTTTTTTCAAAACAATCTTGACAGTTTTCATTCATTATCGTCTCGTTGAGCCGGCAGCAGCGTCCAATAAAAGGGGAAGGAAGGGGGGGGGTATGGGGGCAAGAAGCAAGGGGGAGACTTCCACTGTTTAGGTGCAGCGTGTAAAAGCAAGAGTATGAAACACAGCTGAGCAGGTGTGAGACCACGCGGGCGGCTGTGGTGCGTTTAGGGTCCGCTGCGAGCCATGAAGAGGGACTTCCTCTGGTTTCTGTGGCGGTTAGTCTCTGGACTGGTAGAAGAGGATGTAGCCTGACTCGGAGTTCTTGGAGATTTCAGAAGTGAGACCGTAGAATTCCTCTATGGCCTGGGCATCGATTTTCTACAACAGAATGACCACATACAGCAGGGTTAGAAACTGGAATGTACTTACAAATAAAACGTAAATACAAGGAACTCACTCACCTCCACAATATCGTCATCAAACAGCAACCAGAAGTCATGACTTTTCACAATGGCAATGTAGTGACCCCTGTTTGGACCACTGAAAAGGAATAGATCAGTGTATTAGAGTATGCTTTATCCTCTATGATGATATCACCCAGACTTTAAAAAAGGACCACCCACACAGGTGTTTCCACTCGTTTTGCCCAGCAGACTCCTGTGGGGGGTGTAAACGCTCTCACCTTCCCATTAGGTGGAAACACCTGCGTGGGTGTACCAGGCTTTTAGAGAAACACAAAAATGTGCAGCTGCAAACTAAAATATTTTAAAAAGCTGACAGTGAAAGATTACAATCTGTGTGAATACTGTGTGGTCTGACAGTATAATATAATAAAGCCTGTTTCAGGATACATACAGTAGTATTATGGTCTATTTTATACCGTGTCGTGCCCCAGGCCAAAAATGGCAAACATAATGAATTTAACTGAGTTGAAGAAGTATTCAATTTACTGTCCTTCAAGCCCTATCGGGCCTAATGATACTTTAAAGTATCTCTATTCAAACAGACGCATTAATCCAGAATCAGATGCATTAATCCAGAATCTGTAGGCAAAGTGGCAAAGTGTTAATAAAATCCACGTTTTCTTGGCTGATCACGTTTGGTTACAAATAGCTGAACAGCCCGTGTGGAGGGCAAATGAGGCATCGCATCTCATGTTGCTTATTGGATTGTAAACAATGACCAGCAAACAGAAAAGGCAGTCCAGAAATCACAGGAATATTCACTTTCCCCTTAGAGGCTAACGTCGATAGCCAAATGGATCTAAGTGTGCTGAAATCCCAGATGATATTTGGCCTAAAATCATGACATCAATTTCATGATACGTTTCCAAAATAACCCGCTGAGGGAGCTCAACTGGGAGTAAATCGCAGAGGGAGAAGACAGAGTAGGACTCCAGCCTTCATTTCTCAACTCTATGTAAGTTTAATATATTTTCTTTATTAAGGGGCTTGAGTCTTTTTCAGTATGCTGTGACAAGCAGAGACACACCTTGTACAAACAGTGCTTGTTCTCGTATAGATGTGATTTACTGTTTTTCTCGTGCCAATGGGTTTAAATGCATTTTATAAATAGAAAATGTATGCATTTGCCTGTCTCTACAGTTGCTGTGGAGACTGCTTTAAAAAGGTGTTGTATTCTGGCTGTGCGATCACCTACACACCTCCCACAATGCACCACAACGGCCACCAGGTCGTACAGCCTCTCGGGATTGGTGGCATCCCCGGAGGTGTTGAAGAGGCGGAGCTCCAGGGGGAAGACGACGCGATAGGACAGCTTGGTGTAGCGCTGCAGCTGCTCCATGTACTTAAAGCGCTTCAGGTGCAGAGCCAGGATCATCGGCAGCTTCTTCACACGCATCCTACGCCACACATATCACAGGGTAAGGCACGACATCAGAGTATCCAACCACACACAGAAATGCATTCATATACATTAAAAACATAGGAAAAATAAGTGTACTGACCGCTTGTGTGCCTCCTGCTTGCTTCGACATTCTTCACAGTAGTATTTGTACTCACTGCACAGTGTCTCTGTGTTACTGAAGCCTCTGAGGAGTCACAAAGAAAGAATACGTCACAATCTGAAGTCATACCAATAGTCCAAACCCAAAGAAAAACTGAAAAAAGAAACCGGAGCCACCAAATGCTTTTTGGATGAAAACAACTTTTTATCAACTTATTATAATAGTTGCCGACTCATTTTCAGCTGATCAACTATCCAGTTCTGCTCCTACATGCTGTTTATTTACCTGAGGCAGTGTGTGATAGAGGTATTCTGTTCTACATCCACAGAAAGGTCCAGAAAGTCCTCATCTTTGCTGCTTATCTGTAACAAAAAGAGGGTGTCAAAAACAAGCAACTTCCATTGAAAAAACGAACCAATAATGTATTAACCTTAAACATTGTTTTGCAGAAACTAAAAGCACAAACAGAGCATAGCTTATCTAGGGTTTGTTTGATAATCCCAGAAATCTGCAGCAGGAGTGTTTGAGTTAAACATGTTCAAACAAGACTCTGGTGACACAGATGTTTTGTGAAAGCCACTTACACTTTCCCAGGTAAACAGCAGTGAGGCGTCTTACCGTTTCACAGGTGAGACAGCGCGTCTCGTTGGTCAGAGTGCCTTGGAAGATCTCGTGGACCCAGGTTGGAGCGGGCGTGGCATTGCTGTTGTTGTTCTGGGAGTCCAATGTGCCGTTGGCAAGGCGGCCATTGGTCTTGTCCTGCTTCCTCTCCTCCTGCAGCAGATCTGCGATGGTGTTCAGCAGGTAGTTCAGGAACTCGTGGGCATCCTGCTGCATGTAGTTGTCAAACAACTCTGCGGATTAAAGTCCAAAGAGACATTAGGGAACAATTCAGCTTTTACACATGTTAAGTGGGTACTTCAGGGTCTTCTGCACCATCTTACCATTCTCTTTGCGAAGCCGTGTGATGAACTTCTTGGGTGGGATGACGCCCACTTTCCTCTTCTGGTTGGCGATGCTGTGGAACAGGTCGGCCAGGCAGGTGAGCAGGTTCTCTTTACGTCGAGGCTGACTGCGGTACGCTAAGATCTTCTCCCGAAACGGCCGGCAGAAGTAGAGAGCCTGCAGCACCGAGTTGCAGTAGCAGGTGTTTCCAAACTAAAAATCACAACATGCAAAGCAGTCAGATCACGTGTGACAAACATACAGGTAGCGATAAATGAATAAAAACACTTTGCATCATCTACTTACATTGACCAGGCCAAAGTAGTGCTCATTGACTGGAAACTGCTCAGATCCAATCTCTTTCTCCAGAGCAGAGGCATTGGCGCCCTAAAAATACACAGGGCAAACGTTTGTTATCGTAAAACAATATATATTTTAGGTTGAGCTACAAAATGACGACAAAACATACCAACGCACCCACTGGATCAGTAAGTAATTGACAAAGCAAATGGAAGCAACTTGGCCGTTTTAAGGTAGTTTGTTACAGGGATAGAAAATGAAACAAATCAGTGCTTTAAGCATTTTCACTTCCCCTTCAAATCTGCCATCTTAGCTAAAAACAGGCAAGTGCAACATTGAAGTGATGAACACATTAATGCACTAATAATGTTAATAC